ACGGCAGCGGCAAGGCACTCACGGCGCCAGTGGCGCTGAACGAGTTTCTGGGCGTTAACCCGTACCGCGGCACCACCACTGTGGGCGATCTCGTCACCAAGGCGTCGTGCGTGTACGACTCGGCGACCAAGCGCTTCTTCCTCTCCGCTGCCTGGCTGGTACGGCTGTTATGGTGGTGCGTAGCGTGCTCAATTTGTGTTCAAGTCACTCTCTTCGTGTTCTTAGCAGCTCTTGATTTCCTCACATCACGGATTTTCATCCCGCCCGCTCTCTCTTCTCTTCCTCCCCCGCTCTGTTCACCCTCTCCCTCCCCCGCTCTTCCTCTCTACTCCCACTTCCCCCCCCCCTCTCTTCCTCCCCACTCAGGCGGGCAGCTCCAACGCGTACGACAAGTTCGGCCAGACGCGCACGGACAAAAAGGGCGTCTCGCGCGGCTCGGGCATCGTTCTCGCCGTCTCTCCCGCGGAAAAGCCCCTCGACGCGTGGAGCGTCTACTTCCTCGGAACCACCAATGACGGGACCAACGGTCCGGACGATCACCTGGCGCCGCTCTCGTACACGGGCGAGCTGTTCTACAACACGTACCCGCGGCTCGGCGTGGACGCCAACGGCGTGTATGTCACGACGCAGCAGGTCACCTATTCGATGGTCGACGACGTGTGGCAGGGCAGCAATATCTTGTAAGTTGCTCTTGCTCCTGCCCTTGCTCCTGCTGTTGCTCCTGCTCTTGCTCTTGCTCCTGCTCCTGCTGTTCCTGTTAAAGGAAATGCGTGGGTATCTGTGGGCGCTCGTGAGTGGCTGTGGCTGCGGCTTCGGCTGATCGTTCTTGATGGTTGACGATGTGTGGCAGGGCAGCAACATTATGTAAGCTGCTCTTGCTCCTGCTGTTCGCGTCAATGGGCGCTCGTGAGTGGCTGCGGCTGGGTTCTCTGCGTGTATGGGTTGTGTTTGGGTCTTTGTGTGTTTGGATCTTTGTGTGATTCTCAATAATCACTCGCAAGGGTTGATTGACGCATGTGCGCAGTCTCATCCTCGTCCCTCTCTCCCTCCTCTGCTTCCCCTTCCCCCTACACCCCCTCCCCTCCCGTCCCGCCCTCGTCCTCTCCCCCCAACAGTGCATTCAGCAAGACCGCCCTCCTGAAGCAAGCCGACATCACAGCCGTCCGATTCGCGCTCCCGCGCATGTCCCGCACCGATGCGACGGTCCTCCAGTACTGGACCATCGAGCCCGCCGCATCCCCTGCCGACGGCCGATACGACCTAACCAACAAGGGCACCATGTGGTTCGGAGCCTACGATGTCTCCTGGGCCATGTCAGGTCACTCAGCCGTCTTCGCATTCGCTCTTACCAACACCGTCTCTCTCTCGGCCAACAACCCGAGCCTCTCTCTCCTCACTGCGATCGCCAACTGCTCGTTCTACTACGACTGGTCGACCTCCCAGCAGAAGCCCGGGCTCGCTCCGCTCGCCGAATCCTATGGCAAGGATACGCCGCTGATCGTGCCGCCCCGGAGCACGTCGGTGGCGTTGTCGACTGGATTCCTGTGGATGGTGGTGCCGACGGGGTCGACCATTTCTCCGAATTCAGAGGCTGGGTTCATGCTGGTGAAGATGAAGGCCACGGTTGCCAAGGGCCCCTCGCCGGCGCTGACGCTCGCGGTGTCGAGTGCTATGATCTACAATGTTCCCATGACCAACCTCGTCGCTCCCACCATTGCCTTCAACAAGTGAGTCCCGTCTGCATGAGATGGGCTGCATGCGTTGCCTTGCATGTGTTGCGCGCCCGCGCTAACTCTCGCGGTGGCGAGAGCTATGATCTACAACGCGCCCATGACCAATCTCATTGCTCCCACCATCGCCTTCAACAAGTGAGTCGCGGTCAATGAGATGTGCTGCGGAGGAATCTCAAGACTTTGCTGAGCTGAGTTGCATGTGTTGAGCTGTGAGCAGTGAGTTGAGCTGCATATGTTGCGGGTTGACTTTTGAGTCGACTCAAAAGTCACTTTGCTGAGCTGAGTTGCATGTGTTCAGCTGTGTGCGGTGAGTTGAGCTGCATATGTTGCAGGTTGCGCCGCGATCCCCTGACCGTGCTTTCTTCTCCGTCTGTCTTTCCCCCCCTGCCAGGCAAGGCAAGGGCATCATACTGGCAACGCTCGTTAGCCCCAACAACTACCCCACGGTGGGCTTTGTCCGCGTCACCAAGGCGGGAATCAGTCCCAAGGACCTCAAGTTCTACACCGTTGTGCAGAGCTCTGCACCGCTTGACGTTGACTCACCAAGTAAGTTTCCAGTCTGCTTTACCACGACGGCACTACCAAGGCGTCTAGACTGAGTTTCCAGTCTTTCCAGTCCTTGTGTCTTTCCAGTCTTTCCAGGATTTTCTGCCTCTTGAGACAACTGCCACACTCTCTACGGCCTGTACACTCACACACTCTCCACAATCGCAATCACTGATTTCTGAACTCTCTCGTCCTGCTCCCCCTACCCCCATCATCAAAACCCTATCCTTGCTATATCTGTTCAACCTCGTCCTTTTCCCGTACAACCAGGCTACTCCCCAAAGAGCACGGACACGGTGGCAGCGTTCGTCTGCTACGGCACTACGCAGGCGCTGGCAGTGGACGCGAGCACTCAAAAGTTTTATCCCCGTGCTCCCCCCCCCCTCCGGCTTCCCCCAGGCTACTCGGCAAAGAGCACGGACACAGTAGCGTTCGTCCGCTACGGGACGACGCAGGCACTGGCAGTGGACGCGACAGGCACCATCTGGGCGGCAGGGCAGTACGCTACAGAGGAGCGCACCACCCGCAACAACTGGGCCACCAGCCTCTTTTCCATCACCCCTTAAAACGAATCATCCATACCACTTCCTCTTTTCTACATTTATGCCAAGTGACTGGTTGGGCGGAGAGATTTGGTTATCTGGTCGTACTGACTGATTTTACTCGGAAGGGTGGTACTTGGAAGGCTGATGCGCAGTGGTGAGGGTGGAATGGAGGCGTGCTGGATCCGAGGAGAAAATGGGCCTGGGTGGGAAACTTTCTGTTGTTTTGTGAGGGTGTGCTGTGCCTGCATGCGTCGGGTTGGGTGGTTCCTCCTACTCCCACGCATAGCTTATTGTACTCTGGAAGACTTTCCCTTCAAAGGGTTGTAATGTAGAAGCCACTGTGGAATAATCATTATTTTGTGTAACTAAATGAATGGAAACTGTAAGTCACACTGGGTTTTGGGGATAGAAGTATAGGATTGTGCATGACTTGCTATACAGTAAGCCCATTGAGGAGTGGGCATTTGTTTTGGGACGCTACAAGGAGGTGCATTAGGAACTATCCTTCCATAAACCACTCCATGCATGATTTCCTACATAAAGTGCCGTTTTCAAGACTTGGTAGACGGTAGGTTTGTAGGCATGTAGCTCCATCTCACCCTTTAATATGCGTTCTTTCATATATCGAGGTTCCAAGTTGCCTGATGAAATCCCAAACGTACGTCCCAGCCGTTCGCAAGATTGCCCTGGACTCCCGGCCCCTGACCGAAATGGCGACTGTTGTTTCTGTGTGGGCCAAGAGGGTCTTGGCAGCCTGGCTCCACGTGGATCCATGAGACTCCAGACTGGCTGCGTTCGAGTGTTGGGAGTGGCAGACTTTTCGCTCAAGACGCGAACAGCAACGAACGCGTCTCGCTGTTGCCGGCAACTTCGCCATACGGGCTCCCTCCGGAACCATCACACCCGCGCGACAACTTTCGCCACCGCCCAGCCGCTTGCGAAAGTGTCCACCATCGTTCTTACGCGTAACTCAATTTTATCTCCCGCTGGCCTGAAACCAGCTGTCGCCAACGTTTTCCAGGAGCAGCCAACAATGGCAAACGGATCTAGATTTTTTTATAGCAGGGACAATCCAGGCCTCTCCGGAATCGACCCCGTAAAACTCGAGACAGTGAACGAAATGCCAACATAGATCAGGAAAACGCTTTGTATATCAGCGCCACGAATTCTCCGGGCGTGATGGAGGGGCTGCGAGAGGGGGCGGGGTGATTCCTGAAAGCTTCTCTCTTGAAAATAGGCGAAGGGCTGAACCAGCTGGCCCCTGAAGGGATCGCAGGAACCAACTGGCCCCCTGAAACCTCTTCGGGAGTGTTTGGGGTGCATGAAGAAGACCCCGTCGCATGGGGCTGGCTTGCTGGAAATACTCTGTCAAGATGTGTATAGAGTGTCGAGAATACCCTCGTTTCAGTCAAAGCAAGCTGGCTGCCCTGAACACAACTGCCGGGAGCACGATGTTCACTCAGTGTTTGTGGCACAGAAACAGTGTTCGTGAGGGTTACTGTGGGCGAACATGCGAAGAACATGGAGTGGTGGTGAAGGTGGGGGTTGGTAAACTGCGAAGTGAAGGTGCACCCTAGAAAAGGGCAACCCGTGCTAGTGGGTGTTTGAACATTCGTCTCGCTAAAAACCCGACTCAACCAGTTTGAGAGCTAATTTGAACGCTACAGAACGTAAAGAACCTCACCAGACCGGATTCGAAGCACCAGGCGGCGCGTCATACCCCTCCATCCATCCCCTCCCTCTCCCATCTGGCCTGCTAGATTCTCACCTCAATCACCTCACCTCAATCACTCGCAAAAATCAGCAATGAGTACCTGAGGTGACTACACGCTCGACGCCTCAAGTTTCCAATGTTTCCCATCGACTTGATTTTCTGAGAGAAGAGAAAGATTGCGCGGAAATCTCCTGAATGGTTTCAAGCGTTCCCTTTGAGCGGTAGTCCGTCGGCGTCTACGTACGAGTGTTCGAGTCCCGCGCTCTCAGTTTATAATTTTCCGTAATAGGGCCTCGACTGAACAGGCATGCTGTATGTATATCCGTGCAGTGCAAGAGACACAAATACATCAAGAACCTTGCAAGCAGTAGGAATATCGTCAATATTGGTGATAGCTTCACAACCAGGCGGCTTGGCGTGACTCGGTAAGCGTACAAGACGGCGACGGCTATCGCGTACAGGATGGGGTCGGCGGACGCATGGTTGGAGTCGCCAGTGGGACCAGGCGATATTGTGTCGCGCAGCCATTGGATGCCGAATGGAGCCATCAAGCAGTGCACCAACCCCGCTTGCAACCACGAGTTCAGCCGGAAAGAGCGAAAGTAGGTCGTAAGTAGTAGGCGATAATCGCGATTGAGGTCCCCATGAGTGATCGCTGTTGTGATTTATTTCCGCTGATTTTTTCCTGAATTCTTGTGTCGCCTTTAGTCGGTCGCGAGCTCGGTCAATGTCGTGACTCGTTCGTTCCTCATTAAAAGCCCGTCAACCTAACTTCCCTCCTTTCCCCGATTGTTTCTTCAGGCACCACTGCAGGTGCTGCGGGAACGTTTACTGTTTTGATTGCACCCAGTGTACCCTGCCGCTCAACCCTATCACCGCCATGGTATGACACGAATTGGGTTTTCCTGGCGATTTGCAAGTGATCACAAGCGGGGGTGTTGCTTGCGATGTGAAGAGTTACCACCTTTGTCATTTCGTGAGAGCTACGATCAGGCCTTCGTGCACTTTGTTTTTCCCCACGCTGAGCTCATCCGTGAAGTGGGTTTCAACTTCCTCGATTTTTCCATTTCTTGCAGATCGAGGAAGGAGGAGAGCCATCGAAAGCCTGCGTTTTGTGCTTTGAGGTAATCCCCTTCACAATCTCCCTGCTTCGTCCCCTTTCTTGCCTTGTCTCGCTTGTTCCCTCTTTGTTTGTAGCACAGCCTAACCTTGCTTTTTCGTTGATAGCATACAGCACTTCGTATACAAGCTCTCTTTTCTCACGACAACTGCTTCGTTTCCTGCGTGTCGCAGAGAGCGGTCGAAGAGGGTTACCCGTTGGATCGCTTTCTTCACAACGGCTCCTCCAACTCGTTGATTTCCGACGCCTATGGCGATGGCGATGGCCACGGCGACGGCGACGGCGACGGCGACGGCGACGGCGACGGCGACGGCGACGGCGACGGCGATGGCGATGAGGATGACGACGAAAACAGCTGTCGACATCATAGTGACGATAACGATGACAACGATGATAGCTATACTCGTTATAATAATAATGACGATTATGACGGTGCGGTTTCCGACGCTGATAACGCGGAAGCGGCGGAAATCGCGTCGTATAGACGTCAGGAGGCGATGCCTGCTCGTGCGACTCGCAGCTTCTGCAATTCCGAGGGCGCGGGCGTCAGCAGGGCACGAAACGACCACCTGGGCGACGGCGGCAGCGGTCGCAGCTGGAGTGGCGAAAACTTGCGAAACAACGGCGACCGGGACATGCTCGAAAGCAGCAGAAACGGCGGTAGCAGAATTTACGGAAGCAGCAGGGAGCAGCAAGCACGGGATGGAAGCCCGAGCGACAACGCGGGGAATCGTCCGGGAGCCATGGTTTTTGACAAGTGCAGGAGCTTGGATCACAGAGACAAGGCGGCCGCGCGAGCTTACACGCGGTTTTCGGGCAAAAGCGAGCGGGACAGCAGCGGCGGCAGAAGCAGCCAAGATCTCTCTCCGCGCGGCGGCATGGATAGTGCTCTTAGTGCTCATAGCGTTAGCGAGAAGCTGAGGATGAAGGGAAGTGGTTCCAAAGTGTACAGAGATACCAATACTATCGGGAGTGCTTTCAACGGGGACGGCAGGCTGGAGAGCAGCTACAGCAGCTCGGATCCGTCGTCTCCTTTAAATATCACGTACAACAGAAGCAGAACCCTAGATGCTAGCGATAAAGCAACCGCCAGGCGACCCCCTCCTAGCAGCAGACCGAGTTTTGAGGCGAATCAAAAGCTGGAGAGCAGCTACAGCAGCGTTGATCCGTCGTCTCCTTTAAACATCACGTACAACAGAAGCAGAACCCTAGATGCTAGCGATAAAGCAACCGCCGCCGCCAGGCGGCCTCCTTCCAGCAGCAGACCAATTAGTCTATTAGCTAGTAGTTTACTCGCGAATAGTTCACATAGTTCTTCTCTAAGTGCCAGTGGCGGTGGTGATAGTGTTGCCAGGAGCTGGAATGAGGCTGCAAGCGGGGGTAGGGGATTCGGTGCCGAGTTTGGAAAGAGCAAAACGCTTGATAGCAGCGACAAGGACGCTATAAGGCGTAGCGCTGGTGGTGCTAACAGGGCCACCGGTGGTGTAGCAGTGCCGCCCACTGGCAAGGCGCGCAGGCGGGTGACGTCAGCCTATCGGCACCTGTCCATGGATCTAACGGACAGATATGGCGACCTCTCGTCGCTGCTAGTAGAGCCGTCCGATCCCAGCCATCTGTCGCTGCTCTCCACTGCTGCTGCTGGTGGTGGTGGTGCTGCTGGTGCTTCTAGTGCCTCTAGTGCGCGGTCAGGGCTGGGTCTGCCGCCTCGCAAGGACCCCAAGCCCCGGGGATGGCAGCAGCAGCAGCAGCATCAAGAGTATCAGCAGCAACAGCAGCAGAGACCACCACAACAATCATTAGCATTGTCATCAGAAGCAGCAGGTGCCACATCAACAGGTGCCACAGCAACGGCACTGCAGAGACACCATTCCATGCACCCCCTCCTAGCCCCAGGCACATCCCCCCTCACTCCCTCAGGCCTCCGCCCGCCTCCCCCTCTCACTCCCTCTCCCGCTCGAAGCAGACACAGCCGCTCCAATAGCAGCAGCAATATCCACATCTCCATCTCTCTACCGCCCTTAACCGCTCCTGACTCCTCCCTACGCCCTGCGGCTGACTCTGCTGCCGCCGCTACCGCTCCCCTCAGATCGTCCCGCTCTTTTCATAATCAGCTAGCAGACGCAGCAGCTGCAGAGGCAAGCGCGGATGCACAAATGACGGCTGCGGAAAGAGAAGCAGCTGCTGCTGCTGCTGCAGCAGCGGAGAGGGCAGAGGCAGCAGCAGCAACAGCAGCTGCAGCAGCGCAAAGAGAGGCTCTTTACAAGGCGTTAGCAGCACCGTCGATGGTGAAATTGCCATCTAGCCTCGCATGCAGCGCAAGGAAAGGGAGTGTGGATCTGACTGAAGTGTTGGCTTCGTGGGAGAGTGGGGTCAGCTTCCTGGACCCAGACGTATCGCTCTGCACCCCTCGGGACCGCAAGAGCAGCTCCTCGCCAAAGGATTCTGCGAATGAGTCGTTTTCTGACGAGGAACGGGAAGGAGAAGGCTGCTTCCGAGGAAAAGCCGAACCTGTTGCCAAGGCTGGAGGTTCGGCAGGTGTGGGCCTGAAGCCTGTTCGCCTGCAGCGGGCTGTCGAGGCTGAGGTTGAGGAATGGAAGGAGGCTCGGCGGAGCGTGGGAGGCACAGCAGGTGTTGGTGACAGGCGAATGGATGGCGGAGAGGTTGCAGAGAAGGATGCGGTGCCGAGCGGTGGCAGCACAAGTGGCAGGGGCAGTGGGAGCAACTCAGGCAGCGGTGGCAGCGGTGGCAGAGGCAGTGACAAGAGCAAATGGGCGAGGAGAAGGCCAAACCTACGGGTTCACTGTGGCAACAGTGGCAACTTTGCTTCTTCTCTCCCTCATTCCGCCTCCGCCTCCGATGCTCCACCACCACTTCCCCACCTTGCTCCTGCTGCCTCTTTCCCTCAGCCTGCTGCTGGTTCTGCTCCTACTGCTGCCACTCATGACCTGGGTGCTGGTGCTGGTGCCTCTGCTGCTGGTGCTGCTGGTAACCGTGTTACTGCTGCTACTCGTGCTGGTGTAGGTGGTGGTTCTGGTGCTGCTGGTGCCAGTGCTAGTGCTGGGAGGTTGCAGGAGTGCAGTGCGGTGTGGAGCGGTCCGGTCAGTCTGATAGAGTGGAGCACGAGTGACGTGTGCTCGTGGCTTATCCACTCTGTTGGCTTCCCAGATGGCAGTGGGCGAGGTGAGACGAGGAATACACACACATGAATGCATGCATGTGCGCATGCACTCACATGAATGCATGCATGTGCGCATGCACTCACTCACTCACCCTGTCTGAAAAGAGAGAAGCAGTATTGACCAGTCGACAATCAACAGAAGTGTGACATGCTGTCCCTCTCTCACCCTCTCTATTCCCCCTTTTTCTCCTTCTTCCCTCTTAGAGTACGCACGGGACTTTGATCAGCATCAGGTGGACGGTCTCTCCCTGGTCGGCATCACACACTCCCACCCGGCTCTTGCTCGCATGCGATTGGCCGATTACACCCTCTTCGAATCACATCGTCGCCAGCTGGTAACTGCAGAAGCTGCTGCCCCTCTTGCTCCACCGCTCTCAACCGTTGACTTCTCCTCTGCATCTATCGCGTCTACCGCAGCTGCTTCTGTTGGCAGTGCGGTGCTGTGCGGTGGTGCGGCGAGCAGCAGGGTTGGACTGGGTGCAGTGCGATGCGGCTCCGACCCCACCGCTCTCCTGCATCACTTACCCAAGCAACACTCAGTTAAAAGCCGGCACTTTGACGCCTCTTCTGCTGCCAACACCCCTTCAGCTCTTAGTTGCAGATCATCCCAGCCCTCCCATTCCCCCTGGTCCTCTCCCTCCTCTACCTTCATCCAACGCACCTCCAGTGGCAGTAGCTTCTGCTCCCTCCCTCCTCCTCTCTCCTCCTCCTCCCTCAACTCTTCCTCCCACCCTTCACATTTCCCCCACTCCACCAGCCACCCCTTTCGCCACCGTCGCACCAGCAGCATTGGCGCCTCAATTGTATCAGATCTTCTGCAGAAAAGGACAAGTACCACCGGTGGGGCGGGGGACGGCCGGGCGGCGGCAGTGCAGTCTCCTGCCGCCCGGATCACCAGGCAGGAGAGCGGGGTGGTCGGGGCTGTGGGCGGGTGGTTTGCCGGTTGGGGAAGCAAGCAGGAGAGGCAGCAGGAGTCTGAGGAAGAGAGGGAAAAGGCACGGGCTCTAGAAGAAAAGGAAGAGAGGAGAAGACGCAGCAAGAGAGGAGAGGAGGAGGAGGGAGAGGAGAGAGGAGAGAGCAAGGAGGAGGAGGAGGAGGGAGAAGAGGAGGGAGAGGAGGGAGAGGAGGGAGAGGACAGCAGGTGGTGGAGGAGGAGTGCTGACCAGCAGCGGAGGAGAGGGAGTGCACCCTGCGCTGCTGCTGCTGCTTGTACCTCTGTTCTTTTCTTTTTTCTGATTCTGATCTGCACTCTACTTTCCCTCACTCACTCCCCTCATACTCCCTCTTACACTTCTCGTTTCAGGCTCTGTCACCTGGACGACCTGCTGAAGGAGTCCCTGCTCGTGGAGTATCTGCCAACCAGAACGGTAAGCAGCCGACGGAGCTTTTAGTCTCTACTCTTTCTAGTTTTGAGACGCCTCAAATCTAAACCGTTAGTCTCTACTCTTTCTAGTTTTGAGGCGCCTCAAAACTAAATTTTTAGTCTCTACTCTTTCTCTTCCACTCCAACCCCAATCTCTCGCACCGACAAATGCCTATCAAACAACCCTCCTCCCCCTCGCCTCCTCCTTTTCCCGTCCTTTCCTTTCCCCCTTCCGCTCTTCGACCCATTCCCCATTGCCCCTTCCTCCTTGCTTCCCCTCCTTCTCCCACAGTTCCAGAAATGGGCGTCCATCCCAAACGACCCATCTGCAACCGAGGAGGATGAGTGGGTGCCGCGCTTTGTGACACTCACACCCACCGACATGGCAAGCTACAGATCTGTGGGTGCATGCCACAGACCTGCACCCATAGATCACCTCAACCTCCTCTCCTCATGCCTCCCCTTTCCCCCTCTCATCTTCCCCCTTTCCCCCCTCCCACTTTCCCCGTTTCACGCCTTCTCGCCCGCCTCCTCTTCCCACAATTCCAGAAATGGGGAGCCATGCCAAACGACCCACCTGCTCTCAAAACCGGCAGCACCAGTAGCACCACGAATGAGGAGGATGAGTGGGTGCCGCGCTTTGTGACGCTCACGCCCACCGACATCGCCTACTACCTGCACGCCACCGACCTGCACCCGCAGATCACCCTAAACTTTCCTCTCCCCGCTCCCCCCTTTCCCCCTTGTCCTCTTCCCCGCTTTCCTCTTCCCTCTCTCCCCACCACTCCAGAAATGGGCGTCCACCCCAAACGACCCACCTGCTCTCACCAACAACAGTAGCAGCAGCACCACCACGGAGGAGGACGAGTGGGTGCCGCACTTTGTGACGCTCACACCCCATTCCTTTCCCCCTTTTTGTCCTCTTCCCCGCTTTCCCCTTCCCACCACTCCAGAAATGGGCGTCCACCCCAAACGACCCACCTGCTCTCACCGACAACAGCACCAGTATCATCACCACGGAGGAGGACGAGTGGGTGCCGCGCTTCGTGACGCTCACACCCACCGATATGGCATGCTACCTGCACGCCACCGACCTGCACCCGCAGATCACCCTCCCTGTCGCTTCCATCGCCTCTGCCGGCACCCTCCACATGGCCCCTGCTCCTCCGGCTGTAGCACCGAATGTGACACCAGCTGTAGCAGTGAAGACAGCATCTGGTGTAACAACGGCTGTAGCGCCGGCTGTAGCAGCGCCGTTATCCGCATCATCGGAGGAGTGGTTGGCGTTTCACGTCACGACCAGCTACGGGCTCAAGCTGGAGTGTGCCACTCGCAGCTGTGCCAAGGTGAGGCTCTTCGCGTGCTGACAAACTTTCGTTCACCCATCTTCACCTCTCATTACCCCTCTTGCTTCCCAAGCGTTCACCTACGGAATCTAACCTCAAGCCTTTCCTCCCGTGCAATGCCTTTGTCCCTCCCTGCAGCTGCAGCTATGGCTGGCAACAGTGCACGAGGCTATTGCTAATGCTGGCATCAACTCTACGACTGTCGGCCGCACCATTCCCCTGCCTCCTCCCAACCTCACCTGCTCTTAATTCAATACCGGAGTTCTGAGGCTGTTACCTGTTGAAACCTGGCATCAGGTGCATAAGGTGATTGCCAATGCTGGCATCAAATCAACTCCGCTACTGTCGGCAGCACCATCCCACTCCCTCCCCCAAACCTCACCTGCTCTTGATTTGAAGGCATTATTGGCTGGCTAAAACGAGCTGGTGATTCAGCAGCTTTTGCACGGTTACCACATCTCACAGCACCATGCTGCACCGCATTCTATCACACCACGTGCACAGGCACACCTCGCACAACGCCAACTGGCATGTACCGTAGGTGGCTGGGAGACCAGGACATGGCATGCAAATAAGGGACTTGTGGGACATGCCCAAGTGATTTGGTTGACTGTATGTACAAACTTCTGATGTATCCTGTTTTGAATAATGTTCGGTTTTGAAAAAAAAAAATGTTGTTTGTGAGTGCTGTGCTGTTCTTATTCAATTTGCTACAATGCGGTCAACACGACGTTACTGTTATTCACCAAATATTCACTGGATTGCCTGATGGGCTGGAGAGAGGTCGTGGGCGGGAACGCATGAGCGAAATAGTCGCAAATTTCGCTAGTCGCGAAAGTGTGTTGGACATGAGTGACGAATAGCCAATCACAGTGAAGAACAAGAAAGCCCTCGCTGAACCTCGTTTCGTGCACCAGGCACTTCTCGGTCTCGGCTCGGCACATCCCCTCCCCACCACCTCCCCATTTCGAAGTTCAATTTCGGGTCCCCGTGTTCGTTGGCGGGAGATGCGTTGGGATAAGGTCTAGCCTTACGCAGCAAGGCGAGCTTCTGGACGGAGAGGAATTCGACGACTCAGTACACGTGTCAGAACCTGGAAGGGCAGATACCTTCCGCCGCCCTCTTGGACACGTGCAGCGTGAATAGTCTGCTTGTGCATGTGCTGCTTGGGTGACATGTTCTGCTCAGCAGGCTGCTGGCGCCGTCGTCGTGTGCATGATTTCATGTCGCGATTCGAGACGACGGAGATCCGACCAAGATTAGCACCCAACTTCTCTAAGGGAGTGTCCAAAGGGAAACGTCGACGGACCCTACAGTTTCGTCGGGGGATGTCGGCGAATTTCCACCCTCGGATCGATCGTTCCGACCGTCAAGATTCATCGACATTCCCTACAGTTTCGTCGGGGAATGTCGACGTTCACTGTCGGACATCCTCTAAGGAGCTTCCAGACTAGCGATTATAGAGCGCTGCGAGTCACTTGTGACGAGCTGCTCAGTGCGGAAGCGGTCACCGAAACTTCGCGAAGTCGTCACTGATCATCGCCACGCTCAGTTGCCAACTCGTCTTCGCGAAAACGTCACAGACAAACAAGTCCACGCGGCCAGTTTCGCTTCGCATCCAGTCGATTCAGGTCAGGACGAACTCGCTGACCTCGCCTTCGCCTCCCCTATCCCTTCCGAATCATAATTTACGCTCGATTTCTCCGTTCTTGTTGGCGGCGGGAGATGCGTTGGGAGAAGTGTTTTGTTTTGTGTTCTCAAAACACTTCCATCACAAAAAACCGGGTCTTCAATCACGTGGGAGAAGACCTCCGGTCTTGCACAAAAGTAGAGCTTCAAGACAAAAGTTCTGGACTGAAAGGAATCCTACGACTCAGTACCCGGAACCCGGAAAGACAGACACTGTCCGGAAAAGTGGCACCTTTCCAAATGTGACCATTCCTCCCTCCCGCGGCGGCCCGCTTGGACATGTCGAGCAGCGCGAATCGTCCGTGCTTGTGCATGTGCTGCTATGGTGACATGCCCTTCTTTTGGCATGGCACCATCTCGGTCATCATGTGAAAGATTTTCATGTGACTCGGCACGACGAGGTGCCGTCCAAGATTATCACATCGCGAACTGCTCTAAAGCGCCCCACCGCTCATAAGTAGCAACGAACCTGGCATCGCATTGTTATTTAGTCCCGCCTCTTTGCTCGCTGTTGAAACCTGCATGTTTCTACGGTCACTAGAAGTACTACTGTAGTATCACCTGCTCGTCTCTTTCTCTTTCGCATATCTTATCATGGAGCGAACTGTGCTTTGCTGGATACCAATACGTGAGCGCCGCCGATTGACGCCCTTTTCGCTGCAAGTGCATCCACGACCCTGCTGCCTTCTGATTAAAGCTCGTCTTGGGTGGTGTTTGTGCCTTGTGCAGTTGTAACTGTCGTCGCAGTGGGTGCAGCGCCTGCAGCGTCATCGATCCCAACTACCCCCACAGCGTCACCCCTAGCAGCCTTCCTCCCCACCGCCGGACGGTTGCCTGTCACCTCGTCCGCTCATGCCACTCCGTCGGTGAAGGGGAAGGTGTTTGGTAAGTGCTTTCTTCAGCTTGGTGTTTTTCAAAATTCTTGGAAACTCATTAATGACTTAAAGAAAGTTCTGTCAGCTTCTAGCAACGACTCGTTCCTGCAACACCTCGGAGGTGTCGGGCTGTGCTCTGTTTGTTACTGTTACCACTCCACCAATTGCATAGGGTCGTGCCTTCTTTCAAAATGGAAAGTCTGGCTCACGAAAGAGTCAATGCACCTATTAACTCCCTTGGACCATTCATCCAAGGACCAGAAACCGAAACTACTTGGGTGTTCTTTTGGTTACCTTTGTGCCTGCTCTGCCTTCCCTTTCCAGTGCGCTATGTGGCCAGGCTCACTCCCCCTCGTAGCAACGGAAAAGTGGTTGGTGACCGAGGAGCAACCGGAAAAGTAATTATGAAGGGAGTAAAGTAAGCTCGCTATTTTTTAACTATAATTATTGTACTTGGCTTTGGTGCAGCCATGCAAATGCTGGCAGATGTTGCCATCTACATTATTGATTTTATCTTGGACAATTCAGCTTATGGCAGAAAGAACAGGTTGCTACCATGCGTTAAACGCTTCTAAGAGTCTGAACGTGTCTTGTTCTCATGGCCTTGCACAAATATCGTGTGGGGGTCCGCATGAATCAACACGTGGTGCTCTTGACCTTCCTGTTCTCCCTTGCGTTGGTGACAGGGCCTCTGCAAGTGCCAGCTACCTCGTGCTCAAGATGCGTATAAAAAACATCCGGTCTGGAGGGGCTGCGCCCTACACGAGCGCTGTTACAAATTGCCTTGCTGGCCAGTTTGTGGAAGGATATGAAGGTATTGGTTGGGAGAACATCACGCGTACTAGCGGTGGTCGGCCAAAGCGTTACAGCTTCGCTACCTCAACGGTTATTGGCCCAGGATCGCAGGCCGATATTCGGGCATACATTCTTTCCTATACTCATCAATCATCAGGCCAGCATTTGGTTGTGTCTCATCCGGAAAATGACCATGCACTTTGCGGGAAGTTGAAGAAGCGACCCGTAAAAGCACGACCATTTCGAGTTCATGTTCGAACATTGTAGGGACATCTGCAACATAGATAGCAAATTTGTGATCTAGCATCCGTTTTGTATTTCATGTTTATATCGAATCGGTGGATATTTATTTGTGGAAACATCGAGTGTGTAATGTAGTGTGTCAGTAAACATACTACAGTGGCAAGAGCACAATAAGCACATCATTCAGTCGAGCCTACAGTTTAAAGCGGCGGTATACATTTGAAAGTACTGTTTGTTTTGGAACAGTACCCACCAAAAGCAAACCCAAACGAGAAGCGAATGGGCTTGGCGAGAGAATCGGCGAAAATTTGGATGGCTGATTGTTGCGAACACGAGAAAGTCTCCCGTCAACCCAAGCCCTGGAGTGACACGAACAGACCAACGGAGCGACTAATTTTTAGGAAAGGCCTTCGATACAACTATACAATAGGCAACTAGGGCGGCGAGGAACAGCGCTGGCGCTAAAGAAAAACGCTGGTGTCGAGGCGACAAGTGTCACAAGGCTGGCTCGCGAGATTACTTAGAAACCATTTCTACAAACACCTCACTCTCTCATGAATAGACTCGTTCAAAGGCCTCGCAATAGATGTAGGACTAGCCTTCGTCCTAAGCGCCGCATTCCATGCGTTCCCGTCGCCGGCGACGTTCTCGCCGAACCCGCAGCTCGATCGCCGAACCCGCAGCTCGATCGCCGAACCCGCAGCTCGATCGCCGAACCCGCAGCTCACGACACCCTCTTAGCGCGTCACCCGCGTCTCTCCTACCCCGCTGCGCGCCTCACCGCTTAGCGCCTCACCGCTTAGTGCCTCACCGCCCCTCCTTCACCTCCTTTCCCTCCCTGCTTCCCCCCTTTTCCCCCACGGCTTCCCTTCCTTTCCCCCCCTGCCTCCTCTCCTTTCCCCCCATGCTTATCCTCCCTTCCCCACCTGCTTCCCCTATTTCTCACCCTCCTTTCGCTCATTTTCCCCCTCTGCTTGCCGCAATGCCTCTCCACCCCCTTACAATCCAATCAGCTCCTTCGAGTTTGCTTATTCTCTGTCCTCCCTTTTTACCCTGCTTATGCTCCCTCCTCCCTTTGCTTACCCTCTCTCTTCCCCTCTACCCTCACCACCAGTACCGTGTTTACCGCCTTCCCTTTCCATACCGAGGGATCTCAAGTGCAGCATAGAACAAGATGGACCAGTCCTCTTCAGTCTAGGCTTGCATGTGCTCCCACTGTGTGTTGAAAGTAGTTGAATGTTACATCACAGTTCTATTGCAAATGATGTTCACATGCATCTGATATGTACCACGTGATCTGTCTTTCAGGTGTCTGTCCCCTTTCTATAAGCCATCTCTACAGCTGAAAATGAGCACAGCAATGATGTCCAAAAGGAACATTGAGTTGTATCGTATGTACACATACAATCATCTCTAAGTATACTAAACAGCACTATACTCTTCGTGTCATGTTCATGCCACGACACACTCCTGCAACATAATGCCCCTCCACACTGCCAAGCTCTCTTGGCCCAGGCGTTGTCGTGCTTGTCGCTGGAGCAGAGGGAATTGGCACACTTATATGGTGCTGACTTGGACGCAAAACCGGCAGCTTTGCATATGCATACCCGCCTGGTACGGGTTGAATGACACCTGGTGTCACAGCGGTAAGTAATGGGGCCCTATACCCAGGGAGGTGTGATGGAAAGGCAGGGAGGTGTGATGGAAAGGCAGGGAGGTGTGATGGAAAGGCAGGGAGGTGTGATGGAAAGGCAGGGAGGTGTGATGGAAAGGCAGGGAGGTGTGATGGAAAGGCAGGGAGGTGTGATGGAAAGGCAGGGAGGTGTGATGGAAAGGCAGGGAGGTGTGATGGAAAGGCAGGGAGGTGTGATGGAAAGGCAGGGAGGTGTGATGGAAAGGCAGGGAGGTGTGATGGAAAGGCAGGGAGGTGTGATGGAAAGGCAGGGAGGTGTGATGGAAAGGCAGGGAGGTGTGATGGAAAGGCAGGGAGGTGTGATGGAAAGGCAGGGAGGTGTGATGGAAAGGCAGGGAGGTGTGATGGAAAGGCAGGGAGGTGTGATGGAAAGGCAGGGAGGTGTGATGGAAAGGCAGGGAGGTGTGATGGAAAGGCAGGGAGGTGTGATGGAAAGGCAGGGAGGTGTGATGGAAAGGCAGGGAGGTGTGATGGAAAGGCAGGGAGGTGTGATGGAAAGGCAGGGAGGTGTGATGGAAAGGCAGGGAGGTGTGATGGAAAGGCAGGGAGGTGTGATGGAAAGGCAGGGAGGTGTGATGGAAAGGCAGGGAGGTGTGATGGAAAGGCAGGGAGGTGTGATGGAAAGGCAGGGAGGTGTGATGGAAAGGCAGGGAGGTGTGATGGAAAGGCAGGGAGGTGTGATGGAAAGGCAGGGAGGTGTGATGGAAAGGCAGGGAGGTGTGATGGAAAGGCAGGGAGGTGTGATGGAAAGGCAGGGAGGTGTGATGGAAAGGCAGGGAGGTGTGATGGAAAGGCAGGGAGGTGTGATGGAAAGGCAGGGAGGTGTGATGGAAAGGCAGGGAGGTGTGATGGAAAGGCAGGGAGGTGTGATGGAAAGGCAGGGAGGTGTGATGGAAAGGCAGGGAGGTGTGATGGAAAGGCAGGGAGGTGTGATGGAAAGGCAGGGAGGTGTGATGGAAAGGCAGGGAGGTGTGATGGAAAGGCAGGGAGGTGTGATGGAAAGGCAGGGAGGTGTGATGGAAAGGCAGGGAGGTGTGATGGAAAGGCAGGGAGGTGTGATGGAAAGGCAGGGAGGTGTGATGGAAAGGCAGGGAGGTGTGATGGAAAGGCAGGGAGGTGTGATGGAAAGGCAGGGAGGTGTGATGGAAAGGCAGGGAGGTGTGATGGAAAGGCAGGGAGGTGTGATGGAAAGGCAGGGAGGTGTGATGGAAAGGCAGGGAGGTGTGATGGAAAGGCAGGGAGGTGTGATGGAAAGGCAGGGAGGTGTGATGGAAAGGCAGGGAGGTGTGATGGAAAGGCAGGGAGGTGTGATGGAAAGGCAGGGAGGTGTGATGGAAAGGCAGGGAGGTGTGATGGAAAGGCAGGGAGGTGTGATGGAAAGGCAGGGAGGTGTGATGGAAAGGCAGGGAGGTGTGATGGAAAGGCAGGGAGGTGTGATGGAAAGGCAGGGAGGTGTGATGGAAAGGCAGGGAGGTGTGATGGAAAGGCAGGGAGGTGTGATGGAAAGGCAGGGAGGTGTGATGGAAAGGCAGGGAGGTGTGATGGAAAGGCAGGGAGGTGTGATGGAAAGGCAGGGAGGTGTGATGGAAAGGCAGGGAGGTGTGATGGAAAGGCAGGGAGGTGTGATGGAAAGGCAGGGAGGTGTGATGGAAAGGCAGGGAGGTGTGATGGAAAGGCAGGGAGGTGTGATGGAAAGGCAGGGAGGTGTGATGGAAAGGCAGGGAGGTGTGATGGAAAGGCAGGGAGGTGTGATGGAAAGGCAGGGAGGTGTGATGGAAAGGCAGGGAGGTGTGATGGAAAGGCAGGGAGGTGTGATGGAAAGGCAGGGAGGTGTGATGGAAAGGCAGGGAGGTGTGATGGAAAGGCAGGGAGGTGTGATGGAAAGGCAGGGAGGTGTGATGGAAAGGCAGGGAGGTGTGATGGAAAGGCAGGGAGGTGTGATGGAAAGGCAGGGAGGTGTGATGGAAAGGCAGGGAGGTGTGATGGAAAGGCAGGGAGGTGTGATGGAAAGGCAGGGAGGTGTGATGGAAAGGCAGGGAGGTGTGATGGAAAGGCAGGGAGGTGTGATGGAAAGGCAGGGAGGTGTGATGGAAAGGCAGGGAGGTGTGATGGAAAGGCAGGGAGGTGTGATGGAAAGGCAGGGAGGTGTGATGGAAAGGCAGGGAGGTGTGATGGAAAGGCAGGGAGGTGTGATGGAAAGGCAGGGAGGTGTGATGGAAAGGCAGGGAGGTGTGATGGAAAGGCAGGGAGGTGTGATGGAAAGGCAGGGAGGTGTGATGGAAAGGCAGGGAGGTGTGATGGAAAGGCAGGGAGGTGTGATGGAAAGGCAGGGAGGTGTGATGGAAAGGCAGGGAGGTGTGATGGAAAGGCAGGGAGGTGTGATGGAAAGGCAGGGAGGTGTGATGGAAAGGCAGGGAGGTGTGATGGAAAGGCAGGGAGGTGTGATGGAAAGGCAGGGAGGTGTGATGGAAAGGCAGGGAGGTGTGATGGAAAGGCAGGGAGGTGTGATGGAAAGGCAGGGAGGTGTGATGGAAAGGCAGGGAGGTGTGATGGAAAGGCAGGGAGGTGTGATGGAAAGGCAGGGAGGTGTGATGGAAAGGCAGGGAGGTGTGATGGAAAGGCAGGGAGGTGTGATGGAAAGGCAGGGAGGTGTGATGGAAAGGCAGGGAGGTGTGATGGAAAGGCAGGGAGGTGTGATGGAAAGGCAGGGAGGTGTGATGGAAAGGCAGGGAGGTGTGATGGAAAGGCAGGGAGGTGTGATGGAAAGGCAGGGAGGTGTGATGGAAAGGCAGGGAGGTGTGATGGAAAGGCAGGGAGGTGTGATGGAAAGGCAGGGAGGTGTGATGGAAAGGCAGGGAGGTGTGATGGAAAGGCAGGGAGGTGTGATGGAAAGGCAGGGAGGTGTGATGGAAAGGCAGGGAGGTGTGATGGAAAGGCAGGGAGGTGTGATGGAAAGGCAGGGAGGTGTGATGGAAAGGCAGGGAGGTGTGATGGAAAGGCAGGGAGGTGTGATGGAAAGGCAGGGAGGTGTGATGGAAAGGCAGGGAGGTGTGATGGAAAGGCAGGGAGGTGTGATGGAAAGGCAGGGAGGTGTGATGGAAAGGCAGGGAGGTGTGATGGAAAGGCAGGGAGGTGTGATGGAAAGGCAGGGAGGTGTGATGGAAAGGCAGGGAGGTGTGATGGAAAGGCAGGGAGGTGTGATGGAAAGGCAGGGAGGTGTGATGGAAAGGCAGGGAGGTGTGATGGAAAGGCAGGGAGGTGTGATGGAAAGGCAGGGAGGTGTGATGGAAAGGCAGGGAGGTGTGATGGAAAGGCAGGGAGGTGTGATGGAAAGGCAGGGAGGTGTGATGGAAAGGCAGGGAGGTGTGATGGAAAGGCAGGGAGGTGTGATGGAAAGGCAGGGAGGTGTGATGGAAAGGCAGGGAGGTGTGATGGAAAGGCAGGGAGGTGTGATGGAAAGGCAGGGAGGTGTGATGGAAAGGCAGGGAGGTGTGATGGAAAGGCAGGGAGGTGTGATGGAAAGGCAGGGAGGTGTGATGGAAAGGCAGGGAGGTGTGATGGAAAGGCAGGGAGGTGTGATGGAAAGGCAGGGAGGTGTGATGGAAAGGCAGGGAGGTGTGATGGAAAGGCAGGGAGGTGTGATGGAAAGGCAGGGAGGTGTGATGGAAAGGCAGGGAGGTGTGATGGAAAGGCAGGGAGGTGTGATGGAAAGGCAGGGAGGTGTGATGGAAAGGCAGGGAGGTGTGATGGAAAGGCAGGGAGGTGTGATGGAAAGGCAGGGAGGTGTGATGGAAAGGCAGGGAGGTGTGATGGAAAGGCAGGGAGGTGTGATGGAAAGGCAGGGAGGTGTGATGGAAAGGCAGGGAGGTGTGATGGAAAGGCAGGGAGGTGTGATGGAAAGGCAGGGAGGTGTGATGGAAAGGCAGGGAGGTGTGATGGAAAGGCAGGGAGGTGTGATGGAAAGGCAGGGAGGTGTGATGGAAAGGCAGGGAGGTGTGATGGAAAGGCAGGGAGGTGTGATGGAAAGGCAGGGAGGTGTGATGGAAAGGCAGGGAGGTGTGATGGAAAGGCAGGGAGGTGTGATGGAAAGGCAGGGAGGTGTGATGGAAAGGCAGGGAGGTGTGATGGAAAGGCAGGGAGGTGTGATGGAAAGGCAGGGAGGTGTGATGGAAAGGCAGGGAGGTGTGATGGAAAGGCAGGGAGGTGTGATGGAAAGGCAGGGAGGTGTGATGGAAAGGCAGGGAGGTGTGATGGAAAGGCAGGGAGGTGTGATGGAAAGGCAGGGAGGTGTGATGGAAAGGCAGGGAGGTGTGATGGAAAGGCAGGGAGGTGTGATGGAAAGGCAGGGAGGTGTGATGGAAAGGCAGGGAGGTGTGATGGAAAGGCAGGGAGGTGTGATGGAAAGGCAGGGAGGTGTGATGGAAAGGCAGGGAGGTGTGATGGAAAGGCAGGGAGGTGTGATGGAAAGGCAGGGAGGTGTGATGGAAAGGCAGGGAGGTGTGATGGAAAGGCAGGGAGGTGTGATGGAAAGGCAGGGAGGTGTGATGGAAAGGCAGGGAGGTGTGATGGAAAGGCAGGGAGGTGTGATGGAAAGGCAGGGAGGTGTGATGGAAAGGCAGGGAGGTGTGATGGAAAGGCAGGGAGGTGTGATGGAAAGGCAGGGAGGTGTGATGGAAAGGCAGGGAGGTGTGATGGAAAGGCAGGGAGGTGTGATGGAAAGGCAGGGAGGTGTGATGGAAAGGCAGGGAGGTGTGATGGAAAGGCAGGGAGGTGTGATGGAAAGGCAGGGAGGTGTGATGGAAAGGCAGGGAGGTGTGATGGAAAGGCAGGGAGGTGTGATGGAAAGGCAGGGAGGTGTGATGGAAAGGCAGGGAGGTGTGATGGAAAGGCAGGGAGGTGTGATGGAAAGGCAGGGAGGTGTGATGGAAAGGCAGGGAGGTGTGATGGAAAGGCAGGGAGGTGTGATGGAAAGGCAGGGAGGTGTGATGGAAAGGCAGGGAGGTGTGATGGAAAGGCAGGGAGGTGTGATGGAAAGGCAGGGAGGTGTGATGGAAAGGCAGGGAGGTGTGATGGAAAGGCAGGGAGGTGTGATGGAAAGGCAGGGAGGTGTGATGGAAAGGCAGGGAGGTGTGATGGAAAGGCAGGGAGGTGTGATGGAAAGGCAGGGAGGTGTGATGGAAAGGCAGGGAGGTGTGATGGAAAGGCAGGGAGGTGTGATGGAAAGGCAGGGAGGTGTGATGGAAAGGCAGGGAGGTGTGATGGAAAGGCAGGGAGGTGTGATGGAAAGGCAGGGAGGTGTGATGGAAAGGCAGGGAGGTGTGATGGAAAGGCAGGGAGGTGTGATGGAAAGGCAGGGAGGTGTGATGGAAAGGCAGGGAGGTGTGATGGAAAGGCAGGGAGGTGTGATGGAAAGGCAGGGAGGTGTGATGGAAAGGCAGGGAGGTGTGATGGAAAGGCAGGGAGGTGTGATGGAAAGGCAGGGAGGTGTGATGGAAAGGCAGGGAGGTGTGATGGAAAGGCAGGGAGGTGTGATGGAAAGGCAGGGAGGTGTGATGGAAAGGCAGGGAGGTGTGATGGAAAGGCAGGGAGGTGTGATGGAAAGGCAGGGAGGTGTGATGGAAAGGCAGGGAGGTGTGATGGAAAGGCAGGGAGGTGTGATGGAAAGGCAGGGAGGTGTGATGGAAAGGCAGGGAGGTGTGATGGAAAGGCAGGGAGGTGTGATGGAAAGGCAGGGAGGTGTGATGGAAAGGCAGGGAGGTGTGATGGAAAGGCAGGGAGGTGTGATGGAAAGGCAGGGAGGTGTGATGGAAAGGCAGGGAGGTGTGATGGAAAGGCAGGGAGGTGTGATGGAAAGGCAGGGAGGTGTGATGGAAAGGCAGGGAGGTGTGATGGAAAGGCAGGGAGGTGTGATGGAAAGGCAGGGAGGTGTGATGGAAAGGCAGGGAGGTGTGATGGAAAGGCAGGGAGGTGTGATGGAAAGGCAGGGAGGTGTGATGGAAAGGCAGGGAGGTGTGATGGAAAGGCAGGGAGGTGTGATGGAAAGGCAGGGAGGTGTGATGGAAAGGCAGGGAGGTGTGATGGAAAGGCAGGGAGGTGTGATGGAAAGGCAGGGAGGTGTGATGGAAAGGCAGGGAGGTGTGATGGAAAGGCAGGGAGGTGTGATGGAAAGGCAGGGAGGTGTGATGGAAAGGCAGGGAGGTGTGATGGAAAGGCAGGGAGGTGTGATGGAAAGGCAGGGAGGTGTGATGGAAAGGCAGGGAGGTGTGATGGAAAGGCAGGGAGGTGTGATGGAAAGGCAGGGAGGTGTGATGGAAAGGCAGGGAGGTGTGATGGAAAGGCAGGGAGGTGTGATGGAAAGGCAGGGAGGTGTGATGGAAAGGCAGGGAGGTGTGATGGAAAGGCAGGGAGGTGTGATGGAAAGGCAGGGAGGTGTGATGGAAAGGCAGGGAGGTGTGATGGAAAGGCAGGGAGGTGTGATGGAAAGGCAGGGAGGTGTGATGGAAAGGCAGGGAGGTGTGATGGAAAGGCAGGGAGGTGTGATGGAAAGGCAGGGAGGTGTGATGGAAAGGCAGGGAGGTGTGATGGAAAGGCAGGGAGGTGTGATGGAAAGGCAGGGAGGTGTGATGGAAAGGCAGGGAGGTGTGATGGAAAGGCAGGGAGGTGTGATGGAAAGGCAGGGAGGTGTGATGGAAAGGCAGGGAGGTGTGATGGAAAGGCAGGGAGGTGTGATGGAAAGGCAGGGAGGTGTGATGGAAAGGCAGGGAGGTGTGATGGAAAGGCAGGGAGGTGTGATGGAAAGGCAGGGAGGTGTGATGGAAAGGCAGGGAGGTGTGATGGAAAGGCAGGGAGGTGTGATGGAAAGGCAGGGAGGTGTGATGGAAAGGCAGGGAGGTGTGATGGAAAGGCAGGGAGGTGTGATGGAAAGGCAGGGAGGTGTGATGGAAAGGCAGGGAGGTGTGATGGAAAGGCAGGGAGGTGTGATGGAAAGGCAGGGAGGTGTGATGGAAAGGCAGGGAGGTGTGATGGAAAGGCAGGGAGGTGTGATGGAAAGGCAGGGAGGTGTGATGGAAAGGCAGGGAGGTGTGATGGAAAGGCAGGGAGGTGTGATGGAAAGGCAGGGAGGTGTGATGGAAAGGCAGGGAGGTGTGATGGAAAGGCAGGGAGGTGTGATGGAAAGGCAGGGAGGTGTGATGGAAAGGCAGGGAGGTGTGATGGAAAGGCAGGGAGGTGTGATGGAAAGGCAGGGAGGTGTGATGGAAAGGCAGGGAGGTGTGATGGAAAGGCAGGGAGGTGTGATGGAAAGGCAGGGAGGTGTGATGGAAAGGCAGGGAGGTGTGATGGAAAGGCAGGGAGGTGTGATGGAAAGGCAGGGAGGTGTGATGGAAAGGCAGGGAGGTGTGATGGAAAGGCAGGGAGGTGTGATGGAAAGGCAGGGAGGTGTGATGGAAAGGCAGGGAGGTGTGATGGAAAGGCAGGGAGGTGTGATGGAAAGGCAGGGAGGTGTGATGGAAAGGCAGGGAGGTGTGATGGAAAGGCAGGGAGGTGTGATGGAAAGGCAGGGAGGTGTGATGGAAAGGCAGGGAGGTGTGATGGAAAGGCAGGGAGGTGTGATGGAAAGGCAGGGAGGTGTGATGGAAAGGCAGGGAGGTGTGATGGAAAGGCAGGGAGGTGTGATGGAAAGGCAGGGAGGTGTGATGGAAAGGCAGGGAGGTGTGATGGAAAGGCAGGGAGGTGTGATGGAAAGGCAGGGAGGTGTGATGGAAAGGCAGGGAGGTGTGATGGAAAGGCAGGGAGGTGTGATGGAAAGGCAGGGAGGTGTGATGGAAAGGCAGGGAGGTGTGATGGAAAGGCAGGGAGGTGTGATGGAAAGGCAGGGAGGTGTGATGGAAAGGCAGGGAGGTGTGATGGAAAGGCAGGGAGGTGTGATGGAAAGGCAGGGAGGTGTGATGGAAAGGCAGGGAGGTGTGATGGAAAGGCAGGGAGGTGTGATGGAAAGGCAGGGAGGTGTGATGGAAAGGCAGGGAGGTGTGATGGAAAGGCAGGGAGGTGTGATGGAAAGGCAGGGAGGTGTGATGGAAAGGCAGGGAGGTGTGATGGAAAGGCAGGGAGGTGTGATGGAAAGGCAGGGAGGTGTGATGGAAAGGCAGGGAGGTGTGATGGAAAGGCAGGGAGGTGTGATGGAAAGGCAGGGAGGTGTGATGGAAAGGCAGGGAGGTGTGATGGAAAGGCAGGGAGGTGTGATGGAAAGGCAGGGAGGTGTGATGGAAAGGCAGGGAGGTGTGATGGAAAGGCAGGGAGGTGTGATGGAAAGGCAGGGAGGTGTGATGGAAAGGCAGGGAGGTGTGATGGAAAGGCAGGGAGGTGTGATGGAAAGGCAGGGAGGTGTGATGGAAAGGCAGGGAGGTGTGATGGAAAGGCAGGGAGGTGTGATGGAAAGGCAGGGAGGTGTGATGGAAAGGCAGGGAGGTGTGATGGAAAGGCAGGGAGGTGTGATGGAAAGGCAGGGAGGTGTGATGGAAAGGCAGGGAGGTGTGATGGAAAGGCAGGGAGGTGTGATGGAAAGGCAGGGAGGTGTGATGGAAAGGCAGGGAGGTGTGATGGAAAGGCAGGGAGGTGTGATGGAAAGGCAGGGAGGTGTGATGGAAAGGCAGGGAGGTGTGATGGAAAGGCAGGGAGGTGTGATGGAAAGGCAGGGAGGTGTGATGGAAAGGCAGGGAGGTGTGATGGAAAGGCAGGGAGGTGTGATGGAAAGGCAGGGAGGTGTGATGGAAAGGCAGGGAGGTGTGATGGAAAGGCAGGGAGGTGTGATGGAAAGGCAGGGAGGTGTGATGGAAAGGCAGGGAGGTGTGATGGAAAGGCAGGGAGGTGTGATGGAAAGGCAGGGAGGTGTGATGGAAAGGCAGGGAGGTGTGATGGAAAGGCAGGGAGGTGTGATGGAAAGGCAGGGAGGTGTGATGGAAAGGCAGGGAGGTGTGATGGAAAGGCAGGGAGGTGTGATGGAAAGGCAGGGAGGTGTGATGGAAAGGCAGGGAGGTGTGATGGAAAGGCAGGGAGGTGTGATGGAAAGGCAGGGAGGTGTGATGGAAAGGCAGGGAGGTGTGATGGAAAGGCAGGGAGGTGTGATGGAAAGGCAGGGAGGTGTGATGGAAAGGCAGGGAGGTGTGATGGAAAGGCAGGGAGGTGTGATGGAAAGGCAGGGAGGTGTGATGGAAAGGCAGGGAGGTGTGATGGAAAGGCAGGGAGGTGTGATGGAAAGGCAGGGAGGTGTGATGGAAAGGCAGGGAGGTGTGATGGAAAGGCAGGGAGGTGTGATGGAAAGGCAGGGAGGTGTGATGGAAAGGCAGGGAGGTGTGATGGAAAGGCAGGGAGGTGTGATGGAAAGGCAGGGAGGTGTGATGGAAAGGCAGGGAGGTGTGATGGAAAGGCAGGGAGGTGTGATGGAAAGGCAGGGAGGTGTGATGGAAAGGCAGGGAGGTGTGATGGAAAGGCAGGGAGGTGTGATGGAAAGGCAGGGAGGTGTGATGGAAAGGCAGGGAGGTGTGATGGAAAGGCAGGGAGGTGTGATGGAAAGGCAGGGAGGTGTGATGGAAAGGCAGGGAGGTGTGATGGAAAGGCAGGGAGGTGTGATGGAAAGGCAGGGAGGTGTGATGGAAAGGCAGGGAGGTGTGATGGAAAGGCAGGGAGGTGTGATGGAAAGGCAGGGAGGTGTGATGGAAAGGCAGGGAGGTGTGATGGAAAGGCAGGGAGGTGTGATGGAAAGGCAGGGAGGTGTGATGGAAAGGCAGGGAGGTGTGATGGAAAGGCAGGGAGGTGTGATGGAAAGGCAGGGAGGTGTGATGGAAAGGCAGGGAGGTGTGATGGAAAGGCAGGGAGGTGTGATGGAAAGGCAGGGAGGTGTGATGGAAAGGCAGGGAGGTGTGATGGAAAGGCAGGGAGGTGTGATGGAAAGGCAGGGAGGTGTGATGGAAAGGCAGGGAGGTGTGATGGAAAGGCAGGGAGGTGTGATGGAAAGGCAGGGAGGTGTGATGGAAAGGCAGGGAGGTGTGATGGAAAGGCAGGGAGGTGTGATGGAAAGGCAGGGAGGTGTGATGGAAAGGCAGGGAGGTGTGATGGAAAGGCAGGGAGGTGTGATGGAAAGGCAGGGAGGTGTGATGGAAAGGCAGGGAGGTGTGATGGAAAGGCAGGGAGGTGTGATGGAAAGGCAGGGAGGTGTGATGGAAAGGCAGGGAGGTGTGATGGAAAGGCAGGGAGGTGTGATGGAAAGGCAGGGAGGTGTGATGGAAAGGCAGGGAGGTGTGATGGAAAGGCAGGGAGGTGTGATGGAAAGGCAGGGAGGTGTGATGGAAAGGCAGGGAGGTGTGATGGAAAGGCAGGGAGGTGTGATGGAAAGGCAGGGAGGTGTGATGGAAAGGCAGGGAGGTGTGATGGAAAGGCAGGGAGGTGTGATGGAAAGGCAGGGAGGTGTGATGGAAAGGCAGGGAGGTGTGATGGAAAGGCAGGGAGGTGTGATGGAAAGGCAGGGAGGTGTGATGGAAAGGCAGGGAGGTGTGATGGAAAGGCAGGGAGGTGTGATGGAAAGGCAGGGAGGTGTGATGGAAAGGCAGGGAGGTGTGATGGAAAGGCAGGGAGGTGTGATGGAAAGGCAGGGAGGTGTGATGGAAAGGCAGGGAGGTGTGATGGAAAGGCAGGGAGGTGTGATGGAAAGGCAGGGAGGTGTGATGGAAAGGCAGGGAGGTGTGATGGAAAGGCAGGGAGGTGTGATGGAAAGGCAGGGAGGTGTGATGGAAAGGCAGGGAGGTGTGATGGAAAGGCAGGGAGGTGTGATGGAAAGGCAGGGAGGTGTGATGGAAAGGCAGGGAGGTGTGATGGAAAGGCAGGGAGGTGTGATGGAAAGGCAGGGAGGTGTGATGGAAAGGCAGGGAGGTGTGATGGAAAGGCAGGGAGGTGTGATGGAAAGGCAGGGAGGTGTGATGGAAAGGCAGGGAGGTGTGATGGAAAGGCAGGGAGGTGTGATGGAAAGGCAGGGAGGTGTGATGGAAAGGCAGGGAGGGATGGCGGTGAGAATTGCAGGTTGAGTCAGAATGGCAGGACGAGTGCATGGCGACGCATGGCGAGTGTGAGAGGGCAGACGGGCCTCGTCCCAAACCCGTGGGCGATGGGAAGGAAAATAACATGGGGAGACATGGAGGGAAAATTGGAAGCGAGAGAGAGGGATGGGGCGATCTGGAGGAAGGAGGAAAAGGGGATGTGAAGAGCAAGAAGCAAGACAAAGCGTGGACCAGTGACAAAGGAGGGAAGAGGCACAGAGAGCGGGAGGTAGAGTGGTGGTGCTGATGAGGACAGTGCTTGAGGAGCAGTTTGAAGAGGGCGGGTTGCGGATAACAGGCCCTGGAAAAGAGAAGAGATGGGAAGGCAGGGAGAGGTGGTGGGAGGCATGAAGGGGAGATGGGAAGGCAGGGAGAGGTGGTGGGATGAGGAGATGGGGAGGGGAGATGGAGAAAAGGGGGAAATGAGGGCGTGCAGGGGGGGGAATGAAGGTGTGCAAGGGGGAAATGAGGGCGCGCAAGGGGTAAATGAAGGCGTGCAAGGGGGGAAATGAAGGCGTGAAAGGGGGGGATGAGGCGTGCAAGGGGGAAATGAGGGCGTTCGAGGGGGAGAAACGAGGGCGTGCAGGGGGGGAAATAAGGGCGTGCAGGGGAAATGAGGGCGTGCTCGGAAGGGGAGTAGGCGTGGCGGGAAGGGGAGATGGCGTGGCGGGAAGGGGGGATGACGTGGCGAGAAGGGGGGATGGAGTGGCGGGAAGGGGAGATGACGTGGCGGGAAGGGGAGTTTTCGTGGCGGGAAGGGGAGATGGCGTGGCGAGAAGGGGGGATGACGTGGCGAGAAGGGGGGATGGAGTGGCGGGAAGGGGAGATGACGTGGCGGGAAGAGGAGTTTTCGTGGCGGGAAGGGGAGATGGCGTGGCGGTGGTCGCGATGGGGCCGCGTGAGGAGACGTAGAGCCCAGTCCGATGAACCGAGCTGGTAAAGAAGCATTCGTGCAGCCGCGAATGGGTATAAACCAGAACGAGGCAGCGTGGTTCGGCGAGAGGAGTCTCAATCCGGACGTCGTCCGGCGAAAGGCGAACAACGGACGGCGAACGTGAAAGGGAGGGCACGCGAGCGGCGAGCGGGAAGCAGCGGCTCACCGCGCGCGGCGAACGGCGGACGGCGAGCTAGGAGTGGAGGAAGGGATAGGATGCAGATGCTAGCGCGTCGAGGCTAAACGGGACGTTGTGGGGAGGGGAGGCGCTGTCGCTAATGGCCTTGCGGTGAGGTAGCGAGAGGAGGCGTGGGGCGGCCTTGTCTAAGGTGGCGTGGCCTAAGCGAGTGCGTAGGCGTGGCGATTTGTCCGCGCATGCGAGGAAACATCGTTACGTGGTTCAGTAACAGATGTTGTCCCTAATTCTAGCTGTTAGGTTAGAATGCTGCCTAGTCTACGCGGAATGACATACTGAAGTAGGAGTGTGTGGGCTATCCTCTCACTACCGCAGTTGCAGTTTCCTTTTGCAATTCCTAAGGTTTTGAACTGTGAGTGCGGGGAGCCGGACGTGGGGCGTTTGGGAACTCCTTCGCCTCTCAACAAGGGGGGGGTTGGGGTTGTAATCGCGTAACCAGTTTTTCAAGTTCCTAAGGTTTTTGAAACCCCCGCTTGCAAAAGTATACTGTTGCTTTAAAGCGAGCAGGCAAAATAGTGACCCCGTTTTCTAGTTGGGTCCAGGTTGAAATGAGTGAAGTGGCGGGAAGGAGTGCGGGTGGATGGCCAGAATTTACGCGCCAAGAGAAAGGAGGCATGTACCCCACGGGAGGGGAGCAAAAAAAAAAATCAGGGCCCAGTTGATCGCATGTGTGGTTGGCGACAGCATTGTGAATGCATTAGCGATCAAACCTTCTCCTCACCCAATCATGTGTAGGATTTGCATCTTCTGATTGGACCGTCAAGGCAGAATGAACACTCCTGCAGCACCAGCAACCCGCGACAGAACCACCCCAATTGAAACATATTCAACAGAAGCCACGTGAGAAATGAGCAGCGCCCATCTCGAACACGCCCTGCCAACCCCCTGACTAAATGTCTGGCACCAAAGCCGCTCGACACTGAGTAGCATAGCTGTAGTAGCACCTCCCGCGGCGATTAGTCGAAGCTAGTATCGATTCTGTTGAGGCACGGCGCAGCGCGCGCTAGCCCGACACCAGAACCGATCGAAATGTTGCATGCGCGGATGTGTGCAAGTGAGTCCGTTTGTGCCTGTTTCTTCCCGTGCACGTGGCTGATTTAGTCGCGAAACTGCTTTAATTCAACATCTCCTCGTCGCCCCCGCTTCGCGATTTCCCACGCGCTTCACCCCGTCGCTCCCGCCTCGTCATTTCCCACGCGCTGGACCGCGTCGCCCCCGCCTCGCAATCTGTCCCACGCGCGGAACCTCGTCGCCCCCGCCTCGTCGTTGCCCACGCGCTTCTCCCCGTCGACCCCGCCTCTTCATTTTCTCGCGCGCGCAGCCTATACTCGCACATGAAGTCCGCCAATGATTCCCCCGGTAGCACACCTCCAACCACCCGAATCGCCTCTTCCTCCCTCCATCTCTCCTGGGAACCCCCATCTCTCCCCTCGCTTCCTTTCCTCCGTCCCTCACTACCTTGCTCTCTTCCCCCCTTCCAATGTCCCTCTCATGTACTCCTCTCAGGAGAGAGGGGTAAGGACCGAGGGTTTGAGACAAAGGGACAAGGACACAGGGGGAAAACGAGCATACTGGGTTGAAAACGAGCAGGCACGGCGCTGGGCCTTGCATTCCGTGTGAAAACGAGCAGGCACGGCGCTGGGCCTTGCATTCCGTGTGAAAACGAGCAGGCACGGCGCTGGGCCTTGCATTCCGTGTGAAAACGAGCAGGCACGGCGCTGGGCCTTGCATTCCGTGTGAAAACGAGCAGGCACGGCGCTGGGCCTTGCATTCCGTGTGAAAACGAGCAGGCACGGCGCTGGGCCTTGCATTCCGTGTGAAAACGAGCAGGCACGGCGCTGGGCCTTGCATTCCGTGTGAAAACGAGCAGGCACGGCGCTGGGCCTTGCATTCCGTGTGAAAACGAGCAGGCACGGCGCTGGGCCTTGCATTCCGTGTGAAAACGAGCAGGCACGGCGCTGGGCCTTGCATTCCGTGTGAAAACGAGCAGGCACGGCGCTGGGCCTTGCATTCCGTGTGAAAACGAGCAGGCACGGCGCTGGGCCTTGCATTCCGTGTGAAAACGAGCAGGCACGGCGCTGGGCCTTGCATTCCGTGTGAAAACGAGCAGGCACGGCGCTGGGCCTTGCATTCCGTGTGAAAACGAGCAGGCACGGCGCTGGGCCTTGCATTCCGTGTGAAAACGAGCAGGCACGGCGCTGGGCCTTGCATTCCGTGTGAAAACGAGCAGGCACGGCGCTGGGCCTTGCATTCCGTGTGAAAACGAGCAGGCACGGCGCTGGGCCTTGCATTCCGTGTGAAAACGAGCAGGCACGGCGCTGGGCCTTGCATTCCGTGTGAAAACGAGCAGGCACGGCGCTGGGCCTTGCATTCCGTGTGAAAACGAGCAGGCACGGCGCTGGGCCTTGCATTCCGTGTGAAAACGAGCAGGCACGGCGCTGGGCCTTGCATTCCGTGTGACGCCAAGCAGGCGTGGCGCTCTTCCCTACTTGTTTCCGTGTGGAAACAAGCTGACGCGGCGCTGTGCATCAGGCATTCCGTGCCTAAACGAGAAGCGCGGCGCTATGCCTTGCATTCCGCGCGGATCTAGTAGGCAAGGTTCGAGGCGTTGCAATCCGTTCGAAATCTGAATAATAGGTGCAGCGTTGAGCCTATGCAATGTCGAACACAAGCGCGCTTCGGCGCTTCGCGCCGCCTTGTGTTCGACTGTGACGGGGGGTCGCGACGTTGCTTCTAATCTGTTAGAAAACGAGTAGGGGCGCCTTGCAGTTTGTTCTACTGCATTGCGCAGCATATCACGAGGCCGCATGCGTCACGGTCGCATGCGTGATGTAATGGCTTGCTCCCATACGCCTCACGCCGGTTCCGAATCGCACCTGATGAGTATACATTCGAGATATTCGTCCTCGTTGAACGTAGTGTCACGTGTTCACATGATATGCGAAACGCATTGAGTCCGTCACACCTGAAACGATGGGGTCCCTGTTTGCTACATCTATCTATGCTACCCGCTACCTTGTCCCTGATATCTCCTTCGATGTTGGTAAGAATAATCACTGCATTCGCTCTGTTCTGGCTGATACTGACGGCGCCAGCACTGAGAAGGCACACGATTGACAGCTATGACCGAAACAGAAAAACAACGCTACGCGCGCGGCCCCTTTCACGCGTTACTAAGCCGTGGTGGGTTACTCTCCCTTTGCTCTGGAGTCTCTAGTGCCGTATGACGTGAAAATAGTATGGCAAGCCAGAGTGCAACCCAGGTCCACTTTGAAGCTCAAATTGGGCCCAGTGGACCCAGTCTTGCGCACTTCTGTTTTTGCACCTGGTTTTGTGGCTCTGTTCCCAGCGCGTCAGTTCATTTCGTGTACTCCTCTCCCAGCAGAGCATGACATTCGATTTCGATCCCCTGTCGCACAGGATAACCCACGCGGTGCCTTCGTTTGCTTGCGAGCAGACCCACCAATGCCATTGTTCGCATTCGACCCAGGACATTGTTGTCCAATCGCCTGTTTTTGTTTCAGCCTGTACCTTGGAATGACATGGGTCAAATGGACAGTGAGCCCCATCTTGTCGAGCCCAGAGCACCCTCTCTAAACAGTGCCAGAGTTTCAAACTGGGCCAAGGGTGACTATTTTGCCTGCTCGCTTTAAGCCTCACATGCTGAGTTCCTGAGAGAAACAACCCATCCGAACCTTGACTGCGAGTTGGATGGAAGTACTACAATGGAGTACGGTTATTCTTGTTTAGGAACTTTAAAATAAGACAGTCATCCAACAAACAAGAAGATGGATCACCCCAGCTCACATGAAGGAATATGGTATGTTGGTCTAAGCTGACTAGGCTGGCTGGGACTCCCTGTCTCTGGAGGAATCTGTGTACAAAAGGATAAATAATCACGTCTGAAAAAGAAGCACGAACCCGGTAAAACTGTATTGCAAGCTTCTGACATCAGTTCTGTATGCACTGCTGCTCACCGGCTGATGAGTCTAGCACCTTCCCCTGCCAGGTGCCACCCGCTCTCTCATTACCGTATTCATCACAGCCTTGCATTGCATCTACTCAGTACAGGTGCCACTCTGATACTGACTACCACAGCCCTGCTTCCAGCCGGCAGAATTGCCCCTGTGTTCGTTGCGGTGCTGTGCGGTGCTGGATCATGGGGGCTACTACCAGCACCAGTTGCGATAACAGGTGAATCAGGAGGAGAGACGAGATGGATCTAGCTAATGCGCCACAATGGTGGGTGGGTGGATAAACTTGTGAGGTGGTGTGAAGGGCGGATGGTGTGAAGGGCGGATCCATCAGGCGCGCGCGGCAAGGTAGTGCCGCAACGCAACACCTTATATGCATCCACCGCTGCTTTGCGGCGCCTCAAAAGTTCACCGCTGCTTTGCGGCGCCTTTTAAAAGCCCGCGCCGCGACGAGTCGATTGCTTAGGCGCCTCGCAAATTGCATCAGGTGCTCAACAGGCGGGCACAAGGTAGTGCCGCAGCAAGCGAGCACATGGAAGGAATCAGGCGGGTACCAGGTAGTGCCGCAGCACCTTCTCCAGTGCTGCTTTGCTCACTGGCTTCGACATGTAGTCTGGTGGGTGGACCGGGGGGAGAGTGAAGAGAAAAGGGGCAAGAGGGCCGAGAAAGGGAGGGAGAGGGAGATTAATGAAAATTCTCTACATGTCTAAAAAATCGGTGCTTTGCACACCAGCTTTGACATGTAGTCTGATGGGTGGACCAGGGGGGGAGGGGGGAGAAAGTGGGGGAGAGAGAGGGGGATAAATGGGGATTTTCTAGAAAATGGGGAGAGGGGAGTGAAATAAGTAAGGAGGAGAGGCGAGTGAAATAAAGTAAGGAGGAGAGGCGAGTGGGCAGCAAGTCAAGGGGGGAGATGGAAAATGGATGAAGTGGGGAAAGGCAGAGAGGAAAAGGAAGGGCAGTCGATGAAATACATACTTTCGTCTAAATACATGCTTTTGGCGGAGTGAAGTATGCTTCGCCAGTAACACAGCCATGAGTCATTCTCGTCCTCCATCCATCCCCCCAAGCCGCCGCTAACGCTAGATTCACCTGTGAGAATTCTTTTAAGTGACTTTTGAGTCGACTCTAAAGTCCATTCCCCCAAGCCGCCGCTAACGCTAGATTCGATTCACCTGTGAGAATTCTCCCAAGTGACTTTTGAGTAACGTTAGATTCACCTGTGAGAACTCTCCCAAGTGCCTGCCACTACTAACTAACACAGCGCCGTCGCCGGTAGTCAGTCTCTCACGTGCGTCACTCACCTGTCATGCCAGCAGCCAGGCATGCCTACTCCCGATCGCTTTTTGAGGCGTCTCTAGAACAGGCAGCCTGAAGCCTGTCCCCCACGCTGTGCTGCCTGCATGCAATGCAACTATAGCACGTGCTTTGCTTTGCTAACCTGTCATGCCAGCTGCAAGGCACTGCTCCCGATTTTCTTTTGAGGCGTCTCTAAAACCTCTCTCTCACACTGAAACCTGTCTCTAAAGCCAGCCCGAAACCTGTCTCCCACGCTGTGCTGCATGCAACTATGGCACATGCTTTGCTAACCTGTCATACCGGCAGCCAGGCACTGCTCCCAATCGCCTTTCAGTGCGTTGGCCGTCTGAAAACACACCAGAGGTTGCGCCAGCTGTCCCTCTCGCACTGTGCTGCATGCCCTTGTGGCACATACAGCACTCACCTGTCACGTGCTTTGCTCACCTGTCACGTGCTGTGCTCACCTGTCATGCCAGCTGCCAGACACTGCTTCCCATCGCTTTTTGAGGCGTCTCTAAAGCCAGCCTGAACCCACGCTGTGCTGCATGCAACTGTGGCACATGCTATGCTATGCTATGCTATGCTCTGCTTTGCTCTGCTTTGCTCTGCTTTGCTCTGCTTTGCTCTGCTTTGCTCTGCTTTGCTCTGCTTTGCTCTGCTTTGCTCTGCTTTGCTCTGCTTTGCTTTGCTTTGCTAACCTGTCATACCGGCAGCCAGGCACTGCTCCCAATCGCCTTTCAGTGCGTTGGCCGTCTGAAAACACACCAGAGGTTGCGCCAGCTGTCCCTCTCGCACTGTGCTGCATGCCCTTGTGGCACATACAGCACTCACCTGTCACGTGCTTTGCTCACCTGTCACGTGCTGTGCTCACCTGTCATGCCAGCTGCCAGACACTGCTTCCCATCGCTTTTTGAGGCGTCTCTAAAGCCAGCCTGAACCCACGCTGTGCTGCATGCAACTGTGGCACATGCTATGCTATGCTATGCTATGCTCTGCTTTGCTCTGCTTTGCTCTGCTTTGCTCTGCTTTGCTCTGCTTTGCTCTGCTTTGCTCTGCTTTGCTCTGCTTTGCTCTGCTTTGCTCTGCTTTGCTTTGCTTTGCTCACCTGTCATACCGGCAGCCAGGCACTGCTCCCGATCGCCTTTCAGTGCGTTCGCCGTCTGAAAGCGCACACGGGGAGAGATTTTAGACAATGCGTGGAAAGGCGAATGGGGAGGGGGGGAGGGTAAGTCCAGCCAACAGGCGGCGAATGGGATATACTACAGCTGGAGACAGCAAAACAAGTATATTAAAGAGGTTGGAGGCAAGCAACAGCGTGAGCAGAGGGGCGGGGAAGCAGCGAGTCGGGCTGCTTGCGCCAGGGAGAGAACTTACGAGTGCCACAATCGTGACTGGCGGCTGCCCCCTCGCCGCCTCCAGCTCGCGGATCTTGCTTGGCCGTCCACCCGTCCATCTCCGGCATCTGGGAGCAAGGATTGAGGAAGAAACGAGAGTGGTTGAGGACGCTGATATTCTCTGGAAGACTCCCAACTGATTTTGCTCGGGTGCAGATGGGTTTCCGCTGCCGTTTGTGGCGTGGAGATATGGGAGGCATGAAGCATGGGAAGCGTGGGGCAGGCAGCCCTTGGGAGAAGAAATGCACGAGCAGGGGGGTGTAAGTTGTAACAAGGGGATGGATGAATCGTGTCGGGCACATGAGGGTGAGAGGAATGAGGGAGACGTGATGAGGAATGAGGGAGACGTGATGAGGAATGAGGGAGACGTGATGAGGAATGAGGGAGACGAGAGGGTGGAGGGTCAAGAAGGCTAGAGTGGGATGAGAAGTAGACCAGGGAGCAGGGGATAAGAAAAGTTAGTCCAGTGAGATAAGGTTGCTGACCTGGAGATTAATGATAGGGTTGCTGACGTGGCAGTCCATGTGGAGAAGGTTGCTGACCTGGCAGTCCATGAGGATAAGGTTGCTGACCTGGCAGTCCATGAGGATAAGGTTGTAATGGTTCTTCTCGAAGAGGTTAACTGCCTCGAGCCCATTGTTGGCGAGGTCCACACTCACTCCCAGCATGGCTAGCATCGATTTCGCCACCTTCTGGTTGATCTGTGGGGTGGGAGAAACAAGGAATTGATAACACCACAGAATTACAGATAACACCACTCGCCCGCCCTCCCCTCGCCGCCCCTCCTGCTCCCCCCGACTGCAGCAGACTTCGGAGTCAACTCAACAACATTGACTCACCGCATTGTCCTCTGCCAGCAAGATTTGGCCGCTAAGCTTTGGCCCACTGGGCTTGCCCCGCCTACACGCCCTTATCCTGGAGGCAGTTCAGAAGTTGACTCACCGCATTGTCTTCTGCCAACAATATGCGGCCGCTCAGCTTCGGTCCGCTCGGCTTGCCCCCTGCTGTCCGCGTGCCCACTCCGCTCGCCCGCCCTCCCCTTGCCGCTCCTCCCGCCCCTCCTGCCTGCAGCAGGCTCTCCCCCCCTGGCGTCGCCCTCAGCGCAGCTTCTAGCGCCTCCATCAGCGCCTTGGGGCGAACCTGTGATTGGAGGGGGGACGGGGTGGGTAGGAAAGGGGGGACAGGAGTCAAGGTTATGGGGAGGGGAAGGAGAGGGGACAGGGATGCAGCAGGCTCTCCCCCCCTGGTGTCACCCTCAGCGCCGCTTCTAGAGCCTCCATCAGAGCCTTGGGGCGAACCTGTGATTGGAGGGGGGACGGGGTGGGTAGGAAAGGGGGGACGGGAGTCGAGGTTATGGGGAGGGGAAGGAGAGGGGACAGGGATGCAGCAGGCTCTCCCCCCCTGGCGTCGCCCTCAGAGCTGCTTCTAGCGCCTCCATCAGCGCCTTGGGGCGAACCTGGGGGGCAGGGGGACGGGGTGGGTAGGAAAGGGGGGACGGGAGTCGAGGTTATGGGGAGGGGAAGGAGAGGGGACAGGGATGCAGCAGGCTCTCCCCCCCTGGTGTCACCCTCAGCGCCGCTTCTAGAGCCTCCATCAGAGCCTTGGGGCGAACCTGTGATTGGAGGGGGGACGGGGTGGGTAGGAAAGGGGGGACAGGAGTCAGGGTTATGGGGAGGGGAAGGAGAGGGGACAGGGATGCAGCAGGCTCTCCCCCCCTGGCGTCGCCCTCAGAGCTGCTTCTAGCGCCTCCATCAGCGCCTTGGGGCGAACCTGTGGGGGACTTGTGAGGGGCCTCCGAACCTGGGGGGGAAAATGAGATCAGGGTTAGGAGGCACTACAGGGAGGGTAAGGAGCAGAGCAGTACATGGGCACACCTCTCTCCCAACCCCTCCATACCACCCCATAATAGCATAGCACCCCACCCTCCACTCTTCCACCCCACCCCACTCCACCCCACTCCACCCCACCTCACCCCACCATACCATGGGCTTGTTGAGCAGGAGAGGCGGGGCACGGTCCTGCCAGTGCCGGATGGCTCTGAGCTCTGCCTCTGTCTTCTCCGTCACCTGCGTGCGGTTCAGCAGCAGCACTACACCCACCCTGTCCCTGCCCAGACACTCCAGCACCTCCTGTGGGAGAGGTGAGGGAAAGGAAGGCAACAAATGACGATTCACAATGAGTCGGGAGGGTTGAGTGCTGGAGGCTGTACGGCCCTCAGCTGCGGTTCAGCAGCAGAACCACTCCCACTCTGTCCCTGCCCAGACACTCCAACACCTCCTGTGGGGTTGATTGAAACGTTGCACCGTGGAATAGGAGAGGGAGAGGCAAAGGCATTGAGATTATATGGAGGGATGGAAGAGTAAGGAATTATCCGCCAGAGTGGGGCGTTGACTCAGGTCAACCATCACAGCATCATAGTCGTTCAGCCCTCTGCGATGCCCTCCTTCACAGCCCCATCCCTCCTCGTCACGGCAACACTTGCATTAACACCACCACCATTACTCACAATCACATTTACATCAGCCAGAACAGTAAAACTCACAATCACGTTAGCATCAGCCAGGGTGGGGCGTTGACTCACAATCACATTAGCATCAGCCAGAGTGGGGCGTTGACTCAGGTCAACCATCACAGCATCATAGTCCTCCGCCACGCCCTCCCGCTCACTGCCATCCCTCCACCGCACGGGCGGCGCCAGCCGGGTGGCGGGGGCGGGCGGCAGAGTGCCAGCTGGCAGGCGCTGCAGAATGGCCTCTTCTGGCGTGGCGATGAGCAGCGAGTGCGGCACGTGCCAGGCTGTCAGCTGCTTTGATATGGCTGACGCTGTGACCTGGGGAGGCAGAGGGGGAAGGGGAAGAGGGCGGGAAGGGGGAGGGAGAGAGGGAAAGGGGAAAGAGGGATTACATCGCATTGGTCGGGCCGGGCGAGCATCTAGAGGAGGGAGTGCGGGACGTGCCAGGCTGTCAGCTGCTTTGATATGGCCAACGCTGTCACCTGGAGAGAAGGGACGGAGGAGTGGGGAGGGAGAGATGGAAAGGGGAAAGAGGAGTTGCATCGTATGGTCGGGCCAGCATCTAGTGAGGAGCGAGTGAGGGACGTGCCAGGCTGTCAGCTGCTTTGATATCGCTGACGCTGTGACCTGGAGAGGAGGGAGGGGTTAGGGAGGGGGTAGGTGGGGAAGAGGGGAAAGAGGGATTACATTAGTGACAGCGTCACCCCCCTCTTCCCCCAGCTCGCCCAGCCGCTGCTTACATTACATGGCTGGGCCAGCATCTAGTGAGTAGCGGGTGAGGCAGTGCCAGGCTGTCAGCCGCTTGAATATGGCCGACACTGTGACCTGCAGACAGGGGGGGGAGAGAGAAAGGAGGGAAGGGGCAAAAGGGGAGGGGGTAAAAGATGGGAAAGGCGGAAGGGGGTTTCACATTACATCATATGTTGAGCATCTAGTGAGCAGGGAGCGCACCAGCCCAGCCGGGTGCCCAAACAGCCAATATGATGCTCCTCTGTACACACCTTTACCGCTCTATAACCCTCTCCACCGTACTGCACGCCTCAATCTGTGCTCACCTGTATCGGCGAGATAACCAGCAGCCTCAGATTCAGCAACTCATCCGCCACACTCCCACACTCCCAATCCGCCCTCACCTGCATGCTCCTCTGTACTCACCTTCACCCCTCTATATCCCTCCAAACTGCCCTGCCTGTTTCTCCCTGTGCTCACCTGTATCGGCGAGATAACCAGCAGCCTCAGATTCACCAACTCATCCGCCACACAACCGATAGCCAATGGGATGCTGCCAACTGACAGTGGCCCCCTCCTCCCCTCCCCCCTTCCCCCTTCCCCTCCCCCCGCTCCCCCCGTTCCCCCCCCAGTGGAGGACGATGTGGGGAGGGAGAGCGGGATTGCTGACTCAGACACGACGAGGCTGCTGCTGCTGCACTGGTTGGCCAGCGATGACGTGGACAGGGAGAGTGCTGACGTGTACGCGGGGTGGTGGGCGTTGATTGGCAGGTGCACGGTGAAGGTGGTCCCCACGTGGAACTCACTATCCACTGAAATACTCCCTCCCATCAGCTCCACCAGCTGGAGTGGTGGGGAATGGGAAGGAGGAGGACAAGGGGAGATGGGAGAGCAGAGGAGACGGGAGAGAGGGTGAGTGAAGGGGGTGCACGGTGAACGTGGTGCCCACATGCAACTCACTCTCCACTGAGATGCTGCCTGCCCCCAACTTCTCCACCAGCTGGAGACGAGGAGGGAGAGAGCAAGGAGAAAATGGGAAGAGGGGAGAGGGGAGAAAGGAGGGCCCGACAGGATGCCTTTTGACTTGACTGGCAGACAAATCATGCCAGTCTAGTTTTGAGGCGCCTCAAAACTAAACTTTTTACTTGACTGGCAGACAAAGCATGCCAGTCTGCCGCACAGAACAGAAGCACGGCAGGCAGGCAGGAAACGTCTATCTCTGCCCTGCTCTGCTCCATTTCTGCTTCATTGCATCTTCGCCGTACTAATCACCCCTCAAAGGCGCCACCAGAAAACTATATATATATGTTTATTAGCTGACTTTACTAGGGACTCTATCACCCACCTGTTGTGAGAATTGGACATGTATTAACCTGGGACCCACACACACACCTGCTTGGAGATGGCAAGGCCTAGCCCAGTCCCTCCGAACTTGCGTGTGGTGGATGCGTCCACCTGGCGGGGTGAGCGTGGATAGGGAGTGAGGGAGAGGAGTGAGGTAGGGCTTTTAAGGCACCAAAAATATCTCCTCACTTCACGTGGCTTGGAGATGGCAAGGCCTAGCCCAGTCCCTCCGAACTTGCGTGAGGTGGATGCATCCACCTGGTGGGGTTAGAGCGGGTAGGGAGAGAGTGAGGGAGGGCAGGGAGCGTGAGGGATGGGAAATGCGAGATGGAATGTGAGAAGGGAAAAAAGGGAGGGAGGGAGGGAGGGATGGATGGAGGGAGGAAGGGAGAGAGAGAGAGGAGGACGTTACAGCAACATGTGACACAGAAGGCGGCAGGGTGGTGCATGCTGTCAGCATGGTTGGGAGCAACAAACAGGAGGAGGGATTCATGCATTGCCATACTGCAGCCAAGCATGAAGCAGCAAGGCGAGAGAACATTCCATGCCAGTCTAAGCCCAGCCCCTGACTGAGCTTGTTGTGCCTTGCCCTCATCGATCTGGTTGGTCCCCTCCCCCAGTGCCATTGGTGGACCTCCCCACCCCAGCTCCATAATCCATTCACCACTATTGAAATCACTTTTCAGAATTCTCAAAAGTAGGAAGTGATTTCTTGAGACGTCTCAACAATTCATGATCCATTCAGCAGATTGTTGAGTCGAAACCTAGATGGTCTTTCCAACAAATACCAATCACAAAGTGACCAAGGCACAGCTCCATCCCGAATGTTGAGGTGCCGAAAAAATCAACACAGTGACCAAGGAATAGCTCCATTCCAAATCAACCCACAAAGTCAAGCCTGCTCCGTTCCGTTCCTTCCAGCGCTTACCTGAGAGAACTTAGTAAAGAGCCGGCCGAGCCGCTCCTTGGGAATGCCGATGCCCGTGTCGATGACCTGGCACACCCAGAACTGCTGCGGTACCATTGGGCCACTATTGGGTGCGGAGGTGTTGGTGGTGGTGAGGGTGGTGGTGGAAGAAGAGGAGGAGGAGGAGGCGGGGAGGGCGGGGTGAGATGGTGAGGACGGGAGGGCGGGGGCGGTGTAGGAGGAGAGGCGGAAGATCACGTGTCCACGTTCGGTGAACTTGATGGCGTTGGACACGAGGTTGATGAGCACCTGGTGGAGCAAATGAGAGAGGCCATGGGAAGAGAGGTAGGGAGGGGGGTTGGGGGGGATGGGAGTAGGAGCAAGGGGGCGGGGCAGGAGATGGCGTGTCCACATTCAGTGAACTTGATGGCGTTGGATACGAGGTTGATGAGCACCTGGTGCAGCCAGCGAGGGGCATAAGGAGTAGTAGGGGGACATGGCAGCAGTATGGAGCAAAGCAAAGAGAGCAAGGAGAGTGATTTGTCCACGTGCCCTGCTGCATGCATGCATGCATGCATTCATGCACCCAAGGTGACTTTTGAGTCGACTCAAAAGTCACAGCGATTGTCGACTCAAAAGTCACCACGTGCCCTGCTCCATGCACCCACCCACCCACCCACCCACCCAACCACCCACCCACCCAATCAACCAACCAGACGCACCTGCAGCGTTCGTCCAGAGTCCCCAACGAGGAACGTGGGAGTGTCCGGGCTGATCTCAATGACCACCTCCAGCCCCTTGCTCTCCGCATTGTGGATCAGCAGCTCTGCCACTCGCTCCACCGCCTGCAGCGCGTTGAAGAGCGTCTGCTCGATCTCCAGCTTGCCCGACTCGATCTTGGAGTAGTCGAGGATGTCGTTGATGATCTGCAGCAGCATGTCGCCCGAGTCGCGGATTGTGACGACCCGGTCGCGCTGCTCGGGTGTCAAGTCCGTGTCCAGAAGCAGGGCTGTCATGCCCACCACGCCGTTCATGGGCGTGCGGATCTCATGGCTCATGGTGGCGAGGAAATCTGGAGGTGGAAAGGGAGAGAGAGAGGGGAAACAGGGGAAGCAGGGCAGTGAAGAGGTTGCTCGATCTTGCACATTGTTTTTCAGAATTCTCAAAAACAATCTGAAGAGGTTGCTCGATCTTGGAGTAGTCGAGGATGTCGTTGATGATCTGCAGCAGCATGTCGCCTGAGTCGCGGATTGTGACTACCCGATCCCTCTGCTTGGGGGTTAAATCCGTGTCGAGTAGGAGGGCCGTCATGCCCACCACGACGTTCATAAGGGTCCTGATTTCATGGCTCATGGTGGCGAGGAAGTCTGCAGGCGGGAGGGGAAAGGGCGAGTTGAGAGGGGAGTGAAGAGCTTGGAGTAGTCGAGCATGTCGTTGATAATCTGCAGCAGCATGTGTCGCCCGAATCTAGCAGCGGTGCCGTCATGCCGACTACCCCGTTCATGGGGCCCACATTTTTTTCCTGCTCACGTGTAGCGAGGGTGTTTTTGAGACGTCTCAGAAGACAGCGGTGCCGTCACGGGCTCGTGCCAGAACAGGAAGAAATTTTGGGGTCGAAACTCTTCCTATTCTTGCATGTGGATCTCAGTCACTTTTGAGATTTCGCAAGAGCGGATTCCATGAGACATGGCGGCAAGGAAATTTGGACGAGTCGGGATGTGTGTATGTGACTGCCCCCTCACTCTCACACCCATGTGTCCTCCCAACACCACCAGCTCCTCCCCCAACACTTGAGCTTGAGACATCCGTTCAGCATCGTCCTTGGCCTGCACTGCACCATGCCCTGTTCGAACATTTTCCTCTCTGTGATGTCCGTGTGTGTGCCCACAAACCCATGAACCCGTGTGTACCCTGCTCCACCCCCACTCCCTCCACCACACACCTGCTTTGGCCTGGGACGCCCTCTCTGCTTCGTCCTTAGCCTGCACCATGCCCTGCTCGAACATCTTCCTCTCTGTGATGTCCGTGTGTGTGCCCACGAATCGCAGCGGCTCCCCGTCCTCCGTCTTGCTCAGCACCTTTCCGCGATGCAGGAACCACCTGGGCAGTGAGGATGGGGGACGCAAAAAAGGGAGAATACAAAAAGGTGAGACTAAAAAAAAAGGAGTGGCATTCCTGAGAAATCCCAAGCCACACTGGGTGGCTGACAGGCGACCCGAGATGAGATGAGATGGACGACTCAAAAGTCAACTCTGAGAAATCCCAAGCCACTCTGGGTGGCTGACAGGCGACCCGAGATGAGATGAGATGGACGACTCAAAAGTCAACTCTGAGAAATTCCAAGCCACACTGGGTGGCTGACAGGTGACCCGAGATGAGATGAGATGGACGACTCAAAAGTCAACTCTGAGAAATTCCAAGCCACACTGGGTGGCTGACAGGTGACCCGAGATGAGATGAGATGGACGACTCAAAAGTCAACTCTGAGAAATTCCAAGCCACACTGGGTGGCTGACAGGCGACCCGAGATGAGATGAGATGGACGACTCAAAAGTCAACTCTGAGAAATCCCAAGCCACACTGGGTGGCTGACAGGCGACCCGAGAGCAGGGCATTTCTGAGATGGACAATGAGATGGACGATGGTGCGTCAGAAATGCCATGCTCAGCTCAGCCTCAGGAAGGACTCTGCATCGGAGCCGTTCAGACGACGCCCATCTCACCTGTAGCTGCCGTCCTTGCATCTCAGCCGTTGCTCGTTCACAAACTGCGCCGTCACACCGTCCAGATGCTCCTTGAGTTCTGCATACGCTCTGTCCTTGTCCTCTGGGTGCAACAACCGGTCCCACTCGTCCAGTGTTGAGCCGATATCTCCAGGCTCGTAGCTGCACGAAAGGAGGGAGGGAAAGAAGGGGAGGGAAAGAAGGGGAGGGAAAGAAGGGGAGGGAAAGAAGGGGAGGGAAAGAAGGGGAGGGAAAGAAGGGGAGGGAAAGAAGGGGAGGAAAGGAGGGGAGTGGGGGATGATCTGGGAGGGGAGGATCTGCGGGGTGTTCCCACAGCAGATGCTCCTTGAGATCTGCATACGCGCGGTCCTTGTCCCTCGGGTGCAATAGCCAGTCCCACTCGTCCAAAGTCGAGCCAAAGTCGCCAGGCTCATATCTGTAGGGAGAGGGAGAAAGAGCCGGGGGGTGTTCACATCAGATGCTCCTTGAGGTCGGCATACGCGCGGTCCTTCTCCTCTGGATGTAGTAGGGTTGACTTTTGAGTCGACTCAAAAGTCCTTCTCCTCTGGATGTAGCAGCCGATCCCACTCGCCCAGTGTTGACCCAATGTCACCAGGCTCGTAGCTGGAGGGGGGAAGATGGGGCGAGGGAGAGCGAGCAGGGGGGTTGGGTTGGCACATGAGATGCTCCTTGAGGTCTGCACACGCTCTGTCCTTGTCCTCCGGGTGCAACAGCCGGTCCCACTCGTCCAGGTGAGCCAAGCCAATGTCGCCAGGCTCGTAACTGCGTTGGGAGGAAGGGAGTGAGAAAGAACGAAGAAGAGCCACTTGCCACACGCATCATACTGAGCGGCCTAACATGCTCTTTTGAAAACCACGAGCGGCCCTGTCATATTGTTACTCACTCCGAAACAAGCAGCACTCACCCCAGCATCTGCTTCCATAGGTTGGAGAAGAAAATGGTGTTGTCTCGCACGTTCCAGTTCCTGCACCGGCAGACTCTTCTGAAGCTCTCACTCTAAGCCATGCCCACCCATGTGCTTATGCGCATTCACTCACCCCAGCATCTACTTCCAGCGGTCGGAGAAGAATATGGTGTTGTCTCGCACGTTCCAGTCCCAGGCCCTTACCCGTGCTGCACTCGCATGCTCTTCTGGAGCCCACACTCTAGCTCACCCATGAGCCCAAGAGCCTCAAACTCACCCCAGCATCTGCTTCCAGCGGTCGGAGAAGAACATGGTGTTGTCTCGCACGTTCCAGTCCCACACGCCATCATCACTGCCTGACAGGGCATACAGCCACCGCTCCTCGCTCTCCTGCTCACCAGAAACGGTGTGTGGGAGAACGGGGCACACAAGGTGTCTTTTGAGTTGACTCAAAAGTCACCACACGCCATCATCACTGCCTGACAGGGCATACAGCCACCGCTCCTCGCTCTCCTGCTCACATGCACGGTGCGGGCAAGATGCGCGTGTGAAGGGGTGTGCGTGTGTGGAACACCGAGGTGTGGTGAGAGGGGAGGGGAGGGATGAAAAGGTCCAGTCCCACACACTATCATCGCTTCCTGACAGCGCGTACAGCCACCGCTCCTCACTCTCCTGCTCACATGCACGGTGCATGCAAAAGTGACTTATGAGAATTCTCAAAAGTCATGCACGGTGCATGCAAAAGTGACTTATGAGAATTCTCAAAAGTCATGCACGGTGCGGACAAAAGTGGGGCACAAAACCGGTGAGTGGTACGCATGGACAGGTGGTGAAGGGATGCTCTCCTCACTCTCCTCACTCTCCTCACTCTCCTCACTGCTACCAAAAAACAGTGTGCGCAAGTGGCGGGTACATGTAAAAGTGGTACGTGTGAGGGAACAATGTGAAGTGGATGCGAATTGCAGAGCTCGAATCCCCCCCCCCCCACCAACCAAAAGCACAGTCAACCAAAGGAACCCACCCACCTTGAGCTTCATTTCAACATCAAGCCGTTCCGAAACGTCCCTTAACACAGCCACATAAAACACAGTGCCCAACACCGTGTCGTAAGAGCCCTTGGAGATGGCCTTGATCTTTTGTGTTTAGCCGTTCCCACACCCAACCCAACAAACCCACCTTGAGATTCTTCTCAGCGTCCAGCCTCTCCAAATCATCCCTTAGCACCACCACGTAGAACACGGTGTCGTACGCGCCCTTCCACACCCACACCTTCAGAGATACCCAAACCACTCAACCTAAGGGAGGGAGGGACCCACCTTGAGCTTCTTTTCGGCATCCAGTCGTTCCGAGATATCTCGAAGCACAGCCACGTAGAAGACGGTGTCATACGTGCCCTTGGAGACTGACACCTCCAGAGCTACCCAAACCACAGTCAAGTCAACCCAAGGGAGAAACACGCTCACCTTGAGCTTCTTCTCAGCATCAAGTCGCTCGGAAATATCTCGCAGCACGGCCACGTAGAAGACGGTGTCGTAGGTGCCCTTGGAGACTGACACCTCGAGAGGGAACGTGCTGCCGTCCACGCGCCTGCCTATGCCCTTGTGCACCTTGCCACTCGCCGCATCCAGGCCTGTCAACGGTATAGGACGAGGGGAGGGAGGAAAGGAGGAGCATTGAGATGTACTAAACAGAGTAGAGGAGTGAGGCGACGTGCTGCCATGCCATACACCCGATGCGAGGTGACTTTTGAGTCGACTCAAAAGGTGACTTTTGACTTTTGAGTCGACTCAAAAGGTGACTTTTGACTTTTGAGTCGACTCAAAAGGTGACTTTTGACTTTTGAGTCGACTCAAAAGGTGACTTTTGACTTTTGAGTCGACTCAAAAGGTGACTTTTGACTTCTGAGAGTCGACTCAAAAGGTGACTTTTGACTTTTGAGTCGACTCAAAAGGTGACTTCTGACTTTTGAGTCGACTCAAAAGGAGGAGCATTGAGATGTACTAAACAGAGAAGAGGAGTGAGGCAACGTGCTGCCATGCCATGCACCCGATGCGCTCGTGCACCTTGCCACTCGCCGCGTCCAGGCCTGCTTGACGTGTGGAAGCAAGGAGTTGAAAGCATGATGTATGATGGGACTTGTGAGTGAGTCGCATCACACCAGGATCCGTGGCAGAAGAAGGCGTGAGAGCGCACAAAGTCACATTGCGCGTCCACTTCATGTGGAATGTGTGTGTGTGCGAAGCAGAGGAACACTGTGACTTTGTGCTCGTCCACTTCCTCTTCCCCGTCCCCCTCTCCCCTCTTCCCATTCCCCCATTCCACATTCCCCCTCTCCCCCACCTCACCTCAAGCCAGGAAGTCTCTCTGGCCGTTGATCTCCACCATAAGATCCTGGAACTGCAGGTTGGCTAGACCCAGTAGCATTTACCCAAGCCCTCAACCTATGTTACGAAAGACGCAACCAGGACGCTGCGTCCTGCGTCTGGACGCAGCATCTGGACGCTAGGACGCAGGACGCACGTCCAGTCGCAGGACGCACGCCGAATTTTTTTTCGGGCAGCCCGAAAAAAAAATCCGATCGCGATTTCGACATTCGCGATTTCGACATTCGCGTCGAAATCGCGAAATTTCGGCCCCCCAGGCCCAATTCGCCATTCTAAACCAGCCCCCCTAGCATTTCATAACCATTCATGCAAATTGGAAATTATCTCAAACCTCTCAACCACTTCAAACCTACGAAACCCAACCTTTGTGGCCCACCACCACCAAGCACATTTAGCAATGCAACCATTTGTGGTTTCTCTCATTTTCCCCACCCAACCAATTCTCTTTCGTAAACCCTTGAGGTTTTAGCTTAGCTTACTACCTAAACTCCGCCGTTATGGCTTCCTCGAGCAATCTTTCTTCCTCCGCGTCTAAAGTTTGTGGTTGGGGAAAAATTTGCCTTGAACCCCAAGCCCTATACAATTTTTTTGCCTGCCCGGGGTTTTTTTTGCCCTGCCCGGGCTTGCCTCTTTCGGTGTGTCTTTCTGGTCCAGGTTATGCGTCCTGCGTAGGACGCGTCTTTCGCATCATAGTCCTCAACTCAACTCACCCCTTCCCTCATCTCACCTCGAGCCAGGAAGTCTCTCTGCCCGTTGATCTCCACCATGAGATCCTGGAACTGCAGGTTGGGGGGCGGCGTGACGTTGTTGCTGTCACGGCTGATGATGCTGCCCCCTGCCGCAACAGCAGCAGCAGCGCCGTTGGTGTCGGCAGCGGCAGGGATGGGCGAGTAGCCGAACATCTGCCGCGCTGAGAGGTTCATGGATGTGACGTGGCCGCTGTGGGAGAGCGACATGATGCCCTCCTTGGCCACCTGGTGGGGGATTAGTTGCGGTGGAATGGGTGGGGGATTGGGGGAGGAAGTAGCCAATAGGGAGTGAGAGGCTTTTGAGAATTCTCAAAAGTTGCACGAATATGATTGGGGGAGGGAGTGGGCAATAGGGAGTGAGAGGCAGGAATAGCAGGAGCAGCAGCAACAGCAGCTCCGTTGGTGCTTGTGCTGTGCTGTGCTGTGCTGTGCTGTGCTGTGCTGTGATCTGGTGTGCACATTTGCTCAAAACCTCTCTTCCCCATTACTCACTTGCACAACGCTGGACAGGTGCAGCTCGGCCTCCTTCCTCCTCTTCCGCTCATTCACAGCATAGATCATCTGGGCAATCGTCATCGTCAGAGGCTCAATCTCCCTTTGTTTCCCTCCAACACCCTCACTCTCCCACTCCCTCCCCACCTATCCCCTCTCACCTGCACAACACTCGACAAGTGCAGCTCGGCCTCCTTCCTCCTCTTCCGCTCATTCACCGCATAGATCATCTGCGCGATTGTCATCGTCAGCGGCTCGATCTCCTTCACCAGCTGCTCGTCGTACCCTTGAAGGCGGTTCGCCACTCCGAATATTCCTATCAGCTCCGTGCCTACAAAAAGGTGGGGGTCACGATGGGGGAAAGAGAAGGGGGAGAGGGGAAAAGTGAGAGGTTCAATCTCCTTCACCAGCTGCTCGTCGTACCCTTGAAGGCGGTTCGCCACTCCGAATATCCCAATCAGCTCCGTGCCTACAAAAAGGTGGGGGTCACAATGGGGGAAGAGAAGGGGGAGAGGGGAAAAGTGAGAGGCTCAATCTCCTTCACCAGCTGCTCGTCGTACCCTTGAAGGCGGTTCGCCACTCCGAATATCCCAATCAGCTCCGTGCCTACAAAAAGGTGGGGGTACAGGGGGAAGAGAGGAAGGCTCAATCTCCTTCACCAGCTGCTCGTCGTACCCTTGAAGGCGATTGGCCGTCCGAATATGCCAACCGACTCCGTGCCAACACATAAGAGAGAGGGTACAGGGGGAAGAGAGGAAGGCTCAAACTCCTTCACCAGCTGCTCGTCGTACCCTTGAAGGCGATTGGCCGTCCGAATATGCCTACCGACTCCGTGCCAACACATAAGAGAGAGGGTACAGGGGGAAGAGAGGAAGGCTCAATCTCCTTCACCAGCTGCTCGTCGTACCCTTGAAGGCGATTGGCCGTCCGAATATGCCTACCGACTCCGTGCCAACACATAAGAGAGAGGGTACAGGGGGAAGAGAGGAAGGCTCAATCTCTTCACCAGCTGCTCGTTGTACCCTTGAAGGCGATTGGCCGTCCGAATATGCCTACCGACTCCGTGCCAACACATAAGAGAGAGGGTACAGGGGGAAGAGAGGAAGGCTCAATCTCTTCACCAGCTGCTTCTCATAACTCTGCAGGCGATTGGCCCCTCCCAATATCCCAATCAGATCCTACATGCCTGCAACACATGGGGTGCAGGCAGGACGAGGGGAGAGTCGAGTTATGAGTCGACTCAAAACTCAACTCCTCCATGCCTGCAACACATGGGGTGCAGGCAGGCATGACGAGGGGAGAGAGGGAAACAGGGGGGGGGGACTTGTGAACCCATCGCGCAGGTCTTTCTGAGCGTCGGAGAGCACCTGCTGCCCCGTGCGCATCCCTTCCCTTCCCCTTCACCACGGCGCTGTGCAGCGTGTTGTATTCATGTTGGCGAATACCAGGCCCTTGTGAACCCAACTCTACCTCCTTCTCCCTGTCTTCTCCCCTCCCACCCACACCTTAACGCACCCAACCACACCCCACCGCACCCCCCACTTCACCCACCTGTATACAGCGGAATCCCCATGAACTTCTCAATAATGGGATGGACTGGAGGGAACTCCCCCCCCCCCCCCTCGCCCGGGGGTCGTTCCTGACATCGTTGGTGAGCACCTGCTGCCCCGTCAGCATCACGGCGCCTTGCAGCCCAGTGGGGTGACCCCACTGCACCCAACCACACCCACACCCACCCACTCACGCCATAACCCACCTGTATAGAGCGGGATGCCCATGAACTTCTCAATCACCAAGTGCCCAGGCGGGACCCCCCTGGCGCGGGGGTCATTGCGGGCATTGATGAAGAGCACCTGCTGCCCCGTCAGCACCCCCGCTCCCCCTCTGTCCTCCTCCCCACACCCAACCACACCCACCTGTATACAGCGGGATGCCCATGAACTTCTCAATGACAGGGTGCCCCGGGGGCACTCCCCTCGCACGTGGGTCGTTGCGGGCGTCGTTGGAAAGCACCTGCTGCCCCGTGAGCACCACGGCGCCATGCAGCGTGTTCATGTTGGTGAAGACCAGCCCCTTGTGTGCGTTTGCCGCGTACCATGCCCGCAGCTCCTTGGTCCATGCCACGTTCGTCATCGCATGGGTCTGCAGGACGGTGGGAGGGAGGGTGGAGGAGCAAGGGAGAGGAAGTGGGGAACAAGGGAGGAGAGAAAGAGTGAGCCAGTCAGCACCACGGCGCCGTGCAGCGTGTTGGTGAACACGAGCCCCTTGTGTGCGTTCGCCGCGTACCATGCCCGCAGAGCTCCTTGGTCCATCCATGCCACGTTCGTCATCGCATGGTTCTTAGCGAGAGAGTGAGGCGATCAGAAGGGATGACGCCGAAGCTGGACTCGGTGACCTCCAGAAGCGCTGCCTTGCCTCCAGAAGCGCTGACAGACAGCATGTGGCAAGGCAGGCACACCACACCCCAGCCCCAACCCAGCCAGCACAGCATATCACCCAGCCCATCCCAGAACGGACCTTGACTTGAGGAAGGGCGTGCCGTCAGCCTTGAGCAGTGCGGAGGAGAGGCAGGCATGTTCCAGCCCAGCCCATCCCTTTTTGCCCCACCCCATCCCACCGCACAGCACCCATGCAGACCTTGAGGTAGGGCGTGCCATCAGCCTTGAGCAGTGCGGAGGAGAGGCAGGCATGTTCCAGCCCAGCCCATCCCTTTTTGCCCCACCCCATCCCACCGCACAGCACCCATGCAGACCTTAAGGTAGGGCGTGCCATCAGCCTTGAGCAGAGCGGAGGAGATGAAGCCGAAGCTGGACTCGGTGACCTCCAGCAGCGCGGAGAGCAGGTAGTCAAACACGAGACTGCCGTTGGGCTCCTGGAAAGGGGAGGAGATACGAGGGAATGAGGGGGGTGGAGTGGTGAAGGGAGAGGGGCGGGAAGGGAATGGGCGGGGACGGGAGGGAGATGAATCCGAAGCTGGACTCGGTGACCTCCAGCAGCGCGGAGAGCAGATAGTCAAACATGAGGCTGCCGTTGGGCTCCTGTGAGGAGGAGAGTAGTCAGGAAGGCGAGGTGGGGATGGGAGGCGAAGGGAAGGGGAGGGGAGGAGATGGGAGAGGAGGGGAGGGAAAGGGGAGGGGAGGAGATAAGAGAGGAGGGGAGGGAAAGGGGAGAGGAGGAGATAAGAGAGGAGGGGAGGGAAAGGGGAGAGGAGGAGAGGTGAGGCAAGGGAGGGGAGAGGAGGGGAAGGGATGGGAGAGGAGGGGAAGGGATGGGAGAGGAGGGGAAGGGATGGGAGCGGGGGGAGGGAAGGGGAGGGGAGGGGAGGAGAGGGGAGGGGCGGGGGGTGGAGGGGAGGGGAGGGAGCACGCCCTCAGCCCCCCTGTGAATGCAGCACGCCCTCACCTCACCGCCTGCCGCTCTCACCTTGTCTCTGACGCACAGCACCTTCCTCTCAAGTTACCACACCCTCCCCGCCGCCCTGCACCGCTCCGCTCGCTCCACCTTATCAATGCAGCATGCCATTCACCTCCCTTTGTGCCCCACCTTGACAACAAAGTGCACCTTCTGTTTGCAAGCAAGTGATAGCAGCAAGCAGCTTCCCGTCCAGAGACTCTACACGCCCTTCACCGCCCTTCACCACTCTTCACCGTCCACCACACTCACCTTGTCAATGAAGTAAGCTTGGCGGGCGGCGGGCGCGCGTGATAGCAGCAAGCAGCGTCCGCTGCATCGCCTCAGACATGCTCATCGTCCGCATCAGTGGCTGGCCGGGGTGCCACCCCCCCTCTCCCTCTCCTTCCCGCCCACTCTTCAAGTGACTCTACACGCCTCACCACCTCACTCATTCCATCAATGTGTCTCACTGCCGCGCCCATCTCACTCACCTTATCAATGAAACACACTTGGTGTGTGCACGCGATAGTAGCTAGCCAGCAGCTTCCCCTTAGATGACTTCACACGAACTTCACCGCCCTTCACCTCTCTTCATCGCCCTCCATCGCAACTCACCTTATCAATGAAGTACACTTGGTGTGCGCGAGTGATAGCAGCAAGCAGCTTCCGCTGCAGCGCCTCAGACATGCTCATCGTCCGCATCAGCGGCCGCTGCGGTCCCCCCACCATCCCCCCTGCCCCTCCGCCCATCCCCGCCGCTCCCCCCATCCCCCCCGCCGCTCCCCCCGCGCCTCCCCCCTCCGCGCCCATCCCCCCTCCCCCACCTCTCCTCATCTCCCACGAGGAACCCTCGTGGAAGCTTCTGCTGACAGGCCCCTCCCCGCTCATGAGGTGGTGTGATTGCGCTAGGTGGTGCCTAGGGCAAGCATCGGGACCCATCCCCCCTGCTCCGCCCATCCCCCCGCCCATTCCGCCGCCCATTCCGCCTCCTCCGCCCATACCGTCTCTCCCCATCCCCCTCACACTGTAGTCCGACCCATAATGCGTTGAATGGCTCATTCTCCCCATGCTCGCCCCTTCCCCCATTGCCCCGCCCATTCCCCCGCCCATTCCCCCGTGCTGCCGCCCAGGCGAGCCCATATAAGACATCGATCTGCCGCCCGTTCCAGTGCGAAGCATCGGGTGGCTGGGCGACCCGCCTCGGGAACTCCTTCCCCCAGAATGGTCAGATAAAAATTCCATCTGCCCGTCAGGAGACGGCTTGGAATACTCCACAACGCCATAGGGGGAATGCCCCGCCCCCTGACCCCCACCCTGCTGCTGCTGTTGCTGCTGTTGCCACCTGGCAGCACCGGATTGGGTGGAGCTGGGGGAGCCGGGCGCGGAGGAGGTGTGGGAGAGGGTGTGCGCGGGGAGGTGGGGGTGCTGGTGCGGGGGAACGATTCCGCAGCGGTGCAGCAGCGCCAGCGTCTTGGGGTGGTCCGCGCCGTCGTCGCGCAGGTGCCCGCACTTGCGGCACCTTTGGAAACGGGGGAAGGCGGATGGGGAATGGGGGAAGGGGGATGGGGAAAGGGGGGAAGGAAGGGTGAAGGGGGAGGGGAAAACGGGTTGGAACCTCTTCGAGTTGGACATTCACATGATTTTCCTTATGCTTCCTTGCAGGGATTTTTTGAGAATTCTCAAAAAATCCTTGGAACCTCTTCGAGTTACACATTCACATGATTTTCCTTATGCTTCCTTCCTAACAAGCCACGCGCGCTCACGCATTCCGTTTGGCGTTCCAGTTACTCTGTTTGATTAATGACGATGGGTTTTAGTCCACCTTTCCTCTGTTTCCTCTCACAGAGCAGCGGCCCCTCACACAACTGTCAAGCCGTGCGGCGAAACGCTCACCCAATGCGATGCGATGCGATGCGATGCGAACCAGAACGCTTTCAGGCTTGCCAACGCCAACACGAAAACCTCGCTCGACCACGAGCGATCGGCGCTAAAAAAAGGTGTTGTCTGGGCGCTAGGGCCTAGAATAACGCCCGCGAGCGATGCCTGCCACTAACGAGGTGCACACCAGCGCACGACTAGCCTAAACGCCATCCAGGGCCTTCCAAAGCCTCGAAGTTTCCTTCCTTCTCCACGTTTCCAACCTAGAGCTAAGCTTAAGGCCCGCAGTCGCTCGCACTCGCTCACAGTCGCTCTCACTCGCTCACAGTCGCTCTCACTCGCTCACAGTCGCTCTCAGACGCCCACAAACAAGATCAACTGCTGCTGCGATTATACGCGCGATGTGCGATCGTCAAGCGAACTTTCGCGGCACCACGCTATCTACCTACCCACTTGCGCGAGGCGCGCACCAATGCACGACAAGCGCCAATGCCAGTCGAAGCAGGTCCCTTTCTTTCTCGACGTTTCAGCCGAAGGCCTCTACAGCTCGCTCCAACTCCTCTCATGCCACCCTTTCCTTTTCCTTGGCTGGAAACCTCTATTTTATCTTCAACGTTGCCGTAATTCGTGTTGTAGAAAAAAAAATGAGTAGATAAATGAATGAATAACTTACCCCTAAAAAATGAAATTAAGACATTTTAAACATTCGGGTCGTGTATCCGCTTACCTCCATCCCGCCTCGATCCAAGCCTTCAGCGCGATCCAGTCGCTTTCCGTCAGATGCGCCACGATCTCCCATGGCGGCACCTCCAAAGCTGACACCTTGGTTCGGCGCCGCGACTCCGAACCTCCGGAAAAGTCCCGCGGAGGTACACCCGGAGTACTTCCGGCACTTCCCCCTCCACCGCCACCCGCGCCAGTCCCTCCGAAAGGGCTTCCCCCTGGTGATTGCTGCGCGCGCGGGGATTGCGCTTGCACCTGCGCCTGCGCCTTCACCTGCGGGGATGATTGTGCCGCTGCTGGTGCTCCGCGCGCTGCTGCTGCAGAACCTGGTTTTGCGCGACGGCGTGCGAAATGTCGGTCCCCGCCGACTGCAGCTCGTGCGGAGTCATTCCGCCCATTCCGCTGGAGCGGCGGCGGAGCTTGACACCTCCGCGGCCATGATGCGCGGACTGCTGCGCGCCCATCGTGGCGGAAGAGTGTGCCTTTTTGGCGGACTACTGAACAAAAAAACTAAACAAATAAAACCAACAAATAAACTATGTCGCGCCAACAATCACCCAAGACTAATCGTTCACTCAAACGTCACGTCACCGGGATCGCACATGATAAGAGCCTGGCGACATTGGTGCGAATCGTCGAAGGGCTCCATACTTGATTGTGAGCGTTTCAAGAGCGAGTTCTTCACGGGACTAATTGATGCTTTACACTGGAAAAGCGACTGTTTCTGAGCCGCCTAAAAAACCTAACTTCAGTACGACAGCCAAACCGCGACGCACGGTGACTCAAATGTGGTGAGCTTCAATCCGTCCCTACCGCTTCCTGTGTGGACCCTGCCACACGTGCTAGCTTTCCTCTATCCGACTCGGAACATGAAAACAAGGTAACTGTCACCGTACCTGGCTTCACAAAACCTGATATAGCAGCAATGTGGCGTTTTACAATGGTCCCAGAAGCGTCGCGTAATGTAAGATAATTACTTGACCCGGAACACTAGCACCTGTCGTCTCTTGCGTGATTCTCGCTCACTTGCACTAAAGTGCAGTTCGCAGGGTGGTTGCATAGTGATTGGGGTGCGTGCATCACCGAACTATGCTCACTTGCGTGATTGGCGTTCAGTACCGCAACCTTGGAATGATGAAAGTATGATAGTGCGGTCTATAGAGTTTCGATACGGTTCTGTATGGTTTATTGTGTCCCCCCCCGATCTGGAGTTCCGTCCCGTTCCGAGTCCGAACCACGTACAGTACTTTTTGAACCCCAAGCAAAAGCGTGGGGAAGGAGGGGGGGCTTGGGGGGGCGGGTGGGTTGAGGAAAAAATAACATTTATTTTCTTTTTCTTTCCATTTCAAGGGGTTCCCAGCAACTATTCAAAAATGGTGGTCCAAAATTACCAAACCTACCTGTGCAGCCTTATGGGGGTCGCGAACCAAACAGCCTAACTTCTCCGTCTTTTGCATAAGGGTCCTTTGCAGAGGGTCTGGGGAAAAGCGAGAAGAAGACTGCGTTTGAGAAAACCACCAGAAACCAGAGACCCAATTTCTTACAGAAACCCAAACGCGTGAAGATTCCATTTTCTTTGCAGACAGGCCAGGTTCGTGCAACTCTTTAGGAGGGCTGCGCTGGCAGAACTCCGCTATTTTATTGGTTAATTGCTTGTGCGGGATGCACAAATTGTACAGAGGTGCCAGGTGACGAGGACCGAACAGCCCAATCCCATGACTACAAGAAAAGGCAAAAAGATCTCACAGGGCTCATGCTGAGCTGGTCGTATTTCTCGGGCAGGAAGAGTCTGCTTGTGATGGGAGACAACGGAACGAACCGGTAACCAGAAAACATTTTTCTCAAAAGCACGCAGCCTGAACTGTGCACAGCGGCATGCGCGGGAATTTGATGTGTCGTGCAGCTTTGTTGCCCCGATGACCTCAAACGTCCACGGGCGGTCAACAGTGGTTTTTGTTGTCGGTAGATTCTCAGGGCCCACACCCCCACCACACTCTTGAAGGGCTGACGTGTACTACAGTGCTTACCGACCAGCAACCAGTAAACTAAAAAAAGGCATATGCATGTACCGTATAAAACTCTCATTATCTCATACCGGTATATTTATTGGTGTTGGATACACTGGGCAAAGCCACAGTGATCGGGGCGAAATCATATCTCCAATTCCCATCCCCATAAACTTCCAGCAGCAATTTGGCCAGCTCTGCATCATGCTCAATCAGTCTCTCACGATAATTTATTCCGCCATTTACGTCTTCACGCACACTCGCATTAAACCATGACTGGCTACCCTCTGCCCAATACTCTTCCTTGTTTGCCACCATATATGCAGACGATGGATAGAGGTGCTGTTTGGAATTGAGAGCATCAAAAGTGGGTGAGCATGAGGACAAACAAAGAGATCGTAAGTCGACAACTATACCGTAAATGAACAAGCTGGAAAAAATGGACAGTAAATACTACAAACATGTGTGGAAACAGCAGGGCGGGAAACAACAGGAAATTAGCCGGAGTGGATGCGGAAGAATCTGATTAATGACCAGCACCACACAGACTCGGTAGTGCTTGAACAGGGTGGGATTGTAAATGTGCAAAACTACCTTGGATCTCAGAAAGCACTGGGAGATTCGCTGCATCAGAGAATCATCGAACCCCACCTGTCATACAAATGGGAAGAGTACGCATGGATGCATGCATGCATGGAAGAAGAGAGCAGCACCATGAGTACATATGGAGCCCAGTTGCCTTTTGAGACGTCTCAAAAGCAGCACCATGAGTAAGTATGGAGCCTGCTGTTGAGTCGACTCAAAACCATGAGTACAAATGGAGCCCAGTTGGCCATGAACCCATGCATGAGAGCAAGCAAGCGTGCCAATGCAAGTGCTTCACAAAGCGACTTTTGAGTTGACTCAAAAGCCACCTCTCATGGAATCCAGATGCGAAAGCATCCATGCATGCGTGCCTGCCACTTCCAGTGATTCATAAACCATTCAAAATCTCTGAGAGTGCACGCTCTTCATCAGTCCATGGAACGATTCTGAATGGTTTATGAATCATTGCTGCCGCTGCAAGAGTGCACGCTCTTCATCAGTCCATGGAACGATTCTGAATGGTTTATGAATCATTGCTGCCGCTGCAAGAGTGCACGCTCTTCATCAGTCCATGGAACGATTCTGAATGGTTTATGAATCATTGCTGCCGCTGCAAGAGTGCACGCTCTTCATCAGTCCATGGAACGATTCTGAATGGTTTATGAATCATTGCTGCCGCTGCAAGAGTGCACGCTCTTCATCAGTCCATGGAACGATTCTGAATGGTTTATGAATCATTGCTGCCGCTGCAAGAGTGCACGCTCTTCATCAGTCCATTCAGCAATCTCTGAGATTGAACCATTCTACGCGAACGGGGCATTGCTGCCGCTGCAAGAGTGGCACAAGGCCAACTTTAATCATCATGAGTGCTCAACTTTTGAGACGTCTCGAAAGTCGTCTACGCGAACGGGGCATTGCTGCCGCTGCAAGAGTGGTACAAGGCCAACTTTAATCATCATGAGTGCTCAACTTTTGAGACGTCTCGAAAGTCGTCTACGCGAACGGGGCATTGCTGCCGCTGCAAGAGTGGTACAAGGCCAACTTTAATCATCATGAGTGCTCAACTTTTGAGACGTCTCGAAAGTCGTCTACGCGAACGGGACACTGCTGCCGCTGCTAGAGTGGTACAAGGCCAACCTTGATCAACCAGGCACGCGAGTGTGCGCAACGTGCGTGCCAACTCATGCATGCATGGTCGCATGGGAAACAGATGCATTCATTCATGAATGGCAGCATACCTCCATCACTCTATTTGCAAACTCATGCGCCAGTATGCTCATGCATGCATGGGCACATGGGAACACATGCACTCATGCACGGCAGCATACCTCCATCACCGTGCGTGCAAGCAAACTCATAGATGCGCATGCATGCGTGGTCCAGTGGGAACACAATCATACGCACATGCATAGCATTGCACCTCCATGGCAGCATACCCCCATCACTGTGTGTGCAAACTCATGCATGCATAGTCGCATGGGAGCACATGCACTCATGGACGGCAGCATACCTCCATCACTGTATGCGCAAACTCATGCACCAGAATGCTCTCCTCCCGATACCGATCTTTCGGGCAGCGCAAAAGGTTTTCTTCGCCGACCGAGCACGTGGGGATGACCAGGGTGCCGCCCAAACCACGCACCTGCCATGAAGGTATGCACATATGGACATACATACAAACATGCACACATGGACATACATACAAACATGCACCCATGGACATACATACAAACATGCACACATGGACATACATACAAACATGCACCCATGGACATACATACAAACATGCACACATGGACATACATACAAACATGCACACATGGACATACATACAAACATGCACACATGGACATACATACAAACATGCACACATGGACATACATACAAACATGCACACATGGACATACATACAAACATGCACACATACGCACGTGTACACATCAAATTAAGTCAGAGCAAAACGTTCCTCAGAAGCTCTCTCAGGCATCTCGACTCGTCACTCAGATGCCTGCTGCCCTGGGTGGTGACCTGCACTGCACCGCACTTTGACTTTTGAGTCGACTGAAAAGTGCCCTAGGTGGTGACCTGCGCTGCACTGCACTTTTCCTCTCTGTTGCTCCTCTCATCCCTCTCTCCCTCTCCCTCATTCCTCCCCATGCTACCCCACATTTCCAGATCCTGTTGTGCATGCGACTGCTTGCTTAAACTGCTCTTTCCTTATCCATCTCTCTTCTCCTCCTCGCCTCTTGCCTGCTGCCCCTCCCCCACCTCTCATCCATCTCACCCTTCCCCATCTCACCCTCCCCTTCCCCATCCCTCCCCCACCTCTCATCCATCTCACCCTTCCCCATCTCACCCTCCCCTTCCCATCCCTCCCCCACCTCTCATCCATCTCACCCTTCCCCATCTCACCCTCCCCCATCTCACCCTTCCCCATCTCACCCTCCCCCATCTCACCCTCCCCCATCTCACCCTCCCCCATCTCACCCTCCCCCATCTCACCCTCCCCCATCTCACCCTCCCCCATCTCACCCTCCCCCATCTCACCCTCCCCCATCTCACCCTCCCCCATCTCACCCTCCCCCATCTCACCCTCCCCCATCTCACCCTCCCCCATCTCACCCTCCCCCATCTCACCCTCCCCCATCTCACCCTCCCCCATCGCACCTCACAGCCCCAGTCCCTGCCAACATCCGTGCGACGCTCCCCCCATCAGATGCGAGAGCTCAATATGACCCTCACTCTCATCCCACATGTAGAGAGGGTGTTTTTGAGATGTCTCAAAAACCCTCTCATCCCTTTCACTCCCCCACCTCTCATCCATCTCACACTCCTCGCAACTCACCTCACAGTCCCAGCTCCTGCCATCGTCCGTGCAACTCCCCTTCACGCTCCAGTACATCCCTCGTCTCCTGCTCTCTACTTATCCGTAGCCCCTCTTGTCCATCATGTCATGTCCCCACTGTCCTCCCTCCCCCACCTCTCATCCATGTCATCCCTACCACCTGCTTAGCCTTTCATCCATCTCTCACCCTCCCCTTCTCAGCCCCCCAAACACCCCCCTCCCGTCCCTCCCTCTCCCCCCCATCTCACCTCACAGTCCCAGTCCCAGTCATCATCTGTGCGAGTCCCCCTCAAGTGCGAGTGCTCCAGTATATCTGTTATCACCTGCTCTCTTGCCTTACCCGCGTGCGTTGAGGTGATTTTGAGGCGCCTAAAAAATCACTCCAGTATATCTGTTGTCACCTGCTCTCTCTATCCATACCCGTTGCTCCTTTCTGTCCCTTCGCACCCATCTCACCCTCACCCATCTCACCTCACAGTCCCAGTCCCGCCCATCGTCCGTGCGAGTCCCCTTCAAGTGCGAGTGCTCCAATATGTCTGTTGTCACCTGCTCTCGACCAATCACCGCCACCTTGCACCAGTTATCTTGTAACCGGGTTACCACATCAGGTGGGGTGAGCTGATGGGCAGGGCGGGGGAGTGAAGCAGGGGAGCAGCAGGGCGACGGGCATTGAAGGTTTCAATTTGGCTTTGCGTATCACCCCCGGCCCGGCCAGCAGTAACCGTTGGCTGTTTTACGATGTCTCAAAGGTTGGCTTTGCATAACACCTCCGGCGGTAACCATATGCTATCATGCAACGCAAGCGATCATGCGGTATGGCCATGCTTCCCCAGTGCCTTATTTCCAGCATGTGTTCGACGATGCTAGCAGCAGCAGAGCACCTGCTTGCACACAGGGTATTTTTGAGAATTCTCAAAAATTCCATGCATACATGCCCACTCTCGCAGTGCCTTACCTCCAGCATGTGCCTTACCTCCAGCATGTGTTCAACAATGTCAGCAGCAGCATACAGTGCTTGCATGCACACATGCCCATGCGCCACCACTGACACGCCCACTGCACTGCACTGCCCATCGCCATTCCCACCACCTGCCTGTAGCATGGCACATGCGCGCCCCCTTCTTCCCTATGAGTTCCCTCTCTACCATTCAAGTCCTTTGAAAAAATACTCTTCACATGTTCGAGGTGACTTAAAATTCCTTCATTTCAAATCGGCGCACAGTTTCCTCTCTGCATTTTTAGTCGACTCAGGAGTGGCAATGCCTTACCTCCAGCATGTATTCAACGATGTCACCAGCAGCACAGAGCACCTTCATGCACACATGCCCATGCAACATGGTCATGCACACATGCCCTGCCCATGCACACATGCCCTGCCCATGCTCTTTGCAGTGCCTTACCTCCAGCACGTGCCTTACCTCCAGCATGTGCCTTACCTCCAGCATGTGCCTTACCTCCAGCATGTGCCTTACCTCCAGCATGTGCCTTACCTCCAGCATGTGCCTTACCTCCAGCATGTGCCTTACCTCCAGCATGTGCCTTACCTCCAGCATGTGCCTTACCTCCAGCATGTGCCTTACCTCCAGCATGTGCCTTACCTCCAGCATGTGCCTTACCTCCAGCATGTGCCTTACCTCCAGCATGTGCCTTACCTCCAGCATGTGCCTTACCTCCAGCATGTGTTCAACGATGTCAGCAGCAGCACAGAGCGCCGGCATGCACACATGGCCATGCGCCACCACCGGCACGCCCACCGCCGTGCCTACCACCTGCCTGTAGCACGATGGCACGCGCACATCCCTCTCGGCCTCGTCCTCTGTTACCACTCGCTTGCCCCTCTCGGCCTCGTCCTCTGATACCACACGAGTTTTAAGATGCCTCAAGACCCGCACGTCGCCCTCTGCCTCGTCCTCTGTTACCACTCGCTTGCCACTGCTGTCAGCACTGATTGAACCAGCAGCAACAGCAGTATCACCGTTAGCAGCGGCAAAAGCACCAGCATGAGTGTTAGCAGCACCACGCAGCATGTGGTGGGATGAATGTAGGCGGATGAGGTACCGCTGTCGACGACCAGCCAAGGAGCACAGCGCGACCTGAAAGATAGGAGGCGCACATTTGGGCATGGAGCAGACAGACAGGCGGGAATCACAACGGCACAGCAAAGACTAGATTAATGAATCATTGAATGTTACACTCACCTTCGCCCTGTCCTACAGACATCAAGTGCCAAAATTACCATTTGCCTCCGCATTGCAGGGCTATTGAATCCTATACCCACCTTGACCCTGTGGGATGGTTTCTTAGTGGCAGCATCACGCACGAGCCACACGTTTCCCTCAAAGGTCGCCTGAGTGTTGCAGCAGGCAGGGAGGAGGGTGAAATAGGAGTGCTCCTCACTTACGATTACTCCCTCACTTATGGGGTTGATGAATGGTACACCCACCTTAACCCTATGCAACAGCTTCTTAGTGGCAGCATCACGCACGAGCCACACGTTTCCCTCAAAGGTCGCCTGAGTGTTGCAGCAGGAAGGCAGGAGGGTGAAATAAGAGTGCTCCTCGCCTGTGTGCGACAGCCACAGCACGTCCACTGCTGTTTCTGTCTGTGTGGGATTGGGTTGGAAACAGTGAAGGGGGCAGAGCAGACAGGGAGGAGGGTCAATTAACAGTGCTCCTCGCCTGCGTGACAGACTGTTGTTTCCGTCTGGAGTTAAATGGCGTGGGATGGGGTTGGAAACGGTGAAAGGAGCAGGCAGGCAGGAGGGTGAAGTAGCAGTGCTCCTCGCTTGTGTGGGACAGCCACAGCACATCCACTGCCGCATGCCTTAGTGGAATGCGGTTGGATGCGATGTGGTGGGATTGGATTGATGATCCCAGGCAGTCCTTCCTTTTTTTTTTAAATTATTATTATTATTATTATTATTATTACTATTATTATTATTATTATTATTTATTGGCGACCAGGATTCCCCGGGAAGAAGTCATCAGCGTAAAAGGCTGGAGTAAAAGAATTCAATGAACTGACCTGGTTTTCGAATCTCAGATACACAGGAGGTGGCTCCTCCCCTCCCTCCTCCCTAACCTCCTCATCCCCTTTCCCCTCGACCTCCTTCACTCCTTCCTCCCTCGCCTCCTCGTCTCCCTCACCTCCGACTTCCCCCTCTGCTACCCTCACAGTCCCCTCCTCCTCCTCGTCCCCGCCAGCTTGCTTGTCCGCCTCTCCTCCTAATCGCCTCGCGATTTGATTCGACCCACGAGTAGCAGCTCCCCCTAACCGCCTCGCCGCGCCATGATTTTCATTCCCCGTCCAATGCCAAGGCAAGCAGCGGCATAGGGATCCGATGACACGTGGCAGCAGAGAACGCGCATAAGAGCCACCCCTGGCATCCCCGTTATTATCGTCCTCATCGCTATCGCTATCTTGAAGCGCGTGGTTTGCGTCAGCGAGACGGACGCTGACGTCATCTGAGGCTTGTAGAGTAGGTACGGGATCAGCTGTGCGCGTTACTAGTGGGCGACAGAAGGGAAAGCACGACGCCAGAAGACGTTCGCGGAGGGCGCGTTCGGACAAGGGACGTTCAGAACGAACGTGCTCGTTATTTTGAAGCAGCAGCGGACGAACCGCGAAATCGAGGCTGCGACGCGACGACGCGATACGCGGCTCATTGTCGTCATCATGGGACCCCATGAAGGGAACTAATGCGGTTCTCGGTAGTACCGTGAACAGGTAATTTAATTGCCACTAATAGGCGCCACACACGGCGTCGTTACCAAAACCTCACAGCTTCGATTCTCAGCTTTTGCTGAGAATGTGATGTCTGCCTGCTTGTATGGTGGGTGCTTCCATCATTCCCTCGTGAACCACAATCATGGACAAACGGTCATCTCCGAATCCCAGGAGGAATTTCTGATCACCATGTCGCCAGTGATCGCGTGGCATTTCAGTTCACGTTACATGTTACCCAGCACATCAGGACCGTGGACCCCTTCACCCCAGTGCTACACTATTTTTCTCGAATCAACTTCTCAAGAAACAAGCCTAATGGCCTGTAAGAATACGCCCCTGTTCTCATCGTTTGCACCACCTTCCTCCTCGTTTCCTCCACCTCATCTCTCTCCACTTGCACGGTTTCCCCCTCGTGGCACAGCGCCCGCAATGTCGCTTCATTGCGGTTTAGTCAGATGCTTTGCGCTTGATAACGGTGTCTCTACACACTAAACACAAAAAGGCTTCAAGCCAAAAAACCTAAAACGTAACTCTGATCTGGCAAGCAGAAAAGGCTGCTGCTGCTCCCCGTTGCTGTGGAGTGTGTTACTGGTGGTGTGTCACCGCGCGTCGACTTATTACTACACACGACGCGGCGATTTTCCGGCATCCCGAAAATGGCCTGCACGTGCTACTAGTCGCGCCGGTTTATTCACAACGACTGCTAGTCGTTCACGTCTATGTCCGGCCCGTGGTAGCTGCAGGTTTTCTTCGCCAGCCGAAGCCGACGTTTCATACCTGCTGTGATTTTCTTTGCTGGTGTTCCGAACCATGTTGATTTAACTGCCAGCAGACGCGGTGGTTTACATGGAAAGACTAAGCAGATCTATGCGAATCAAGAAATACGGCTTAAGTCGTTTAAGCAACCACAGACCTTGACGTTACCACTTCCGAGTTTTAGGTTTCCTGATAGTCCTGACCATATCGCCTCCTTCCAGTGATATCACCCGCCGGCGAATGTTTCCCACGTAGCTGTTGATTGTTGGTTAGAGATAGCAATTGAAGTCCGACCGGCGATTATGGCGTCTTTCGAAGAAGCGAAGGAGATGCAGAGCAGCACACGAGCCGGCGAGGTTCAGGCGTTCGTCGGATCGATCGTTGTCATCGTTTCATGCTGTGAGTGAACCATCCGTCGTATCTGTCAACCCTCTCTCAGTCGCCTCTGAAGTCATCTCGATCGTCGTAATCGTTTCTTGTTGTGAGTGAACCATTTGTTGTACCCGTCACTGCACTCAGCTCATTCTATTTTCTGAGTCGACTCTTGAGCCGACTTATATTAATTTCTTCCAAACCAGCCTGTCGCTTCTCTCTCTCAACAGCCATCCGTGCATGCGTGCATGTGTGCAGGCCTTAACTTCGTGTGGTTATATGTTACTCTGAGGCGTCTGTCCGTTCGTGACAGAGTTTTTACCCCTGGTGTTGGAGGCCTCTTAAGCAACTTTGTTTCCATCACCCTTGCGTGCTTGTGTGCGTGGCTGCGTGCGTGCGTGCATGCAGGCATTTACCTCGTGTGGGCGTATGTTCCAAACAGCGTTCTTCTTTCCATCGGCCTGTCATACTATCCTTCAAAGTAGGTCATTTCTGTTGCACCGTCCTGTCATTTCTCCAGTTAACTCTTGTAGTCGTTCCTGTGTTCTGTCTGACCTAGTTTTTTTCTAATCCTGTGATTCTGTTGAATTCCTTCTTTCTTTCCTCTGCAAAATCAATTTCCATCAATGCTGCAGTTCTATCATCATGCACGTTGCTTTCTCACTGTTTACTTCTCCTCGCCCGCATCCTGCCTGCATCTTTATCTCCTGCTCTCCCTCCCTCTCTTTCTCCATCTCGTCTCTTCTTCCCCACTTCCTCCCCCCCACCCCTCCCCACCCCACTCCATCCCTAGCTCCCCCTTATATCCCTTCCCCTCCCACCCGCACTTATATTATTCTGCACGCGACTGCAGGCACTGGGCGTCAGTGATCCCAGCGTTCCTTATAGTCACGGTCGTCTGCGCCCTCCTGCTCTACTCAGGTGTCAACCGCCTCTCCGTGCAGCCCGCCTCATCCAAATTCTCCATCCATGGTAACATTTCAGTTCGTCACCCTCTTTGCTCACAATTCGTCTCCTTGGTTTCCGTTTCCTTGCCCCCAACTCATCGATTGTCATGTAAAAGTTTGACGTGTTCCTTCCAGGCACCTGGTACCGGCATTACCTGATTCCTGTGCGCATGCAGTGCTGTTTTTGCGTTATTTCTCTTGTATCGTACGTGTTTCTCCCGCAACTCTTTCTCTTCATTCTCTCCATACTTGCTAAAATTCTCTCCAAACCAACCTCCCCTTAAACCACCGAGCCCCTCCCCCTCTCCTCCCTTTCCCTGCAACTGCCCATGGCCTTTCTCACCCCATCAGACAACTTTGCACGGATGCAGCCCCCCATGACCCACACCAACTTCCAACCCATCTTGCAGCCGGTTCACCAACCCTCGCACAACCCATCACCACTTCCATCATCCCTGGACCCACCGTCTACAGTATCTGCTCGCAATAGTTGTAGTGGGCATAAGAATAAAGAGGAAGAAGAAGTGCTGCTGGAGTCTGGGTCGACTAGATATCATGGCATGAGACTCTACCGCTCGCCTAGCGCGCAGGACGCCATGCAGATGAGTAGGAGAGCCCCAATTCCTCCCATTCATGACTTGCCAATTACGATGGTTAATGATCTTCTGTATGGCTGATAATTTTTCATCGCGAATTTACAAACCTTAAGTGAAAGCTATGCAGCGTTCTTGCTCACCTCACCATAACCTAGTCTACACAATTTTCTACAGTAAGTGATTCTCTACTGTACACCTTGCCCCCGCCAATTTCAACCCCTGAAGTTGGACGCTCGTGGGTAGGTACCCTTATTCTTTCTGGAACAAAGGGCTGTATATCTAGATGTCTATTTTAAAGTAGTTATAATTTCGGACTCCCTTTCGAGTCGGTGGACGAAACGGAGGTCGCAACTGGAAAAATGGCCCGCGTAAGTGGGTGGTGCTCCTGATCCACTGAGAGTTGTTTTTTTCTTACCACCGAAGCGGAGAGCATAGTTCATACTCTTTTTATTCTGGGTGTCTGAAAGGTACAGCCGAATCTGGTCCAGGATACCTCTGTAAAAACTTTTCAGGGGTTGAAATTAGTCTAGCAAAAAACATGTAGTGTAGAACAAGTTCGCACTGTACACTACGGTGTTGTTGTCCACAGCCAACGACCAAGAACGGCAAAACACAGTGTACGTCCTCAACCTGAAGTAAGAAATCTGCAAAAAAAACAATTGTCGCCTCAACCTGCTCCTACTTCAGCGGGCAGTACTGGTATTTGGGATCACATCATCACACACAACTCCGAAGCTCAGGCTCTGAGTTTTGCATATGCACCTTGAATTGAGATATGATCAATACATACTAAAAGCACTAAGTACAAAAAGGGGATAGAAGAAATCGGTACAATTCTAAGCGAACTTGTTAGCAGGCACGGACTTGATGGCGGTGATTTGGTTGATCTCCGTGTGCAGAATGTGTTTCTCGCCGCGAATCACGGCGTACATGGCATTGGGTGCGATATAGTCGCACGTGCGCTCGATGCGGAAGGGCTCGCCGGGGATCTGTGGGAGCACGCAAGGCAAAGGTGGAGGAAACCCGAGGCCGAGGATATTGAGGCTCAAAAGAATTCAACATGAAATATCATGATAGGAAATATATTGAGGAGGCTAAAAGAGCAGTAAGGACGAGAAAGGACAGCGCAATGTGAAGCATGAAATGGAAGCACCCACCTGGTTTCCAGAGTGGATTTGCACGCCAGTGATGACAGCATAGTCAGCAGTGGCAGGGTCCACAGTGAGCGAGATGAGATGCTCCAAGTCGTCAGTGATCGCCTGCAGGGCGGCCTTGGTCACCTGCAGGAAGGAGAAGAGAGATTGAGGGACCAGATGAGAGATGAGCGGAATGAAGCAGAATTCGAGTGCTGCAACCATTCGAACGGAAATTGTTGTGAATTGATTGTATTGGGAAACGGCTGACACCCAAATCTGCCCACTCAAATCACGCCAGCCACTACCGCATTCGCTGTTCTCCTTCTGCCTTTTCGTAAAAACCGTCGCTCATAAGAAAGGAAGCAGGAATTTCAGCCTGCACTGCAACTCCAAAACCCCCAGCACCTCATACGCCGATCCATACCAAGGCTCCTCTCCGCTATTGGTTCCCCGCTTCCCCCATCTTCAACCCCCTGCGTCTCACCTGCACGAGAGAAGGGCCGTCGGGGCCGGACGGCTTCACGCGCGCGATGATCTTCCGCTTGAGCTCGACGTACTCGGCATTATCGGGGTCATCCTCCACGGGTCCGCCCGCCTTGATGTCGCCCTTGATCGCGATCAGCGCTCCACACGCGCTCGACGGCTTACCGCGCCCGCGACGCAGCAGGGAGCCGACCTCACCGGACTCGCCGATGGACACGTGGGGGAATCCGAAGAAAATGTCTGCAGAAAGGGGACGGATTAGTTGAGATTGTGTGGGGCATAGCTAAGGTGAGGTGGACGCCTGAAAATGGAGAGAGAATAAAAAAAAATACAAGATCAAGCAACAAATTGAACATTTGAACGTTGACAAGAGGGCCGCCGGAAAAAACCTTCCCACTTTCGCTACGAGAGTCAGGTTACTACTTACATCGTTCGCGGGGCTTGCCGTCCTTCTCGCACGGGAACTCGGGCGAATGCGACATGGCAGCCTTGAACCCAGTCTTGCCGCAGATCACCAGCCCACCGAGCCCGGCGATGTTAAAGCTCAACCCGAATTCCCTATCAATGAGGTTCACGATCGGGCGGCAGACTTCGTCGCGGCATGTGTTGACGAGCGCGATGCAGTTGTCGCGGCGGAAGCCGAGGTTGCGGAGCTCCTCAGCCACCGCGTGCATGAACGTCTCCTCCTGCATCGCGTTCGGAAACGTCGCCGCCATCGTCGCCAGCGCGGGCGCCGCGGCGCGCTTCGCGTGCGCCACCGGCGAGGAGCTGGCGGCAGCAGCGGGAGCCGCCGCGGCCGGCGCCGCCGGCTTGTTAGTCAGGAGAGCAAGCGCGGCACCGCCGACGACGCCGGCGCCGATGATACCGGGGACGAGGAGGCTGTTCTCAGCTGCGGGGGCAGGCGCAGCCTGCGTCACGCTGGCGAAGAGAGTTTGCGACGAAGCCTCGGCGTCGTTGTTGGCGGACGCGGCGACGGCGCGGAAGACTGAGTGGCGGGAGCATTTGCAGTTGCGAGCGCAGGCGGCCTTGGCGGCGGCCTTCACGGGGGCAGCGGCGCGCAGACCGGAGAAGGAGGGGATGGCGCTGGAAGAAGTCATTGACTCTGTTTGACCGAGCAGAGCCGCAGGATTCCTCGCGGTCAATGTGTGAGCGCTGATGGTGGCCATCGCAGCAGCTGACGAGCCTGCGAACGAGGTAGGCGAAGGAGAGAGCTGCAGAGGCTCAAGGGCTTCGCGAGAAAGCTCTACTTGGCAATGCACGAGAAGTGATAGGAGAAGCAATGATCAATTAGTGATTAAAGGAAATGGCCAATGCTTTTACATTTAGTGTTTCCCTGTCAGTCGCCTTGCTTGGTTAGGTTACAGGGGGAGGGGAGCTGGGCCAGGCCAAAGGGCAAGTCTATGGGTTGTGTTGAGTTGTGTGGTGCAATGGCGCTAATTTTCCTGGTCGAAATTTCGGGCGTGGGAGGAATGAATGAATGAAACCAGGAATTCTGAACTCAGTCTCGAAAAACGGCAGTGTGCATACGGACGTTCGGCGCGCTTAGTGATGTGCGTTTCCGATGCCCGCCAATCAACGAGCAAGCGAGTCCCCTCTGAACCTGCCCTTGGATTTGGGCACCACCTAAGTTCGATCGTCTGTCATCGTCACTCTGGTTACCGCTTTCGCGTCTCTAGAGGCTTGCATACGTGGAACTCCAGCTGTCCATAATTTTTGCGGCTTGGAGAGGTTACTGGGTCGAAGCCTCGTCATCCATATAGAAATACACCTCAGGTTATCCCAGGTGGCAATCCCGATGTGGATGCTGAACCTACTCGAAATTTGGCGCCAGATTTCGCATGATCCCTGTCAGACCCTGCTGGCCTGGACTGGCCAGCATCAAAGCGGCTCGAAATGCCAAGTGCTTTCTCAATCAAAACATTGCTTTCAACATTGGTAGTCCGTCGGAGATCAAATGTAAAGGGCTTTATGTGGCCTGAATTTCACCACCCTGAAAGAAACATATTCGCCCAAACGCTGCTGCCATGCTACTGCTGGACATTTGCATCAAATACGAGAAATTTACCGTACTAACAAAGCCTTATCAATAACGATGTATTTGCTCTGAGAAACGTCAACATTTTTTTCTCCTGGGAATAATGGTTCTTATTCACTGGCACATAAGCATACATTGAACAACATCAAGCTGCTAACGAGCAGTCAAAGAGTCAACGCAATCCTTGGCTTTTGTCAGGACGCGAAAAAATGGCTGCAACGGATGAAGACGTTCAAGAGTCGGTGCTACTAGTTGTTGGAGAATAAGTCAGCAGGCACAGACTTGATGGCGGTGATTTGGTTGATCTCCGTGTGAAGAATGTGCTTCTCCCCGCGAATCACGGCGTACATGGCATTGGGTGCGATGTAGTCGCAGGTGCGCTCAATGCGGAAGGGCTCGCCGGGAATCTGCATAGAGAAACACGGTCTCGATCAAAACCGACGTTTTGAGGGTCAAAAAAACATTTCGTTTTGCGAGCATTTCTGCTGATTGCGCGTGTTTCAAGGGGGTACTAACCTGATCGCCAGAGTGAATCTGTACGCCTGTAATAACAGCGTAGTCGGCAGTAGTGGTATCCACAGTAAGAGAGATAAGATGCTCCAGGTCATCAGTGATTGCCTGGAGCGCGGCCCTGGTGACTTGGACCAGCGACGGGCCGTCGGAAGGAGTCGAAGACGGCTTCACGCGCGCAATGATCTTCTTTTTGAGAGAGACATACTCGGCATTATCGGGGTCTTCTTCCACGGGACCGCCAGCCTGGATGTCGCCCTTGATCGCGATCAGCGCGCCGCACGCGCTCGATGGCTTGCCGCGCCCGCGCCGCAGCAGAGACCCCACCTCGCCCGACTCACCGATTGACACGTGGGGAAACCCGAAGAAAATGTCTGTGGCAGGGGAGCCGTGGTTCGTAACGGATCCAAAACATTGTTAAGTGAAAAAAGAAATGTAGATGTCAAATTTCACTTTCTTTCATTGTCGAATTTGATTGTTCACCTTCAATTACTTTAACAAGTTCACCTCAAAAGAGTCGAATGGACTTACATCTTTCGCGTGGCTTGCCATCGGTTTCGCACGGGAACTCGGGCGAATGCGACATCGCAGCCTTGAACCCCGTCTTGCCGCAACTCACGAGCCCTCCCAGTCCCGCGATGTTAAATGACATGCCGAACTCTTTGTCAATGAGGTTCACGATCGGGCGGCAGACTTCGTCGCGACATGTGTTCACGAGCGCGATGCAATTATCGCGGTTAAAGCCCAGGTTGCGGAGCTCCTCCGCTACTGCTTTCATGAAAGTTTCCTCCTGCATCGCGTTAGGAAACGTCGCCGCCATCGTCGCCAGCGCGGCAGGCGCCGCTCGCTTCACGAATTTAGTCGCCGCGCCATTTGTGTAGCTGGAAGTGACAGCGGCGGCGGCGACGGCGGCGGGAGAAGGAGGGGCGGGTTTTGCGGGAGATGCGGTTCTGTTTGAAAGAAGAGCAAAGGTAGCTCCTCCGAGGAGGCCTGCACCGAGAACGGCAGGAACGATGTTAGAGGAAGCAGGAGGCGCAGCGGGAGGGGCGGAAGCCTGTCCCACGCTGGCAAAGAGCGCATGCGACGACGTGGCGGCAGCGTTGGTTTCGTGCGAGCTGCTGTTTTTGGAAGCTGCTGCTGCGCGGATGACGGAATGGCGCGAGCATTTGCAGTCGCTGGTGCATCTCTTATTTGCGGCAACTACTTTAGCTGGGGCGAGCGTGCGGAGGCCAGAGAACGCAGGGATGTGCGACGGGGAGGAAGAGGCTGAGGTGGATTCACCCAAGATACTGGCGGAAGTCTGAGCGACTAAGGAAGTGGAGCTGAGGGCAGCCATGATATATAAATAAGGAGGTTATTAGCACCTAGTGAATCAGCTCCAAGCAGAACAGTTAGCGAAGCGATTTTGGAGCAACAAACTGCTGATTGTAATGTGCAAAAATGAAATTTATAAGAACACCAGCATCCTACCACGCGGTGGTGTTGCTGGAACCGAGCCGCCCAATTGCCGCTTGTTTCTTCCAATTGTACCAGTTGAACGCTATTGGTTGGCTGGGATGTGTGGAGACGAGCGGCTGAGGGCAGCCAGCTGTGAATGTAGTACAGTATGGTGAGTCATCCACTGTACTTGTTTGCCACTTTGACACATTCACGGATTCAGAAATGCATGCCACGTCGGATGCTCATGTGGCTCTGCAAGCTCATGTACATCGCCCTTGCTTCTGGTGAAAGGCGGGAAATGGGGAAATCAGTAATGCATGTGTTTGTGAGCTCCTCGTTTTGGTTTACTACGTGGCACTGTCCGTTTTCATGAAAGAGAGACCTCACGCATCTAGACATAATGCTTCACACCAACGTCACTTTTATCCATGTTGAGGCTGCGCATGACCATTATTCAGGGATATTTTCTGTTTTTTACTCCTAATTATCCTGTTCAATGTATGATACTTACAAGCTATCAATGACCCTTCCCTACACTCTGCCATTGCTATGAAATATTGGCACACGCTAGCAAGTTTTGCCCAATCATTTGTAACGTTATGCGCTACTTTGGAATATTTCTATGTGCATTTCCTAAGCTTGTCTCAACAATTGTGACACCTAATTTTGTTTCTGTGGTCATACTAAACTTTTTTTTTAGTGCGACATGTAGTGCAATTTTAGTTGCTCATTTCGTTGCACTGGTAACAATATACAAGGTCGTTGGGCTATTCTCTGGGGGCGGTGATGGCATCGCCGTTTCGTTGAGTAGTTGCTGTTTCTCTTGGGCCATACGGCGTGCGAAACGAGTGGCGAGCCCATTACGGTAACCAACATTTCTGACAAACCGAAAAGTGCGCAAGACATCTGGCTTGACCTCAACGGCTCAGCATTTTGGGCTCCCACTTTCCCTCCCTCGAACCTTCCCGCAACCCTAGAAATCTCCGCACGATTGTCCCCAATACGCACTGCCGCGTGCTGGTTCGGGGAGCTGACGGGGACGCGGAAATGGTGCGGTGGGCGAACCAACACTCCGCCACCAACACTCCGCCAGGCAGCCCCTCAGAGCCACACCAGACTGGACTGGACGTCCCGCCTTGCCCCTACCTCCTCTTGTTTTCCGCTGAGCCGACACAGACTTCAGCTATCTCAAATGTCTGTTCTTGAAGGCTTGGTTGGATCAACCAGACCTGCTCTGTACCAGCACAGCGCACAAGGTGGTCAGATGATGAGCTAGTCACGATAGGCGAGACTCGTACTTGATTCTCAGCGCTATAAGTTTTCGACATTGTCACTGCATTTTCGTTAGGTTGCCCCAGCTAGACACTGTTAGCGAGTGGTTTCGCAAGTTGTTGCTGGCATAAGTTATATTTGAGACAACGTAACCCTAGTTCCTGGTAGTCGGGGTTCCTTACACTATTTTTTAGACTCCTGAAGCGTCGCTCTGATCACTGTAGTCGCTCTAACTTCTTGTTCTACGGGTAGGAACCGCATCCGAGTTACCTATTATTTCTTCATAGTATCGATCGTCTAATTTAACAATGGCGGAAGCTGAAGAGGAGGACGATCTTGAGGTCCCCCTCGAGTTCATCTGTCCCTTATCCGACGACATTATGCGCGATCCAGTAATCATCGCGTCGGGACTCAGTTACGAGCGCGATCTGATCAAGGTATGGTTCGCAGCAGGCCGGCGCGTCTGCCCGAAAAGCGGCATGAAACTCGACCACACCGAGTTCTTCCCCAACGTCGCTCTTAAAGCCCTCATCGCCGAGTGGTGCGAGAAGCACGATCTCGAACTCGCGCCTCTCCCGGAAGGCCTCGAGGAGGAACTTGCCGCGCAAGTTCGCGCGCAAGACGAGGAACCGTCTCCGACGTCGTCTAGCCGCGGCAGCCCGCGCGGAAGAGGCGGCGGGAGCGGCGGCGGCGGGGGCGCAGGAGGTTACAGGGATGGCCCAAGACGGGGCCGACCTGGAGATGACTATGATGACGCGGACGAATCTCAGCCGTACGTGCAGCGGTCCGCTAGCGCGGGGAGCGGGAGGCGGAGGGGACCGGGCGATCGAGAGAGGGACGATGATAGCGGGTCTGATAGGGGGAGTGGGCGGTCTGGATCGCGTACGCGAGAGGCTTATAGCGAAGACGAGGACCGGCGTGGCAGGGGGAGTAGCGGGGGAAGGGGGGGCGGCGGAGCTAGTCGGCTGCAGCCGCGGAGTGAGGAGGAGCGGAGAGCGCGCACAGGGCGTGTGGCGGCGCAGTTGCTGTCGCGACAACGGGGGAGAGGGGGAGGGGGAGGCGGGGGAGGGGGCACCGCGCGGGAACGAGGGAAGGATGGTTATAGAGACCGGGAGCGGGATAGCGACTCGGATAGGGACGGGGAAGGTCACCGCGATCGAAACAGGGATGGGTATAGGGACAGAGATCGCGACAGGGACCGGGACAGAGATAGAGCGCGGGAACCTGACAGAGACCGGGATCGCGAGAGGGATAGGGATAGAGACAGGCATGGAGAGAGGGACAGGGAGAGAGGAGGGGAGAGAGAAAGGGGCAGGGGAAGGGATGATGACAGTACGTATTCTCCTAGGCGCCCTCCGTCGGACCGAGGGGGGAGAGGAGGCGGGAGAGGTGTGGGAAGGGCTGGGCCACGAGTAGCGGGGAGAGGCGATAGGGATGTGGGGAGAACGGGGAGAAAGGAGGCAGCTGAGGAGAAACCAGGGGAGGCAGCGGAAGCTTTGGGGAAAGAACCGGCTGCTGCGGAGGGCACACGCGAACCAGCAGCAGGAGCAGGGGAGGGTGCAGCAGCAGGGGAAGGAGCAGCAGCAGCAGCAGCAGCAGCAGCAGCAGCAGCAGCAACAGCAACAGCAACAGCAGGGGAAGGGGGCGCAGGAGACGCAGATGGGACAGTGGGGAAGGCGGACGGTGCAGCGGACACAGCGGAGGGGGACGGAGCGGAGGGGGGAGGAGCGGGTCCGGAAGCATGGGCGGACAGGCGAACAATGAGCCTCGACGAGCGGACGAGAGAAGGGCAGGAACCACCAGGGTCCCCTGCCGGTAGCACGTCATTTGAGCGCCAGCTCACCTCCCCAGCCAACCCCTCGTCTGCAGGAGCCAAGGAGGGAAGCGGGTCCAGGCACAGAGGCTCGGGCGCTTCTTCGTCTCCTCTTAGAAAGTCCAGTAGTGGGGCTGGTCCGAGGAACCTGCCGCCCCAGCCGCGGCCAACCAGGGACAAAACGCGGCTAGGGGGTAGCAGTGGGGGTACGAGCAGTGGGAAGGATAGGGGTGGTGGATCTGGCATCACGGCCAGCTCTCCTAGGTCTCGCCCCCCACTGTCCTCCCCTTCGTCCACGTCATCATCCTCTCCTAGACCGTCCCTGTCGTCTTCGTCTCGATCCATGCGGACAATAGACGACATGTTAGATGCCATCGATCGCGGGTCGTCGGCTGACCGGGAAGAGGGGATCATGCGGCTCCGGTCTGCCCTGAAAGAAAGTTCCGAGGCGCGGCGGCGCGTGGTGAACCGGTCAGACGGGGTGCCGATTCTGGTGGATCTGGTGGAGGATTCAGCAGCGTTGGTGGCGTCTGGGAGTGAAGGGGCGAGCAGGGAGAGCCGTATGGATGCTTCGGCTGTGCTGGACTGTGCTGTGTCGGTGATACTGCAGCTGACACATTCTTACGATGGGGCGCTAGAGGTGGTGGATGTTGGGGGCGTGGGGGTTCTTGTGGATTTAGTGGATGGGAAGTGCAGAAAAAAGGGCGGAGGGAGGGACGGAGGCAGCCCGAAAGGGGATGGCGACGGTGCAGCGAGCAAGTTCTCGGATTCGGTGCGGTCAAATGCAGCGGCGGCGCTGTTTGCGATTGCTACGTGTGACGATGATGACAAGGAGGATGAAGACGGGAGGAGGAGGCGGAGCAGCAGGTACCGGAACAAGATTCTCCGATGCGGCGGCATCCCTCCGCTGCTCAAGCTGCTCAAACTTGAAGCCGCTCGGTGCCGGAAAGACGCTGCTCTCGCGCTCTTTGCCCTCTCAGACGACCCGGACTGTGCCGATGAGATCATCCGAGAGGGCGGGGTGAGTGTGCTGGTGGATTCGTTGTCAGACAAGCGGCCAGGAGTGGAAGAGAAGGCTATGGCTGTGTTGGCGAATTTGGTTAAGTCTAAGGAGGGACAGGCGGCTTTGCTAGAGGTGGAGGGGACGCTGGTGATGCTGGATGTGCTGGAGAGTGAGTCGGAACGTGCGCAGGAAGAGGCGCTGTTTGCGCTGTACCATCTGGTTACCACCGGCGTGGTTACGCCTGCGTTTTTGCTGAATGATGGGGCGTTGTTTCCGGTGGCGAAGATGGCTGCAAAGAAAGGGTCGCCGCCTGAAGCCCTGGAGCTGCATAAGATTCTCACAGCGGCAAGGAAGAGTGTGGCCACATGATTAGTGTAAGCGTGAATGCAGATGCGGTCCGAATTCTCCCACATTCCAAATTTCAACATGTTATTACACAGCAGTCAGATGTTCAAACGTACGCTTGATCTGCTTAGGCAAATCCAATAATCATATCTGGCTTTCAATATGGGACATGCTTGTTGCATCATAACCAAATGCAGTAGAGAGTAAGGCCGCCGCTTAGAACCGTTTCTCACTTGGCAACTTTGCTGTCCATTTGGGGCAATTCCACGCCCTAAGGACGGACGGGTTTGAATCTTGGAATAGAGTGGCTGGGTGCTGTTTGAAGCGACGCGGGTGACAGATCGAAAACTCCCGCCAAATAATTTCAAGTTGGATCCATCCATGTTCACTGGCATACAGTACCACGCGGGATCACACGGGAAACCGCTTCCGCATTGACAGAAGATTGCTGCGTAGAATGACTTTATACCATGCCCTGCCTAAGTACGAATGAGCTTTAGTAGTTGCTGCCTTGGACCGTAAGCGCTCGTTAGAATAGGGGACGATAGAAACGAACTTATGGGGCGCTCCCTGCCTAGGCACGAATACGCTTAGTTAGTAAATGTTGCCGCCTTGGGCCGTAGAGTTGCCCGTCCGTCTCTCCTTCCTCTCGTCACGCTGGGCAGAATAAGGACGATGAAAACAATATCTTCGTACATAACTACTCCTTCATCAGGTAGGTCTCCCGACTCCAAAGCCATCTTGGGGTTTCCTCCCTCCGGTCGTCATCCTTGTCTCTGGTTGCATTTTCCATCCAACCAGCAATGCTTTTGGTCGGTCCCTTTCGTCCTTCAAAGAAACAGGTCCACCAGCCTTAGAAAGGACACAACCCGACAGGTCTTTGCACAGACGCGAGGCCTATTAAGACGAAGGAGCCTGCTAAACCACGAAGTTTGAAGGGTCACCCAAACTCGTGGGTAGCATCACTCGTGATGCCGAAGAATGTCGCATAAACCCGTGGAGCTGGTCACAGCAGACTATTTCTCAAATTCTTGGACTAGTAATTAACTCGCCGGACCAGTTTAGAGATGTTCGCATCCAATTCTGAGAGTCGGAAAGATTTCAGTGGTCGAATGGCTCCAAGTTTCCAAAACGTGCGGGAAACAGAAGTTTCGGTTTTCTAGGACCGCCGCGCCAGTTGTAACGCTTTTTAGAATCTGTACCTTATCTCCATGAGCTTTCCCGACTAGGTTTCGGGTGCGAAAGGTGCAAACACATTCATCGAGAACCAGCAGCAGGAAACCTGAATTCCAAGTAAGGATTTTGCGCAACTTATCTGGTAGCTGTAGACTCACAACATGCAGGTTCATTGGCCAATTGCATCTCTATTTCCCAACCAACCAATCTTTCTATTTGTGGACCCTGGGAGGTACCGTAGAACTTGATTGAGGCTCTTGAGGATGTGACGGGGTAGTCTGTATCGGGTTTTCGCCAAACGGTCTTCCCGCGCAAATCTACCTGACGGAGTCAGATGTCACCGCGCTTCGTCAGGAATCAGCTTCCAAGTTTGTTTTCAAGCAATACCCATATTTTTGGGTCATAAGCAGCCTTTTTGTTCTGCTGCAGGGGACTCCCTATTGTTCCCGTGGAAGAAGTCGGTGTTTGATGGCCTTTTTCGAAATCCTATTTTTTTTTACGTGATTTGCGTAGTTAATTGAAGCTCGCTTGACGTGACCGCTGCAACCACTTCTCACTGGACTAAGCGCCACGCTTAGCGATTTTCGTCGCGAAATAAATGTGTACACCCAAACAAGCTCCACGACTCAGGGAAGTCCTCAAAAAACAGCTCTAGTCCATTCAAAATCCCTGCACGAAGCAGCATACCATACCATGCAAATCCTTAGGCACCAACAGGGGCTCTTCCTCCTGATTCAACTTCAGACCCCGGACAACAAACAGGCATAGTGACTTTAGCTGACCAGATATCATTCTACGACAGGCTTCCCGTTTATGACCTTCTGGATTCTGAGCTACTCAAGTTCTAGATGCTTATCTTCACGATAATCAGCTAACTATGGTTCCCAGCCTCGTGGACCAAAGTTGACCAGATATAATGCTCGTCAGGCTTCAAGTCTATGACCACCTTCTTAAGAATTTAGGTTCTTATCCTTTTTATGATCAGTTATCTATGGTTCCGAGCGTCTTATTCCGAGCCTGATTTTTTTTTAGCTAGCGTGGTTGTTTTCATTGTTAAGGTCGTGCAATCTTCATTCAGTAAAGGTGAGGAGGAGCGAGCTATTCGACATCCATACGAGTCAACGAAAAACGTCAGCGGGAGTCAAAGCTACGCTGGCCTGACACAAGCTCACCCACCTCGTTCAGCATCCCACCCTGGACACGCGTTAATCCTCGTTGGTGTTGACGTTCAGTGTTTCGACTTTAACTGTCCAGGAATCATTCTCGACAGGCTTCCCATCTTCGACATTGTAGGTTCTCAGATAACATAACTTTTAGGTTTTTATCATGACGGTTATCAGCTATCTATGGTTCCTAGCTTCGTGCTCGAGCCTGATTCTTGTTGAGCTAACAGGGTCGTTTCCTTTGTTAAGGACGTGCAATCGCTATTCAGTAAAGGTGAGGAGGAGAAAAAGATTCGACATCCATACGAGTCAACGGATGACGTCAGCGGATGCCAACGCTGCTCTGTTGCAATGGGTGACCTTCTTGGTCACTCGCTGGAAGAAGCTGGAATTTTGAGCCGTTCTGGTTGTGTAATTCCCACGCTTCGCGGCTTTGTCACCGGGAGCTGGAATAATTGGAAGAGAGGAGATGCTTTGTGAAGTGCACCGTGGAAGTCAGAAGTATAACATTTTCTGAAAGTCGTTAGCAGACTTAGATGACGCACTTCTTCACAAAATTCGCAAGGTCTTAGGCCCCATTCAGCGCGGGCCCACTCTGAGTGCATAAATCATCTGCGAACTTCTGAGTGGCCTTCTTGGCGTTTCTGGTTCAGGCGTGGGTATGGAAACCTTCAGCGTACTTCACTTGAAGCAAAAATTTCAAGCATCAGATCCCCACCGTCCCTGCTTTCATATCTCTCTCACAGGTTCAGAAAGGAGGACGACATGGCTCCGCCGCCCGATTCCGTGGGCCGTCACAGACCTGCGGGATTGCAAGTTGGACCAGGAAAGGCGGATACTCCCTCCCATCCCTCGCGGTCGCTGCAAGGCACTCCGAGAGCACCGCTTGCACTGCTGACAAGCAACGTTCCCACACCACAGTCGTCGTGTGAGTGGGAGTCCGCAGCAAGGCAACTTTCCTGGATGAACGATGTATGTCTTTCTTGTTTCACTGTTTCGTTGCTGTTTCGTTTCTGTTTTTCTTCTCTCCATCTCCTTCTCTTGAGCCCTCTCTGACGTGCGGTCCACCGGACATTGGTCGTATGCTTAGAGAACGCCGTGTGAAAGCACTGGCTTAGCAGCATACGATAATGAATTCCATATCCATCATCCTCTGACTTTTTCTTCGCTGTGGATATTTGGGTTGAGAATACCTCTGAAACGCGTCCTTTTGGGGCGGATCCATATCTCACTCTCCTCCCTTCTGAGGTCTGCAGCCCCTCTGGCCATCGCACTCCTTTCCCTTCTCTACCCACGAATCATGACAGTTTGGAACGCGTGGTACAGCATGCGCTCGGGCTGAATTTCGCTTTTGCCTTTCTCCATACGCGCACTTGCTGTAACGACCTCTTTGAGTCGCCGTAAGTCCCCCCTCGTTTACCCTGATCCGTTTTCCTCCCATACGTCCCCCTCCCTCCCCCTTTCAGATAGCACCAGCGTGGTCAGAACTTCGAGAATTTGTCTACCTCGTTGATCCTCTCTTTTCCTGCAAAACGAGATTGCAATCCTCATTTGCCGTCCTCACGTGCGTCCCCTCCCTGTCCCCCCCAACCCACCTTCCCCCTTTCCCGCTGCAGGTCGCACGAGCGTAGCCAGGACTCCGAGCACTGCCACACGAGCACGGCCCACGACTCCGAGCACTGCCACACGAGCACGACCCACGACTCCGAGCACTGGCGCTGTCTCGGGCAATACGAACATCCAGGTATCGACTCCGGCTGCAGGCCAGGAAAGGAAGTGCCACCGTTTTTGTAACGATCCGTCCTCTCTCTCTCCGCCAGCGTTTCGTCTCCCTCTCCATTTTCTCCATCTCCGCCTCCATTTTCTCCCTCCCTGGCCGCATTTTCTCTCCCTCTGCCCAACCACTCACTGTCAGGTGATTGTGAGGGTCCGACCGCCCACAGGCCGTGAGCTCGTGAGGGGCTCCGGGGCGAAGTGCGTGGTGCAGGATGGGCCCACGTCGCTTGGCCTCGTGAACCCAAACAGGGCAGGCGCGATTGAGCGGATGACGTTTGACCACGTAGCGGGGGAGCAAGCGTCGCAGGTACGCATGGGGACGGTCGGGCGTTCTTGGAGCTTTTGAGTCAATGGGGTGCGGAGGGGGTAGGGCGTTACAGATTCTCATGGAGATCCTGGACTTTCTCCTCCCCTCGGGATGCTGCTGATGGGGACGTGGTGGGCCCTTCCCCCTGTTCTTCTGTCCCCCGCCACCCCCCATCTCCTTCCCCTTCCCGCCTCTTCCCCGTTCCCCAGCGGGAGGACATGTTAGAGCGGCCATATATTCACCCAAACTAGTCCCGCCAGCTCTGTCACTCCTCTTTTAGGTCATTTTCAGAATTCTCAACAGGAGTCTGCTTGAGTTGACAGATAGTCACCTTGCTACCCCCACCATCGCCCCCCACCCAGAAGGAGCTGTTCGAGTTAGCAGGGCGGCCCATGGTGGGAAACTGCCTTGCAGGATTCAACAGCACCCTCTTTGCGTATGGTCAGGTGCGCCCTTTCCCAGATGCGCCCTTTGCTCATCGCTGTGGCCAGGTGCGCCCTCCCCTCTGCGGTGTATGGCATCAGCTGCCACCATGCGGGTTTGTCACCCTGTGCTTGTTGTAACATCCCTCCTGTCCCTCCTGTGCATCCTCTTGTATTTTCACCTATTCTTGACTATTGACGGACAACACTCACACAGTCTAAATCATACCTTCTTTCTAAAGAATAGCACTGTTCAATCTTTTTGCATGCTCTTCTCCCTCCTGAACTGAACACTCTCCTTCTCCTCTTTTCGTTTGCTCATTCCCTCTACCTTATGACACATCTCAGACGGGTAGCGGGAAGACACACACAATGTTTGGAGCTGACGTGGAGAAGGCTGACGTGGAACGTATGCGAGTGAATCAGGCTGACATGGAGGTTGACACGAAATGGGGGATGATCCCCCGTGTGTTTCACATGCTCTTTTCTCTCATGGAACAGGTGTGTTCACTGCTGCCTTCATCTCTCTAACCGCCCTCTGCTGCCTGTAACATGGTGCCTGGATCTCGCTGCCCGCATCCTGCTTCTTGTATCCTGCTGCCCGCATCCTGCTGCCCATATCCTCGAGCGCTCCTCCTTGTCATTCTGAATTCCACCCTGGCTTCACTCTCCTGCTTTGTCCTCACCTCCCTTCCTCTCTTTCTCTCTCGAATGGTCCTTTCATTAATATAGATTAACTTACAGCCCATGCATGCAAAGCCAGGTGGGACTATCATTTTCTTCCCTACCAAGTCACCTATTGGATTTCGTTGCTTGGCTCAAGGGTTGCAAAGCAATCTCCCAGCTTTAAAGCCCATTCCAAACCTCCCACAGGCGGGTTCTCAACCTGGGCTTCAAAGTTGAGCTTGATGAGGTAGCTCACCGCCTGTGCTCTCACCCATCTCTCTCCTTCATTTGTCCCTGTGTGGCCGGGCTACCCCGTGTGCAGCACATTTGGGGGCTGGAGCTGTGATTTCACTTTTGGTTTAAGATATGAGAGGCGCTCTTTTGGTTCTTGATTGCTGACTGTTATATGCTTGCTATGTATACAATGCAACATCCGTCCCTTGATGACAGTGCCTCGATCGCTCCATCTGCCACCGCTTTTCCAGTTCCCACCAAACTACTCCCTTCCCCTCTTCCCAAACAGCCTCTGCCTTCTCTTCCCCTCCCTCTTCCCGCCCCATCTGCCTCCCTTTGCCAGGAGAAGCAGCGAACAGCGAGAGAGCGTTTTTTGAGGCGCCTCAACACCCATCGTCTCTCTTCCTGCCCCATCCGGCCCCCTTTGCCAGGAGAAGCAGCGGAGGGCGAGTGAGGACCTCAGCTTCAGTTGTACCGTCTCGTTTCTTGAGATCTACAATGAGAAGTTCAGAGACCTGCTCAACCTCAACCCCAACCCCAACCCCACGCCCAAGCCCACGCCCAAGCCCACGCCCAAGCCCAAGCCCACGCCCACGCCCACGCCCAAGCACAAGCCAAAGCCCGACCCCAAGCTCGAGCTGGAGGTGAGTGCTGTGCGAAAGGGGTGCATTCCCCACCCCAGAAGTGGACCCCATAGCCCACTGAGTGGAATTGCCACCCTGATGGACATTTAGCCGTGCAGAGTAGACAATGGGAGCAGTGGTCGCAAGAATGCATTTGGCGAAAAAAAAAAAAAAAAAAAAAAAAGCAAAAGGTGAGTCCTTTTGTCGTAGCCTTCTAGAACCAAGAAACAATGAGTTTGGAACCCTTAAGTCCACTAGTGGATTAAAATGCAAACTAGTTTCAGCGGACTGGGATAGGATCGAAACTATTTGACTGTTGGCTTGTCCTGCCGGATGCATATGAACCCTGCCTGCTCATCAAAAGGTGCTCTTCCCCTCCCCACCCGCTCAGATTCGTGTGGGCCCCAGCAGAGTCCCTCTCTCCTATATCTCACTCCCGTGTATTTCTCAGATTGAAGAAGCTGACAATGGTGGTGTGAATGTGAAGAACCTCAGTCAGCAGGCAGCCCTCAAACCGCCACACGCACATGCCTTGCACACCTGTGTCCCCTCCCCTTCCCTCCCGTGTCTCCCTCAGATTGGAGTGGACGATAATGGTGTGTTTGTGAAAAACCTCACCAAGGAACCGGTCGCCTGCTTTGCTGATGTCATGATGTACATCCTGCAGGTGAGTTGGCAAGGGAGCCCTTTTGTACAGAAAGCTCTCATGGGTGAGCTAGAGATAGAAATTAGGTGCCTTACAAGCTCCTTGCTGGAATCAACGGGTGAGTTGACAGATAGCTCTTTTATGTGCAACTGGCTTTTGGGCCGAGCTAGAGTTACCTTCTGCTAGAGCCCTTTCGTTTTCCAACCATGAGTGATGCCGACTCGCGGCGTGAGTTTGAAAATAGAGAGTGCGGAGATGTTTTAAGAATGAACTGAAGGCAAGACGGGTATATCTGTTGTTCGTAGGTCGAAGTGGGATCGTAACATTGTGTTTGCATTGGTTGGTGCATGCGTGTTCAGGGAATAAAGCACCGGCGAACGGAAGGGACAGAGATGAACAAGAACAGCAGCCGCTCACATAGCGTTTTCACGTTCAACATTCAGAGCACGGTGAGTGCTGCTGAGAAGCTTCAAAGTGCAAAGGTGTGTTCTGAGTGCCTTCAGAATTCCACTCAGAGCACATTGAGTGCACGGGTAGTTATGACTGCCACGTTGAGAGCACGGTAAGTTGTGAGTGCCACATTGAGAGCACGGTAAGTTGTGAGTGCCACAGTGAGAGCACGGTAAGTTGTGAGTGCCACATTGAGAGCACGGTAAGTTGTGAGTGCCACATTGAGAGCACGGTAAGTTGTGAGTGCCACATTGAGAGCACGGTGAGTTGTGAGTGCCGCACTGAGAGCACGATGAGTCTTCCCTTCCACGCTTGCACTTGCTTATGTGTGCCTTCCTGCGTGTGCAAATGTGCGTGTCTGTGCACTGCTGCACTGGACTGCTAATGGCATCAAGAATACACGCACGAGTCAGCTAAACCTCGTCGACCTCGCAGGGTCTGAGAGGTACCCCATCCATCCCGCTTCTGCCGTTTCTTGGCCCTCGCACTCACGGATCGTGATTACGGGTATGGTAGCGCAAGCTGCTCATATCATGCTCTGTACTCGTATCATCCAGCACCCACATACTGTCGCCTCCCAGCCCCACTAATGCACTTCACCCCTCTCCACCCCTCTCTTCACCTCTCTCGACCTCTCGCAGGAATTCGTGGGCCACCACGGATCTATCTGCTATCCACTGCCCTCCCCCACCCCGCTCTGTCCCACTCTCCTGCACTTCATCTCTCTCCACTGCTCTCCACCTCTGACTTCCATGGCAGGCCAGAGAAGTCAGGAGCCATGGGAGAGCGGCTCAAGGAGGCGATGTCAATCAACGCGTCCCTCTCCACCCTCGGGTTCGTTGCCTTGCCTCTCTACGGCCCGTGTAAGCAGTGAATTTTGAGTTGACTCAAAATACGTCCCTTTCTCAACTCGAGTAGGTCGCCTCTCTCCTTTGCATGTGCACGCTGCGCTTGCCTGACGTCCAAAGGCTCAGAATGCACCCACCCACCAGCACTGCACTGCTCCTCAGCACAGCTATGCAGACAGCCCCCACCAATGAACACATCCCTCTGCCTGTGTAGGCTGTGCTATCGAGTGCCCATATGCTGTATCTGTATCGTGTCCGCTTTCTTGCTGTCTGTTTTCTGTGTTCATGTGTTGGTCGCCCAGCAAGGTGATCGTGATGCTGGTGGCATCACCTAGGGGTTAGATTTGAGAACTCGTGCCAGGAGGTGGGATCAGGTTCTGTCATGCGTATCGCTGTGCTGGTGCTGAGATGAGAATTAGTCAATTGCGAGAAGAAGTAGGTACCTCTGTGCATCATATGTGCCTCCTGCCATACCTGTGTTCATGTATTTTTCAACAGGAGGGTGATGTTAGCGCTGGTGAACAAGTCCTCCCACGTGCCATACCGGGACTCCAATCTCACGCACCTCCTCCAGGTGAATTACCTTCGCCCCTACTGGTGAAATTCCCTTTGAGATCAGTTCTCGTATTCGGGGGAAAATCACAAAACAAATAAAAAAGCCCCTGCTTCAAGTTCCTCCTCCAGGTAGGTGTACGCTTTTGGTCCATCAGGTGAATAGCCTTGCTGCTCAAGGGGAGGGGAGCAGCCTTGCCTCCACCCTGCCTTGCCTCTCATCTCAAGGGGAGCAGCCTTGCTCCTCCAGGGGAGTAGCCTTGCTTTCTGTCCATTGCATTGAAGAGCTAATGACCAAGAGCTCATCAGCCTCCGCACATTTTGAAGAAAAACAATAGCATGATGCCTCTTCCTCAGCCATCCTGTTCTGCTGTGCATGTTTCGCCCCTGTGTCTAAGCATGACTGATTGCTCACAAAGGTTTCGTGTCTTACTCTCTGTCCTGGCGCCTCTGTCCTTCCGTTCACAACTATTTCACCCGTAGCAGGTCTCCGCACCATTTTCACCTCATATGCTTCCATTCCCCACCACTCACCTTGTATGCAAGACTCCTTGGGCGGCAACTCAAAGACAACCATGATCACCTGCATCAGCCCGGCAGCAGAGTAAGTTTTGACACGCGTCAAGACTGCATCATCCCGTCTGCGGGGTGAACAGGAGGGTTTTGAGGCACTTGTGAAAACTTACCCAGAGGTGTGTGTCTGTGCATGTGTAGTTGGTGCTTGCGGACCTGCCAATCTCCTGAACATGAGTGATCAGCAGCGTGAACAGCGTGCTGTGTTTTTGGACGTGCTGTTGTTGTCTCAAACACCACCTGCAGCCGTTTACGTGCACCATCGAATGCAAGAAGCACATCCTGAGGCACGTCTCCTCTGTTGAAAAGCTAGAAGAGATACATTGAATAATGAGCCAAGAGGCCCTTTAGTACAAACAATGAGCAAGAGAGAGATGAAAGGGAAGCTTACCCTATTGGCCAATAAGTTGGCCAATGGGTGAGCTTGCTTGTGACCCAAGCAACCACAAATGTGTGTTGGTTGGGATTGGTTGAGCTAGGGACCAATCCCAACCAACCACAAAATGTGGTTGGAGGGTACACTAAACAACCCCCAATTTATAAGTGTACTACAGATCTAATTCTAGCCTATGTATGTTGTACAAATTATGAAATTACAACACAACCCCCCAACATGCATAAGGCTAGAAGGCTAGAATCAAGAGGCGGGAGGCGACTTAGGAGGAGTGAGGCCAAGAAGACGAAGTAGGAAAGAGTGAGCGACATGAGGAAGAGCTTTTGTGAAGATGTCGGCAAGGTTGGCCGCCGAGTCAACCTTGTCGAGCCGAAGGTGCCCCGCCTGAACAAGATCGCGAATGAAGAAATGACGGAGCTCAATGTGCTTGGAACGCCCGTGAAACACGGCATCTTTGGTGAGGTGAATGGTACTGGCATTGTCACACCAAATGGTGGGACAGCGCTGGGGGGCACCAAGTTCCTCAAGGAGGAAGGTGAGCCAGCGGGCCTCTTGCGCAGCCATGGTGGCGGCATACAACTCCGCCTCGCAGGAGGAGAGGGCGACAGCCGAGGAGCGGGTGGAGCGCCAGCTGATAAGGCCGCTGCCAAGAGAGAAGCCATAGCCCTGGGAGGAGCGACGATCTGGCTGGGAATCAGCCCAGGAGGAGTCACTGTAGCCGCTGAGGGTAGGTGGGGAGGGGCCGCCGAGGGTAAGGACATAGTCCTTGGTGCCACGAAGGTACCGGAGGACACGCTTGGCGGCCTGCCAGTGCTCTTCCGTATGCTTGCCTGCGCCAACAAAACGAGCGAGGACGCTGATGGGGTAGGCAAGGTCAGGGCGAGTGGAGACCATGGCGTACATGAGGGAGCCGATGAGCTCGGGATAAGGATGGGAGGAGGCTGAGGGGGAGGTGGGTGGAGAGAGGTGGTGCCCGACAGAAAGAGGAGTAGGTTGGGCGCCGCCGCGGACCATGTCAAACCGCTCCAAGACCTGCTGCAAGTAATGACCCTGGGAGAGAGAGATGGTGCGGGCGGAGCGATCGCGGGTGATTGTCATGCCCAGGTAATGCTGCAATTCGCCCAAGTCCTTGCACTTGAGACGGCTGCCCAACTCAGCCTTAACACGCTCCAACTCGCTGAGGTCGGCAGTGAGTAGAATCATGTCATCGACATAGACAAGGATGTAGAAGGGGGAGGGGGAGGCGCGGAGGAAGAGGCTGGCGTCAGAACGGGAGGTGCGGAATCCAAGTTCAGCAAGGGTGGCGGCAAGCTTAGCATGCCACTCCCTCGGGGCCTGTCGGAGCCCATACACAGGGCGACGCAGCTGCCAGACAGAGTCCGCAGGGAAGGGAAGGTGAAAACCGGCAGGACGCTCCATGTAGATAAGCTCGCGGAGGACGCCTTGGAGGAAGGCGTTAGAGACGTCCATCGAGTGGATCTCCATATTGAGGCGAGCGGCGAGGTCGAGCACGGCGCGAACAGTAGCGGGCTTGGCAGTGGGGGAGAAGGTATCGAAGAAGTCAAAACCATACCGCTGCGTGAACCCCTTGGCGCAGTAACGAGCCTTGTAGACGGGCGGCTCCCCTGGCAGTTGTTTGACGCGAAACACCCACTTCCCCTTCACCACGTTCGTAGAGGAGGGAGGGCGAGGCACATCAACAAAGGAGGAGTTGGCGACAAAGGCCTCCAGCTCCTTGATAATGGCGGCGAGCCAGAGTGGGGCGTCGGGGCAAGCCATGGCCTCCTCATACGTGGTAGGGATGAAAACGGAGGGAGCAGAGGAGAATGCGAAGACAGGTGTCCCAGAAAGGTCGAAGGTGATGGGTAGAAGGGAAGGGTCACAGAGGTGGAGGTCAAGGAACTCCTCATGGGAGTCCTCAGAGAGGGAGGTGTGGAAGGAGCGGATGACCGTTGGTGCCGCTGGTGCTGCTGCACGTGCCGCTGCTGGTGCCGCTGCTGGTGCCGCTGCTGGTCCTGCTGCTGGTGCCGCTGCTGGTCCTGCTGCTGGTGCCGCTGTTGGTGACGCTGCTGGTGCCGCTGCTGGTGCCGCCGCTGGTCCTGCTGCTGGTGCCGCTGCTGGTCCTGCTGCTGGTGCCGCTGCTGGTCCTGCTGCTGGTGCCGCTGCTGGTCGTGCTGCTGGTGCTGCTGCTGGCGCCGCTGCTGGAGAGGTGGCGGCGGGGGCTGCTGCAGGGGGAGGTTGATGCAGAACAGCCTGGAAGAAGTGGTGAAGGAGAGGGGAGAGTGGGGGGAGGGTAGAGGTAGAGAGGGTAACAGGGGGCGGTGCACCAAGGATACTGTCTTGTGACCTGGTATGGGGGTACCGGGTTAGTACAGTGCGGGGAGGGGGGGAAGGACGAGTCGGCAGCGAGGGAGGTGAAGGAGGGGCGGGAGGGGCACTAGGAGAGGAATGTGTGGGGGAGACGGGAGAGGACAGAGGTTCCGGGTCAAATATATCACCAGACAAGGGAGGGGCACCGTGGGACGAGGACGACGGTGGGGGAGGGGGAGGGAGGATGGGGGGAGGAGGAAGTAGAGGGGGAGGGGTGGTGTCAGACCAGACAAGGGGACGGGGAAGACGGGGGAGTGGGTCAGTGGATGGGGGAGAGGAGTAGTAAGGAGTGGACTCATCAAAGACCACATCCCTACTGCGGAATAGACGACCTGAGGGGGGATGGAGGAAAAGGTAGTCAGGTGAGGAGGAGTTATGACCAAGAAAGATGCAGGGAAGGGTACGAGGGGCAAGCTTTCCCATAGAACGGGAGCGGTCAGCGGGGTGAAGAAGGACATAAGCCTTTGAGCCCCAGACACGAAGAGATGAGACATCAGGCTTGTTGTTCGTCCACAGCTCAGTGGGGGTGGTGGATGGGAGAAGAGGGTGAGGGTAAAGGTTAGTAAGCAGGGCGGCATGAAGGAGGGCGTAGCCCCACAGAGAAGGAGGGCAGGAGGCGTGGACAAGGAGACACCGGGCAGTTTTGGTGATCTCTCGAACACGACTTTCAGCCACACCGTTCTGCTGTGGGGAGTGAGGGAGGGTGTAAGTCTGAAGAATGCCATGAGACTGGCAATAGGAGGATATTTGGTTGTTAAGGAACTCACCACCACCATCAGAGTGAAGGCGGCGAACAGGGCGCCCAAAATGGGTGTTTGCTCGCTCGAGCCAGGCGATGATCGCAGCCGGGGCATCTGCCTTCGTCCGAAGGAGAGAGACGGACGAGTACCGACTGTGATCATCGACGAGTACGAGGAGGTATCGATGGCCCTGGCGAGTGGGAGAGGGATTGGGGCCCCAGAGGTCCATGTGAACAAGATCAAGTGGCTGAGCAGCAGCGGAGGGGGAGCTCCGGTGCGGCTGCTGCTTGAGCTTGCTCTGAACGCAGACGGTGCAGGGGGGGGCAGGGGATTTGGGGAGAGGAGGGAGGGAGGAGGGGAGACCATGGAGGAGACCGGAGGAAACAGAGGAGCGTAGAGTAGCGAAGTTAGGGTGACCTAGCCTGTGATGGAGGAGGACGGCAGGGTAGGAGAGGGAGCGACAGGAGCAAGAGGAGTCAGGGGGGGGGCGTGAAGGGAGGTCCGGGTTAGTGGGAGGGAGAGGAGGGGGTGGGATGAGAGGGTGGAGGGGAGGACGAGAGATGACCTGACAGGAGGGGAGGCGAGGAACACGAAGGGTGTACAGACGGGAGCGAGGGCAAAATGGAATGCGAGAAATGAACTGACCGGTGGCGGAATGGTAGAGAGCGCAATAGTTAGCATAAGCTGGGAATACTGTGGTGATACCGGCTTGTTGAAGGGACCTTTGCGAGAGGAGATTAGCGCGAAGAGAGGGTATGTGGAGACCGGTGACAGTGCCTGAGGGGAAGAGTGGGCAGGGGAGAGTCGAGGTGTTATGGCAGGGGATAGAGAAGCTGCTATCGGCGCCAAGGAGGGAGGTAGGCGTTGGGAGGGGGCGCAAGGTGCCAGCATCGCGAAGAACTGTGTCAGTGGCGCCGCTGTCAAGGACAAAGTCGACAGTGGAGGGGAGGGAGGAGGAAGGGACAGAGGACTGGAACGCAGTTTCTTTAGTGCTAGAGGAGTATGTGGCAGGGGCAGCTGATGTGGCTTGATTGACCATACCAGCAATACCAACGGATGAGAGAGGTGGGACATTGCTTGAAGTGGCGGAGCTTGTGGAACAATGCGGAACTGAGTTCTGCTGGGAAGTTGGGGGAGGAGGAGGAAGAGGCAGCTGCGCTTGTGCGCTAAGGTGCTGCTGCAGGCGGTGAAGCAACTGCTGGAGCTGGAGGAGGAGGTGCCAGAGCTGCTGGTGCTGGTGCTGCTGCTGCTGCTGCTGCTGGTGGTGCTGCTGCTGCTGGTGCTGGTGCTGCTGCTGCTGCTGCTGCCGCTGCCGCTGCCGCTGCCGCTGCTGCTGCTGCTGCTGCTGCTGCTGCTGCTGCTGCTGCTGCTGCTGCTGCTGCTGCTGCTGCTGCTGCTGCTGCTGCTGCTGCTGCTGCTGCTGCTGCTGCTGAGGAGGAGGAGGAGAGAAGGGTGGACTCGGGGCATGGTGGGCTTGGGTGGAGATTTTGCACTGAAGTCCCCGAGTCGGGCCATAGCGAGGCACATATTCACGAGGAGAGAAGGCTGCTGCTGCGCCGCAGCCTGCGCTCAAACCCCTGATACCACAATATCCTGCGAGTCTCCCTTGACCACCACCACAGCTACCACTATGCCCTCCTCCATGCCCACCGGCACCACTTCTGCTGCATGCCAGGGCGACTATTGCCATGGAGGGAGCAATGTGAGTGTGGGCGGTTACGGCATGGCGCAGGCGAGCAGGGCATGAAGGTGTGCGGTATGCGTTTGCAAATGTGCGGTATGCCGGGGAGGTGGGCAGGGGGCGGACGAGGGGACGGGGGACAGCGAGCGGGGAAGGAGGGCGTGCGACGAGTGCGCGGACGGGGAGGGCGCGGACGAGCAGGGCGCGCGGACGGGCAGGGCGCGGACGAGCAGAGCGCGCGGACGGGCAGGGCGCGGACGAGCAGGGCGTGCGGACGGGCAGGGCGCGGACGAGCAGGGCGTGCGGACGGGCAGGGCGCGGACGAGCAGGGTGTGCGGACGGGCTGGGCGCGGACGCGAAGGGCGGACGAGCAGGGCGCGCGGACGGGCAGGGCGCGGACGAGCAGGGCGCGCGGACGGGCAGGGCGCGGACGAGCAGGGCGTGCGGACGGGCAGGGCGCGGACGAGCAGGGCGTGCGGACGGGCAGGGCGCGGACGAGCAGGGCGTGCGGACGGGCAGGGCGCGGACGAGCAGAGATGGGCGCGAAATGGTCAGATTTCAGCGCGGGAGATGCAGATCTGGTCGCGCGGAGGGCAGATCTGGGCGCGCGGAGGGCAGATCTGGGCGCGCGGAGTGCAGATCTGGACGTGCGGAGGGCAGATCTGGGTGGGCGGAGTGCAGATCTGGGCGCGCGGAGTGCAGATCTGGGTGCGAAATGTTCAGATCTGGGCGCGGGAGGAGGAGATCTGGTGGCGCGGAATCCAGATCTGGGCGCGGAATGATCAGATCTAGGCGCGGGAGGAGTAGATCTGGTCGCAGGGAGTGCAGATCTGGGCGCTGGAGTTGCAGATCTGAGCGCGGGGAATGCAGATCTGGGCGCTGGAGTTGCAGATCTGAGCGCGGGGAATGCAGATCTGGGCGCTGGAGTTGCAGATCTGGACGTGCCTTGGAGGGCAGCGCCTTAGGGGGCGCACGGGGAGGGAGGACAGCGCCTTAAGGGTGCGTGAAGGGAGGGCAGCTCCGTGGGTGGGGCTAGATCTGAGGAACGGGGAGGAATAGATGTGAGCTCGGGAGGAGTAGATCTAAGCTCGGGAGGAGTAGATGTGAGCTCGGGAGGAGTAGATCTGAGCTCGGGAGGAGTAGATCTGAGCTCGGGAGGAGTAGATGTGAGCTCGGGAGGAGTAGATCTGAGCTCGGGAGGAGTAGATCTGAGCTCGGGAGGAGTAGATCTGAGCTCCTTTAAGCCTCCTCCAAGAACATCACCCTGTACGATGTCTCTTGTCTCCCTCCCTCACCCACAGGTCGTATGAAGAGACGCACAGCACGCTCGGGTTTGCCCAGAGGGCAAAGCTGGTGTGCAACAAAGCAGTGGTGAATGAGGCTGCGGTGGCCCAGCAGGACGCCCTTCAGGAAAACGCCCAGCTCAAGGTGTGATGCTCCCTGCCCTGCTCTAGTGCCCTCCTCCTCATGGTAACCGTGCTCCCTGCCCCGCTCCACTGCCTGCCCTGCTGCCTGCCCTGCTGCCTGCCCTGCTGCCCGCTCTGCTGCCCTCCGGCCCCTCATGACTGACGCTGCCGTTCCTGATTCTCTCCTCCCTGTGTGGTTTCGGATTGAACTCTCATCCGTGAAGCCTGTATCCATTATTGCACTCTGTTCCCGTCCCCCCTCTCCATGACCGTAATTAGCATTAGTGCGGATATGATGCCTCTGCCATCCACCTATCTATTCCAGTCCTTCCTCACTGGCACTTGTCCATTCCCTCCTTGCCTTGACTCCGTTCCCTCCATGTGCCTCCCTCCTACCTACCCTTCCCCTGTCGTTCCTCTCCTCCCTCCCCCTTTCCCGCCAATCATACAGGACGTGATTCGCCGCTTTCGTGAGCTCTGCACCTGCAGAGCCTATGAGCGCCTCCCCTCCTCCTCCTCGACTCCCTTCTCCCTCCCTCAATCCCACGCCACCACCCCTGCCACACCCCGCTACCCAAGCACCACTGCCACTGCTGCTGGTGGTTTTTCTGGGATGGAGGAGGAAGAGGGGATGGTTGAGGGAGAAGAGGAGGTGAGAAGGCTGTCGACAGTGGCGGAGCGGGAGGGAGAGGAGGAGGAGGAGGAGGAGGAGGAGGAGGAGCAGCAGGAGGGATGTCGGTTGGATGCTGTGACGAGTCATGTGGTGAGTGTGATGGATCAGGTGAGCGCACTTGTGCTTGTCATCTCATGCCACCTCTCACGCATCTCTTGCATGCATCCCCGCTGCCTATGGCTAGTAGTAACAGACAAAGCAGCCACCAGTTGCAGGAGTTAACAGCAGGCAGGAAGGATTCAGCAGTATTTGCGCCCTTTCTTGCCCTCCCTGCCCTCCCTGCCCTTTCTGCCCTCCCTCCCCTGCCTGCCCACTATTATCCACACGCCCACAACTGGCAGGAGCATGAGCTGTTGGAGCACGAGGGAGCGGCAGGCGGCGGGCACGCGCAGGCACGCGTAGAGGAGCTCACCCGGGAGCTGGAAGGCGTGCTGGCGGAGCTGGCTTGGTGCAGGGAGCACATGCGGCTGTCAAATGACGCCAACGGCCGGCTGGGGAGGTGAGGGACTGACGGAAGGTGGCAAAATGAGTTTTCACTTTGAGGGGGCTCAAAAACAGTGTAAAGCTAATCTGTGATACGGTGGTGGATAAGGTGGGAGAATGAGTGGGCAATAGAAGGGTGACGTTCTGTTGCTGGTTAGAGGTGGGGATGCTCGCAAGCGCATCAGGCAGGACTAGGTCCGTAGACTTCCGTCTCTTCTCTGTCGATTCTTTCCAGGATTTCTCACCTTCCTCTTGTCGGCAAATGCGGAAAGGTAGAAATGCGGCTGCTGGCTGCTGAAATGCTACCATCATGCCGCTCCATCCTCCATCCTCCATCCCAATGTTGACTGCTGAAATACTGTCCTCGTACCCCTCCTTTCCTCCATCCCGCCATTCCACATCCCCCCACTCCCGTCCATCCACCATCCCCTTCGGACAGGCAAACGCGGGAGATGGAGGCAGAGATGTGGCTGCTGGTTGCTCACATACTGTCCTCATACCCATCCGTCCCTCCGTCCCTCCATCCCTTCACCCCTCCACCCCGTCCATCAGCAAGTTTGGTGTAGGCCAGGAGAGCCGCATCAACATGAATCTCCAGGAGGCATTCTCAAGAGCGGAGGGGTTTGATACACCCCTTTCGACGAGGGGGGAGGCTGCAGCAGCAAGGGGGGAAGCAGGAGAAGGAGAAACGGACGGCTTGGTTGACTGTAGATCGCCTCTTAGGCACGTGGACGAGGATGAGGATGGATTCAGGCAGCTGAGGTTGGATCTTGACTCTGCGATTGAAGGCAAGCAGGAGGCTGAACGGGCTAACAGCGCCCTCATTGCCAGCCTCAATCTGCAGGAGCAGGAAGCGAGGGAACTTATAGAGAGGATCGAAATCGAGGAGGGTAGGAGACGGGAGGCAGAGCGGGCAGCAGCAGAGGCGGAAAGAGAGCTTCATGAAGCAGGAGCCGCAGCTGCGGCCCTGGCTCAGGCAAACGCTGTGGTGGCAGAGCAGCTTCGGTTGAGCCAGGAGCAGATTCGAGAGATGCAGGTTCGGATGGAGCGGGGTGAGGAGGAGAGGCGGGAGCTGGAAGAGGCTCTGAGGAGAGAGAGGGACCTGGAAGAGGCTCTGAGGAGAGAGAGAGAACTGGAAGAGGCTCTGAGGAGAGAGAGGGAACTGGAAGAGGCTCTGAGGAGAGAGAGGGAACAGGAAGAGGCTCTGAGGAGAGAGAGGGAACTGGAAGAGGCTCTGAGGAGAGAGAGGGAACTGGAAGAGGCTCTGAGGAGAGAGAGGGAACTGGAAGAGGCTCTGAGGAGAGAGAGGGAACTGGAAGAGGCTCTGAGGAGAGAGAGAGAACTGGAAGAGGCTCTGAGGAGAGAGAGGGAACAGGAAGAGGCTCTGAGGAGAGAGAGGGAACTGGAAGAGGCTCTGAGGAGATAGAGGGAACTGGAAGAGGCTCTGAGGAGAGAGAGAGAACTGGAAGAGGCTCTGAGGAGAGAGAGGGAACAGGAAGAGGCTCTGAGGAGAGAGAGGGAACTGGAAGAGGCTCTGAGGAGAGAGAGAGAACTGGAAGAGGCTCTGAGGAGAGAGGGAACAGGAAGAGGCTCTGAGGAGAGAGAGGGAACTGGAAGAGGCTCTGAGGAGAGAGAGGGAACAGGAAGAGGCTCTGAGGAGAGAGAGGGAACAGGAAGAGGCTCTGAGGAGAGAGAGGGAACTGGAAGAGGCTCTGAGGAGAGAGAGGGAACTGGAAGAGGCTCTGAGGAGAGAGAGGGAACTGGAAGAGGCTCTGAGGAGAGAGAGGGACCTGGAATAGGCTCTGAGGAGAGAGAGAGAGAACTGGAAGAGGCTCTGAGGAGAGAGAGAGAACTGGAAGAGGCTCTGAGGAGAGAGAGGGAGCTGGGGGAAGTGGCGACTCAGTTGGCAGAAGCTGAGTGGAGGAAGACCCAGGAGGCGAATGCTAGACAGGTTGAAGCAGAGAGGAATCTGCAGAGGGTGATGGATGAGGCGAGGAATCTCAGGGGTTTGGTGGATGGTATGGAGGAGACGAGGGGCAAGTATGGGCGATTGAAACAAGCTTCAGGCGGCGCTGCCGCGGTTGGTGCGGACTGCGGAAGAGAACGTGGAGGCTGAGAGGGAGATGGAGAGGATGCGGGAGGAGCTGGCTGGGATGAGAACACAGGTGTTGAGTGCGGTGGAGAGGGCGGAAGAGGCAGAGAGGAGAGTGAGGGAAGGCGAGTTGGCAGGTGCAGGAAGTGAAGAGGCGGAAAGGGGAGTTGGGGCGCGAGGTAGGGAAGCTGAGGTGGCAGGTGTGGCAGCTGACGTGGTGGATGAGGGGGGTGAGGTGGCAGCGCGGGAGGAGAGGGTGGGGAATGAGAGCAATGAGGCACAGCCACAAGTGGGTGAGCTCATGAAGAAGCTAGAGGAATTGGAGGAGAGGTTGCGAGTGGTGGAGAGCAGGGCGAAAGAGGAAAAGGTGTCACCGGAGGAATCAGTGAGGAAGGTGCAGCAGGAGGAGGAGGAGGAGGAGGAGGAGGAGGAGGAGGAGGAGGAGGAAGAGGAGGAGGAGGAGGTGGAGGTGGGGGAGGTGGAGGTGGGGGATGGGGGTGGGGGAGATGGGGGTGGGGGAGATGGGGGAAATCGGGGAGCTAGAAGAGATGGGGGAGGTGGGGGAGGTGGGGGAGGTGGGGAGATGGGGGAGGTGGGGGAGGTGGGGGAGATGGGGGAGGTGGGGGAGATGGGGGAGGTGGGGGAGGGGGGGGATGGGGGAGGTGGGGGAGGTGGGGGAGATGGGGAGATGGGGGAGATGGGGGAGATGGGGATGGGGGAGGTGGGGGAGATGGGGGAGTGGGGAAGGTGGTGGAGGTGGGGGATGGGGGAGGTGGGGAGGGGGGGGAGGTGGGGGAGGTGGGGGAGGTGGGGAGATGAGGGAGATGGGGAGATGGGGGAGGGGGGGAGATGGGGGAGGTGGAGATGGGGGAGATGGGGGAGGTCTTACAAGCAGTTTCAGGGGGGAAGGTGGCGAGTGAATGAGGAAAAGAGGCAGGCGGAGGATGAAAGGGGGTTGCTGAAGGAAAAGGAGAGAGTGAGTGAGAACCTCGCAGGACAGGGGGGGAAGGCGAAGGAGTTACTGGGTGGGATGCTCGCAAGGCTGCAGCAGAAAGGAGGAGAGATTGGATGAAAGCCTTACAAGTCTTGCTGAGAAGGAGGAGAGAATGAGTAAAAGACTGGCAAGGCTACATGACGAGGGGGAGAAAATGAGGGAGATGCTGGTTGTTGAGGAGGAGGAGGAGGACGAGAGAGTGAGTGGGAGGCTGGTATGGCTGCAGGAGGAGGAGAAGAGAGTGAGAGAGATGCTGGAGACGCTGAGGAGTGCAAAGGAGAGAGCGAGAATAGGTGTGGCAATGCTGCGACAGGTGCGGGAGAGCATGAGAGCAGGCCTGGTGAGGCTCCAGGAGGAGGAGGAGAGGAGGAGGAGGAGGAGGAGGAGGAGGAGGAGGAGGAGGAGGAGGAGGAGGAGGAGGAGGAGGAGGAGGAGGAGGAGGGAGAGGGAAGGGGGGGGGGAGAGGGAAGGGAAGAGAGAGCGGGAGGGGGAGGGGGAGTGGGAGGGGGAGGAGGAAGAAGGGGAGATGGGGGAGATGGGGGAGATGGGGGAGGTCTTACAAGCGGTTCAGGGGGGGAGGTGGCGAGTGAATGAGGAAAGGAGGCAGGCGGAGGATGAGAGGGGGTTGGAGGAGGAGCAGCCGAGTCCACCGTCTGATGTGCTGGAGGGGCATGGGTTGCGGATGGACGCTGATCTAGTAGGGGTGTGGGCGGAGAGGGGGAGGCAGAGAAGGGAGGTGCACTGGATGAGGGGGATGAACGAAGCAATGACGTGGGAGAGGGAGAGATGGCTGTTGACGGTGATGGGGAGAGTGGGGGGCGGAGGAAGAAGGGAGAGAGAAGAAGTGGGAGGAAGAAGCAAGGGGTGAGAAGGAGGGAGCGAGCTGGGGAAGGAACTGAACGGGAGGAAACGGAGGATGGTGATGGGGGAGAGGTGGTGGTGAGCATTCCTGTGCGTGCTACTGTTGAAGCTGCTGATGCTGCTGCTGGCGTAGAAGCGGTGGGTGGAGATGGGTACACGGTGGTGGATGTGCGGGCAGGTGTGGAGATAGATGTGGGGAAGGGTGTGGGTTCAGTGGCACCGCATCCACGAGCCACTCCTGAGCCCCTCTCCACCCTGCATACATTAACGTTCGAAGAGCCTCAAGAATCGTCAGTGGTGGTGGCCCAGCCACAGATCAGTCTGGTAGACTTCTCAGCCTCGCATGAACTGGGAGCAGGGAGGGCAGGTGCGCGGAGATGCTTGGAGCAGAGTGTGTTGCGCTCTGCTGCTGCTGTTGCTGCTGCTGCAGCAGAGCACAGTGAAAGCAGCAGCACCAGCAGCAGCAGCAGCAGCAGCAGCAGCAGCAGCAACAGTGCCGTCAATGGGAGGAGAAAGAGGGGTAGCAGCAGCAGCTGTCAGGGGCAGGACTCTCTAAGCTCCAACCTGTCCAGTGCCGCCCTTCCTACACTGTACTCAGTCTCGCTCAATCTTGATCCTGCAGAGGATGAGATCAGATATGTATCAGTGCAACCTGCAGCACAGCCCGTTGTTGCCACTACCCTTACAAATGAACGGCCGAGCCAGGAGCAGGTTCGAGAGCAGGGACCGGGGGTGGAGGAGGTGGGATTGAACGAGGGACAGAGAGTACAGGAGGAGAAGAAGCGGGTGAAGGACTAGGGGGTGAGGAGGAGGAGAGAGAGATTGGGGTGAAGAACCCGAGGAGGAAGAAGCAGCTCTTCACATTGGCCGAGGTGGAGTTGCTGGTGGCTGCTGTGGAGAAGCTTGGCACGGGCAGGTGGGTGGGGAATATTTTTTTTAGTCAACTTAAATACACCGGGAGAATGAGGGTGGTGAGAAGGTGGCCATTCACGGTGCCTGAGGTTGTTGAGCTGGTGCTGGTGGTTGAAGAGGTGCTGGGCATTGGCAGGTGTGTGGGAGGGCTCTGGGGGATGGGAAGATAGTGGGTGGGTGAGTCGGTGAGTGGGTGGGTGGGTGGATGAGTGGCGGGTGAGTGGTGGGTGGGAAGTGGTTGGTTGAGTGAGTGGGCGGGTAGGTGGGCGGGCGGTTGGGTGGTTGGTTGGCTGGCTGGCTGGCTTGAAGTGGTTGGGTGGGTGGGCGTGGGGGAAGTTGGGCAAACTCCGACTAGGCATCTGATGACTTCTGAATGGCTGTTGGATGCTGTAAAGGTATTGGGAACTAGCACTTGCGTGAGTTGGGTGGTTGGGGAATGTTGGGGTGAAGGACAGCACAGCTGGGCTATGGAGCCTGGAGGCAAGGCGAGGGAAGGCTGAATACTTAGGCTGCCTGGATTTTCTTCTCTCTTTTTTCCTTCTCCCCCCATTTGGTCCCCAACGGACCGCCTGTGCACTTCAGATGGGTGGAAGTGAAGGATAGGGCGTTTCCCACTTCACGCAGGTCAAACGTAGATCTCAAAGTAAGGGTCGTTTTCCCTTTTCTCGAATACTCATCTTTATCTCTCAGCTCCTTCATGTGCGTTTTTTTCGCCTGTGTTGTTTTACTCCTTCTCGTGTGTATCATCTCCTTATTTCGTCTCATATTCCCGTTTCAAAAACCCCACTGCACTCATCAGGACAAGTGGAGGAACCTGCTAACTACCAATTCAAGTCAGCTGCCACAGGAGCTGTTGAATCAAGTGAAGCAGGTGGACGAGTACTGGAAAGAGCAGGCCAGAATCCAGCGAGAGAATCGAGGTGAATGAATTCCTAACTACTGCTGCTTTTAGCCTGTGATAAAAGCATACTCTATTCTTTTTTGTGTGAGAATCAGTGATTCCTTGAGCAGAGACGGTTTCTTGAGGCGCCAAAAAAATTCCTTCCAAAATATTGCTACTTTTATCCAACTCTAGTGTAATACTGTGAGATTCTTTAATTACCCCGAACAGGACATGTGTCGTGTTATTTGGACTCGTTTATTCGTTAAGATGCCTAACCTAAGTGAGTGAGAGTAGGCTAGGCCAAAATTACTCTTTGAGTGGGCTCCTTCCCTAACTCCCCTACCTCCCCTCCCCTTCCCGTCTTCCCCACCTTCTCCACCTTTCCCACCCACCTACACTGCCTTCCATTTTGCACTTCGATGCTCTGAAGGGGCCAGAACGAGGAGCAGCCAGCGGCAGCGAAGCGGACGGAATGGCATGTGAGACAAACGGAGGAGCAGTTGGAGCAAGGGGAGGAGCAGGCGAAGCAGCTGAATGCAGGGTTGGGGCGACACAGGAGGAAGGGGGGGCAGGCGTAGTGGACGACTATGACGAGGAGGCGAGGCTGCAGCAGCAAGGGGAGGTGAGCATTGTTGCGCAGGCACGTCCCTAGTTGTGCTTCTAAGGGGATGGAGAGTGAAAGTGTTATTGTGGGGATGGAGAAAGTGGGGTTGTTTCTGAGGGGGGGAAGTGGGGATGTTTCAGAAGGGGGGTAAGGGGAATAGTGGTGTTTCTGAGGGTGGGGGGGACGGGGGGGGTGAATATTGTGGATGAGGCGAATGTGACGCGCTTTACATATCCCAAGTTTCTATCTTTAGCGAAGGTCACAGGCCTCGATTGCATCCCAGTGGGTTCCAGTCGGTTGGGTTCCAGTCGGTTGGTTCCAGTCAGTAAAGTCCCAGCTGTATGCCTTCTTATTTACTTTCACCCTGTCCCTTCCTCTGCCGTGGTAACTGCCTCCCTTCCTCTGACTCTGCCCCCATCTCTGATGATGCAGATAGATGAGGGCATAATTGTGAGTCCACGTGCGACAGAGGAGCTTGGTTCAGAACACGGTGGCAACAGCAGCGACACCATCAGCAGCAGCATTGACAGCATCAGGAGAAACATCAGCATCGGCAGCAGCAGCAGCAGATTCGGCAGCAGCACCAGCAGCAGCAGCAGGCAAGCACGGATTTCTTTAAGTTCCAATCTGTCAGGCGCCGCTCTTCCTGAAGTGAACTCACTCCCGCTTGAAATCGAGGATGCAGAGGAGGTTGCAGTGTCAGATGGGGACAGAGCTGTACAGGTAGTTGAACTGTCAGATGATGACAGCGATGTACAGGAAGTTCCAGTATCAGATGGGGACAGCGATGCACAGGAAGCTGCAGTGTCAGATGACGACAGCGATGTAGAGGAAGTTACACCTGCAGGACAGTCTGGTGCTGCCACAACCACAACCCTTGCAGGGAGGCAGCAGCTAACCTCAACCATGACTGGGATTGACCATCTGCCCCGAACTGCAAGCGAGCAACCAGAATTGTATGCGGAGCTGGAGCTATGCCCTCGTGTGATGGTTAGAAGGGCAAGGAAGCAGAAATATCGGAATCTGTCAGACATCTATGCACAATCAGCACCACCAGTGATCCCACAAGCTGCCCCGAACTGCAAATGGGCAACCAGAATTGTATGCGGAGCTGGAGCTACGCCCTCGTGTGATGGTTAGAGAGACAAAAACGCAGAAATAACGGCTCCTGTCAGACATCTACCGGTATTGACTTCCATTCACTCACAGCATACTGGTGATCCCCCAAGCATGCCCTGCAACTGGTTTTTTTGTTGGAGTCACAAATCGGAGATGGTAACATTGTTGAAGGAACGGTACTAACCTAGGTGATGGTAGTAACATTGTTTAGGGTAAGGTCTTATAGGAAATGGTAACATTGTTCAGGGTACGGTCCTACCCTCGCGTATCAATCAAGCAGTACCTTGCGGTGAGATTCATTTACAGGTGTCGTTGGGTGACATGCGGTGAACTGGGATGTGATCAATTGTGACGCAAGTATAGGAATGCATCCTTGGCTACTTCTAAAATATATTTCATTTGCTGATAAGTTTTTTTGTCATCTATTCTATTGGATGTACGGGTTAGAACAACATTGTGTATATTTAATCATAAAAATTCAGATGTCATTGCACCGTAACTTAGGAATCACATTTGCCAGCCTTCAGTTTTCATGCATAACCAGCTCTCGTGGTGCACCACCACCTCTGCGATCATCGCACAACTAGAACCCTGCTAGCGTCAGCGAATTTGTTCTGTATGGTGCTGCTTGTAGCTTGGATGTGATGCGAGTCCCCTTCCCAACTTCTCCTTTTCTTCTTCCCCTCTTCCCCTCGTCCCTTCCTCACTCTTTTCCTTCATAGCAAACGAGGCGGTTACCAGTAGTTGTACCCGTTTTAGACTTGTAGTGACTGCTCTCTACAAGCATGGCCGATAGAGGCGGATTCGATCGCGGCTTCGGCCGCGGGGACCGCGGAGGGCGCGGGGACAGGGGCCGCGGAGACAGGGGGCGCGGGCGCGGGCGCAGACGCACGGAGGATAAGGAGGAGGCGTGGGTGCCGGTGACTAAGCTCGGGCGGCTCGTGAAGGAGGGGAAGATTAAGTCGATCGAGCACATTTACCTCTTTTCGCTGCCGATTAAGGAGCATCAGATAGTCGAGGCTTTCTTGCCGACTCTTAAGGACGAGGTTATGAAGATCATGCCCGTGCAGAAGCAGACGCGCGCCGGGCAGCGTACGCGTTTTAAGGCGTTCGTCGTCGTGGGTGACTGCAACGGTCACATCGGCCTCGGCGTGAAGTGCGCGAAGGAGGTCGCGACCGCCATTCGCGGCGCGCTGATCCTCGCGAAGCTGTCCGTGATTCCCGTGCGACGCGGGTACTGGGGTAACAAGATCGGCAAGCCGCACACCGTGCCGACCAAGGTTACCGGGAAGTGCGGCTCGGTCACCGTGCGACTCGTGCCCGCGCCTCGTGGTTCCGGGATTGTGGCGGCGCGCGTGCCGAAGAAGGTGCTGCAGTTCGCGGGTATCGAGGACGTGTTCACGTCGTCGCGCGGCTCCACGAAAACGCTTGGCAACTTCGTTAAGGTTGGTAACCCTACGCACCGCGCACGCATTTCGCCAAATCGCCACTCTTTCGACGACGCGAATCTGCTGTACCAGCAGCAAGGAGGGCATGCAGGGAAAGGAGACGGGGAGAGGCTGTGGGGGGGGGAGGGGTGGCGGGGGAGGAGGGAGAGGGCGGGGTTGATTGAGACGACGCGGATTTGCTCGTGGGTATGAGTGCCTGCACCAGCCGTAGATATCCGGGCCGGTCATCGGCTCGTCCTAGGCGCGCCGTACACCCCCTCAGGCCGCCCTTTTTTACATCCTCCAAAAATCAGTCGCGATCCCCGGTTGCGCGTGGCTCGTTCCTGTGACCGCTGTATTTCAGCAATCTTGCAGCTACAGTAGTGTAGCTTGTGAGGCCTAGTGGTTTAAAACGGTCGTTGTCAGCAGTACTACTGGGATCAACGGACCTGTATCGAGCGGGTGGCCCTAGGCGCGTTCTCTAGTAGAAATTACGTTAGAGCGGTTTTCGTAGTCAAGTCGGGGACTACGAAGTAATTATTACGTCAACTATGGCCTGCGTTTACGTAAGCGATTGCTCGTTCGAGTCCGTTTGAGTGGCTCCCCCGACGTCGCCTCCCGTGAGTGCTTTTAGTGCCGGCAGCCGTAGATGTCGGTCCGCAGTGCCACATCCCGGCGATGACTACCTTATGTGTCGCTTTTGAGAATTCTCAAAGGAGATAAAGTCGAGAGGGCGTGTCATTTCGCGCAATAACGGGGTCAACTATCGCAATAACTCACATGATGCTGGCTCCTGTCGCGTTCTGTCGTTGGACCAGCCGTGAAATTGACCCTGCCGTCCTGTCGCGTACTGTCGTTGGACCAGCCGTGAAATTGACCCTGCCGTCCTGTCGCGCATTAAACTCTCAGACTCCCGATGCCCCGACCACTGCCTCTCCTGCACGTGCCCTCCGCCTCCCTCCCTTCCCCCCTCCTTTCCGCCCCTTCCCTCCCTCTCCTCCCTCCCTCCCTCCCTCCCTCCCTCCCTCCCTCCCTCCCCCTCCCTCCCTCCCTCCCTCCCTCCCTCCCTCCCTCCCTACCTACCTACCTACTTCCTCTCTCCCTTCCTCCCCTGCCTCCCTCTCTCCTTACGTCCAACCCCCCACTTGCGTGCCCCCATACAACCGACTGGTGGCGTGTGATGTTTTGTCTATCGATGATTCACATGACGCGTCGCTCCCTCACGGGAAGAGGACTCGTGAAATCAAACCCCTTGACGCCTGATGCCACCATGGCTCTCCGTTTCCCTTGCCCCCCTCCATCCTTTCCTGACTAAACGCCACGTGTGTCTTCCTCACAGCCTGATTTTACTTTTGAGAATTCCCAAATGTTAAATCTAAACGCCACGTGTGTCTTCCTCACAGCCTGATTTTACTTTTGAGAATTCTCAAATGTTAAATCTAAACGCCACGTGTGTCTTCCTCACAGCCTGATTTTACTTTTGAGAATTCTCAAATGTTAAATCTAAACGCCACGTGTCTCTTCCTCACAGCCTGATTATCCCCCATCTTCCCCACACGTGTCCCGTCTTCGTCACCCCCCCTCGACTTCCTCACTCTTTCCCCTGTTACCCCATCCTTCCCCTTACCCACCCTATTCCACCGAAACCAATTACCTCTTTCCGTGGCGGCGGCAAGTGATGCTGGTCTATCGATGATTCACATGACGCGTCCCTCCCTCACGGGAAGAGGGCTCGTGAAATCAGACCCCTTGACTCCTGATGCCACCAGCCCGTCGCTTCGCCTCCCTTGGCTCCCTCCATTCTTTTCTTGTTAAACGCCACTTTTTCTTCCTCGATGCTGCAGGGTATTTTTGAGAATTCTCAAAAATACATTTTCCTGTTAAACGCCGCTTTTTCTTCTCAAAGCCTGGCCTTCTCCGCGCTATCCCCATTCTTGCCCCGCATTTTCCCCCTCTCCCCCCCCCCCCCTTTGTCCTTTCCCCTTCATCACCCTTGTCCCTTTCATAGCGCAAATTCCCCCCCCCCCCCCCCCCCCCCCCCCCCCTTGCTGGTGGCGTGTGATGCTTTGTCTATCGATGATTCACATGATGCGTCCCTTCCTCACAGGATGGGACTCGTGAAATCAAACTCCTTGACTCCTGATGCCACCAGCACTTCCCTTTCACTCTCCATTTTTTTCGCGTTCCCCTTCCCCTCCCAATCTCCCTCCCCCTTTCCCCTCCAACTCCTTCTCACTGCTAGTTCCTTGGTACTCCCAGGTCAGGTTATTCGCGGCCAAGTCACACATGTGTTTATCACTCCCCATCCAATGATCACTCTCACACACACACTCTTGCCCTTCTCCCGCACACTCTTTTCCTCCAATCCGTTGTCTTTCATCAGGCCACCTTGGCCTGTCTGTTCAGCACGTATGCCTACCTGTTGTCCGACCTCTTTTCACGCCACCAATTTGCATGTTCATCATCCATTTTCCCTTTCATTCCCTTGCATTGCGCTCTCTCCCCTCTGCAGGCCACGTTCGCCTGTCTGCTCAACACGTACGCCTTCCTGACGCCCGACCTGTGGCACGCCACCAAGTTCACCAAGACGCCCTTCCAGGAGTTCACCGACTTCCTCGCCAAGCCCCACAAGCTCGCCCTCCCTGTTGCCGTGCCCGATGCCTTTGCTGCGCCCCCTCCTGCCGCTGCCGCCCCTGTTCCTGCCTTTTAAACGAGTCGGTGCTTAGTAGAAATGGGCTTGTTTTTGTAGATTCAAATTGTGAATGCGCACAGTCGTGAATGATTGTGCTGCATGCAAGTTAATCTGAGTCAAGAAAAAGCTTGTACGTACCATACTTGAGTGTCCTCGTCTGTGGTACTAGTAACTGCACAGCACACACACGGAAAGCTTGGCGGAAGTCCACCAAGACCCCCTTCCTGGAGTTCACATAACATCATTCTATTCAATCCACTTTGGCAGGAAGTGGTTTTGGTAGCAGATTGTTCGTAAGCATTCTGCTCCACCACACAGCAAGTGTACCGCATCAACACTATTGTACCCTACCCATCCCTTCCCGCGCAATTGTGCCTCGAACTTGACCCCCATGCTACGCGCCCGCAGTTCCCAAAGCACACCTTTGTCTGACCGCGGCAAATATATCAGTCAAGTGGGCACTCCTTCCTTCGCAAAGCCCGTTCCTCCGTTGTTAGGTCGGGAATCGTTTCGGGATGGTTCGCCGCCAAGAGCGTATAGCCAGCTACCACGCGCGCGCGCACGCGCTCGCGCGCTCGTTTTGACAAGAATTTGTCCGTCTAAACTGTAAAACTACCCGTGTTGTGCTGCTCATAGGCTCGTAGGCTCGTCTACTCGTTGCTCAGGGCCATGGATTTCCGCAACCGCAACCCGTCGCCTTACTCCTCCCCTCTTACCGCGCCCTTAATCTCGTCCAAATGCGGCGTGATTCACATACCTCGTGTCGTCTCTCGTCTCGGATTGGCTCTCGCCGCGGTTGTGCTCCTAATCGCGGCAATCCACGTGGCGCCTGGGTATTGGTCGAAGCCACGGCTGGGGATATTCCCCGCGCCGCTATGCATGAACGGACGCGATTGCGCTAGCGGTTCCGGATTTTCTGGCGTGGATTTTGGTGACTCCGCCGAAGCTGGCGTCGCCGCTGCTCCCATAGCGGATTTCTTGGCTTTCGTGTCAAATGACACTATTGCGGAGTTTTTGAAAGTGGTGACAAAACGTCCCCACATCGCGGGCACTCCCGAAAACTTTGAAACTGCCCGATACGTTAAAGAGAAACTGGAGGTGAGCGGAAGCCGTGTGCTCTAGAAGTTTTCATTGGTTGGCTTGAAACTGGAGGTGAGCGGAAGCCGTGTGCTTTAGAAGTTTTCACTGGCAATGCTTGGCTTTTCGGCCCAATACCTTTGTCCCATTGGGCCCAATACTTTCGTCCCGTTGTGCCCAATAGTTTTGTCCCATTGGGCCGCGTTTCTCCCCTGCCCACCCAACGTCGATGCTCTCTCCTCATTCTCCCCCCTCCCCGCATTAACACCCTCATTGACCTCCTCTCCCCTCTCCTCTCTCCTCACCTCTCACTCTTCCTCTCCCCCCTCGTCTCCCCCCACCTCTCACTCTTCCTCTCCCCCCTCGTCTCTCCCCTCCTCTCACTCCTTCTCTCCCCCCTCCTCTTCCCCCTCCTCTCCTCTCGCCGCCTCCTCCCTTCCTCCTATGCTCTCCCCTCCCCCCCCCTATGCTCTCCCCTCCCCCCCCTATGCTCTCCCCTCCCCCCTATGCTCTCCCCTCCCCCCCATGTTCTTTCCCCTCCCCCCATGCTCTCCCCTCCCCCCTATGCTCTCCCCTCCCCCCCATGTTCTCTCCCCTCCCCCCTATGCTCTCCCCTCCCCCCCATGTTCTCTCCCCTCCCCCCTATGCTCTCCCCTCCCCCCATGCTCTCCCCTCCCCCCCTATGCTCTCCCCTCCCCCCCATGCTCTCCCCTCCCCCCCTATGCTCTCCCCTCCCCCCCTATGCTCTCCCCTCCGCCCCTATGCTCTCCCCTCCCCCCCATGCTCTCCCCTCCCCCCTATGCTCTCCCCTCCCCCCCATGCTCTCCCCTCCCCCCCTATGCTCTCCCCTCCCCCCCTATGCTCTCCCCTCCCCCCCTATGCTCTCCCCTCCCCCCCATGCTCTCCCCTCCCCCCTATGCTCTCCCCTCCCCCCCATGCTCCCTCCCCCCCTATGCTCTCCCCTCCCCCCCATGTTCTTTCCCCTCCCCCCTATGCTCTCCCCTCCCCCCCATGTTCTCTCCCCTCCCCCCTATGCTCTCCCCTCCCCCCCATGTTCTTTCCCCTCCCCCCTATGCTCTCCCCTCCCCCCCATGTTCTCTCCCCTCCCCCCTATGCTCTCCCCTCCCCCCATGCTCTCCCCTCCCCCCTATGCTCTCCCCTCCCCCCCATGCTCTCCCCTCCCCCCCTATGCTCTCCCCTCCCCCCCATGTTCTCTCCCCTCCCCCCTATGCTCTCCCCTCCCCCCCATGTTCTTTCCCCTCCCCCTATGCTCTCCCCTCCCCCCCATGTTCTCTCCCCTCCCCCCTATGCTCTCCCCTCCCCCCATGCTCTCCCCTCCCCCCTATGCTCTCCCCTCCCCCCCATGTTCTCTCCCCTCCCACCTGTTCACGCCACAGGCGTTCGGCATCACAGCCCATTACGCGGACTACCCCGTGCTGCTCAGCCGGCCAATCAGGCAACGCCTCACAATTGTTGAGCCAATCACGCGCGAGCTGGCGCTCCGGGAGCAGCCCGTGCCTGGTGACCCGTACTCTCACGATCCTCTTGCTTCGGTGCCGTTCCTGGCCTACACGCCCGGGACGAAGGGGAGGAGGAGAGGAGGGGGAGGGGGGGGAGGTGGAGGAGGGGGAGGGGGAGGAGGAGAAGGAGGGAGGAGGAGGAGGAGGAGGAGGAGGAGGAGGAGGAGGAGGAGGAGGAGGAGGAGGAGGAGGAGGAGGAGGAGGAGGAGGGGAAGAAGAAGGGGGGAGTGTGAGGGGACCTGTCATATATGCCAATTATGGGACGGAGGAAGATTTCCAGATGCTGATTGGACTGCTGAAAGAGGGAGGGGGTGGGGAAGGAGGGGAAGGAGGGAAGGAGGGGAAGGAGGAGGGGAAGGAGGAGAGGGGGGAGGAGGGGCAGGAGGAGGCGAAGGGCCATGTGCAGGAGCCATAGTATTGATGCGATATGAGAAGATCTACAGAGGGGATAAGGTGGGTGGTGTGTGCGTGTGGGAAGATCTACAGAGGGGATAAGGTGGGTGGTGTGTGCGTGTGGGAAGTCGGCAGAGCAAACCATGCCATGTCATGTCATGTCACCACTGCCAATCCAACCTCTTTGCAGTGTATGGCGCCTCCATGTCCAATCCCACCTCTCTGCACCCCTTCAAACCCAACCCCCTCTTCCCTTGCCCCACGATCAGGTGCGCAATGCAGCAGCGTGTGGCGCCACAGCAGCAATCAGCCACTCAGACCCAGCAGACTGCGGCACCCACGCTGCTATCTACCCCTCCTCTGGCCTGGGTCTACCATCCCGCCCCGCCTCACCCCTTTACCCAACCATCAGGTGCGCACCGCAGCAGCGTGTGGCTCCACAGCAGCACTCATCTACTCAGACCCAGCAGACTACGGCACGCACGCCACCTCACCCCCCATACCTACCTACCCTCTGTGCCGCTTTTCCCCCCCTTCATCCCTTTCTCCCAGGTGCGCAATGCAGCGGCGTGTGGCGCCATAGCAGCAGTCATCTACTCAGACCCAGCAGATTACGGCGACACCCACGCTCTCTACCCCTCTGGTCCAGGCCTACCACCCTCTGGCGCGCAGGTGAGTGAGCTGGCTGCCCCCCACGCACACGCACACGCACACGCACACGCACACGCACACGCACACGGCTCCACTACTACCTCGCTACTCTGTTTTGAGGTGCTCAATGTGAGGTGCGCCAGAGGGTGGCTCAATGCCACCCTCTGGCGCTCATGTGACCTTGTTTTTGAGGTGCCTCAAAAGCAGACTATGGCAACGCCCACGCTCTCTACCCCTCTGGTCCGGGCCTACCACCCTCGGGCGCCCAGGTGAGCTTGTTTGACTTGAGGTGCTACAAAAGTAGACTAATGTCGCTCAACCCCTCTGGACCGCGCCCACCACCCTGTTTTTGACGCGCCTCAAAAGTGGACTAAGCACCACGCTACTATCAACCCCCTCCGGCCCGGGCCTACCACCTTCGAGAATCATTTTTGAGAGAATCTCAAAAGGGCCTACCACCTTCGAGAATCATTCTTGAGAGAATCTCAAAAGGGCCTACCACCTTCAAGAATCATTTTTGAGAGAAACTCAAAAGGGCCTACCACCTTCGAGAATCATTTTTGAGAGAATCTCAAAAGGGCCTACCACCTTCGAGAATCATTTTTGAGAGAATCTCAAAAGGGCCTACCACCCTCTGGACTGGAGCCCAGGTGAGCTTTCTGCTGTGTTTTCTTGTCCCCATCCCCTTCTTTCTTGTCATTCCAAAACACTGCGGCTCAATCAACAAGTCCTTGTCTATACGCGCATGTAGGTTACACCCCCCCCTCCCGTTCCCGCCTCTTCTCCCCACCCCATTCCAACTTGTCCCCAACCTCCCCTCCCAACTCTTGTCATCCCCAAGCAACGCGGCTCAATCTACAACTCCTTGTCGATCTGCTTGTTGCTCATATAGGTTACCCCTACCTCCCTCCCCTCCTCCACCCTTTTCTCTTCCCCATCTCTCCGTCTCCTCACCCCGTGTCTATCCAAAAACAGCGCGGCTCAATATACGAGTCGTTGGGTGACCCAGAGACTCCAGGCTGGCCGTCCCGCCCGGGCGGCGAGCGCTTGTCCTTATCCGAGGCGGCCGGCAGCCTGCCGCCCATCCCCGCCCTGCCGCTGTCGTACGGGCAGGCGAAGTTTGTCCTGGAGCTGCTCGGGGGTGCTGCTGCTCCTGAAGGGTGGATTGGGGATATCAAAGGGTTGGAGTATCATATTGGACCCGGGCCTGTGGTGGTTGAGATGGAAATAGAGGTGAGAGTGAGGGGGAGGGGAGGGGGGAGGGAGAGGGATACGGGGAGTGTTGCTTGAGGGACGGAAGGGGGTGCTGCTGCTCTGGAGGAGTGGATTGGGGATATGGAAGGGATGGAGTATCGTATTGGACCAGGGCCTGTGGTGGTTCAGATGGAAATAGAGGTGATGTGGTGGGGAGGAGGGAGGTAGAGGGATGAGGGACAGGCAGGTGAGTTTTATCCTGGAGCTGCTCGGGGGTGCTGCTGCTCCGGAAGAGTGGATTGGGGATATTGAAGGGTTGGAGTATCACGTCGGCCCTGGGCCTGTGGTGTTGGAGATGGAAACAGAGGTGAGGCGTGGTGGATGGTGGTGATGAGGGGTGTAAATGGGTGGATCGGGGATATCGAAGGGCTGGAGTACCGTGTTAGCCCTGGGCCTGTGGTGGTGGAGATGGAAATAGAGGTGAGGAGGTGGGGAATACGGTGAGGAGAGTTGTAGATGGGTGGAATGGGGCGATTGAAAAGTTGGTTTCACGTCAGACCTGGGCTTCTGGAGAAGGAAAAAGAGGTGAGATGTGGGCTCTCACAACCCTTTTTCCTTCTTGTGATGAGGTTGTTTTTGAGACGTCTCAAAAACAACCTCATCACACGTGGCTTCTGGAGAAGGAAAAAGAGGTGAGATGTGGGCTTCTCACATCTGGGCTTCTGGGCTTCTCACAACCCTTTTTCCTTCCCCTTCTTTGCTTTCTTTCCTTTCCCTGTCCTTTTCCCCGCGTCCTGTTCAAACTCAATCCAGTCGCGAATTCTTATATTAAGTGTTTCAAATCTTCGCCCTCTTCCCCCCCCATTTGCCCCCTCCTCTTCTCTTCTACCCTAACCCAGGTGAATGACACCGTTACCAACATTCGCAACGTGATTGGGACGATCAAGGGCCAATCAGAACCTGACAGGTGGATGGGGGGGGGGAGGCAACATGAAAAAGAGGGTGGTCGGGCGAGAATGGTTTGGCGTGGTTAGATAAGATTGGTCTGATCATGGTAAGAAGAATGGTGACAGGAGATGTGGGCGGGACTCATTATCACAAACTTGCACCCTGGGTGATGTTTCGTACTCTGGGTGATGTTTCGTACTCTGGGTGATGTTTTTTTTGTACCCCCCCACTTCCCATGCTCTCACTTACCCCCCAATTCCCCTGCTTGCCATGTACCCATTCGCCCTGGTACGTGCCACCCCTGTTTTCACTTCACACACCCATGCATCGCGGTGGTTGAATGCACACAGGTATGTGCTGGTGGGCAACCACAGGGACGCGTGGGTGTTTGGCATCGCTTTTGCGAATTACTCCCCATGCCCTCCCTGTCCCTTCCCTTGGCTGCCTGCACAGGTATGTGCTGGTGGGCAACCACAGGGACGCGTGGGTGTTTGGCGCTGCAGACCCCAACAGTGGCACGGCATGCATGCTCGAGGTAGGTACCGCCGTCCCTGTGCTTGATGCTACTGTATGCCCATGCTACTTTCATGCTGCCTGCTGCTGAGCAGGCAGCATGAGTGTGTTTGGGAGCGCGATCGTGGAGCCCATGAGGGTTTTTGGGAGCGCGATCGTGGAGCCCATGAGGGTGTTTGGCGCTGCAGACCCTAACAGCGGCACGGCGTGCATGCTTGAGGTAGGTGTTACCCTCCCCTCCCCTGCGTTATGCTACTGTAAGCCCATGCTTTCATGCGTGCATGCTTGAGGTAGGTGTTACCCTCCCCTCCCCTGCGTTATGCTACTGTAAGCCCATGCTTTCATGCGTGCATGCTGCCTGCTGGTAATCTGTGCCATGGTCGTAACGTAAGCACTCCACTGTGAGCGGTCCAAACATGCCTCTCCCGCATACTTCCCGCTCTGCCTGTCAGAAAGGCACAGGCGTTTGGGTCCATGTGAGCTTTGAGCCTGAGTCGCTTTTGAGAATTCTCAAAAGCGAGCTTTGAGCCTGAGTCGCTTTTGAGAATTCTCAGAAGCCATGTGAGCTTTGAGCCTGAGTTGACTTTCTCAGAAGTCAACTCCGCTGGGCAGGCAGATACTTGCCATCTCCGTTCTGCTTTGCCTGCCCTCCTCCTCCATCCCCCCCCATATCAGATGGCACGTGTGTTTGGGTCATTGCTCGCTGCTGGCTGGAGGCCTGCGCGCTCCATCGTGTTTGGCTCGTGGGATGCAGAGGAGTTCGGACTGGTGAGCATGGGTGGAGGGATGGGGACGGGGATTATGGTGGAGGAGGGAGGGACGGATTGGGCTGACTGTGGGGGTGAGGGAGGGGTGGAGGCCTGCACGCTCCATCGTGTTTGGCTCATGGGATGCAGAGGACTTGGGACTGGTGAGCATGGGTGGAGGGATCAAGACCGGAGATTGAGAAGAGTGGGGCGGATGGGCTGGATGGGAGAGTGAAGTTAGGAGAGGGGTAGGAGTGGGAAGGGGACAAGGGACAAGGGACAAGGGACAAGGGACAAGGGACACCAGACAACTCTGGAGGATCGAGACTCGAGAGCTCTACTGAGACTTGTCAAACGTGGAAGTCACAGTTGAGACTGCTGCTCCACACGTCTGCTGCTCCACACGTCTGCTGCTCTTCTCCCGCCCACACAATAGCTGCCTGCTCTTCTCCCGCCCACACAATAGCTGCCTGCTCTTCTCCCGCCCACACAATAGCTGCCTGCTCTTCTCCCGCCCACACAATAGCTGCCTGCTCTTCTCCCGCCCACACAATAGCTGCCTGCTCTTCTCCCGCCCACACAATAGCTGCCTGCTCTTCTCCCGCCCACACAATAGCTGCCTGCTCTTCTCCCGCCCACACAATAGCTGCCTGCTCTTCTCCCGCCCACACAATAGCTGCCTGCTCTTCTCCCGCCCACACAATAGCTGCCTGCTCTTCTCCCGCCCACACAATAGCTGCCTGCTCTTCTCCCGCCCACACAATAGCTGCCTGCTCTTCTCCCGCCCACACAATAGCTGCCTGCTCTTCTCCCGCCCACACAATAGCTGCCTGCTCTTCTCCCGCCCACACAATAGCTGCCTGCTCTTCTCCCGCCCACACAATAGCTGCCTGCTCTTCTCCCGCCCACACAATAGCTGCCTGCTCTTCTCCCGCCCACACAATAGCTGCCTGCTCTTCTCCCGCCCACACAATAGCTGCCTGCTCTTCTCCCGCCCACACAATAGCTGCCTGCTCTTCTCCCGCCCACACAATAGCTGCCTGCTCTTCTCCCGCCCACACAATAGCTGCCTGCTCTTCTCCCGCCCACACAATAGCTGCCTGCTCTTCTCCCGCCCACACAATAGCTGCCTGCTCTTCTCCCGCCCACACAATAGCTGCCTGCTCTTCTCCCGCCCACACAATAGCTGCCTGCTCTTCTCCCGCCCACACAATAGCTGCCTGCTCTTCTCCCGCCCACACAATAGCTGCCTGCTCTTCTCCCGCCCACACAATAGCTGCCTGCTCTTCTCCCGCCCACACAATAGCTGCCTGCTCTTCTCCCGCCCACACAATAGCTGCCTGCTCTTCTCCCGCCCACACAATAGCTGCCTGCTCTTCTCCCGCCCACACAATAGCTGCCTGCTCTTCTCCCGCCCACACAATAGCTGCCTGCTCTTCTCCCGCCCACACAATAGCTGCCTGCTCTTCTCCCGCCCACACAATAGCTGCCTGCTCTTCTCCCGCCCACACAATAGCTGCCTGCTCTTCTCCCGCCCACACAATAGCTGCCTGCTCTTCTCCCGCCCACACAATAGCTGCCTGCTCTTCTCCCGCCCACACAATAGCTGCCTGCTCTTCTCCCGCCCATCCACCAGCTTTGCTCCGCAGAGTGGGTGAAGGTCAACACTCCGCTTGTCTCCTCGATTCCGAGTCTCGCTCTCCTCTTCTCCCTCCCTCCCGCCCATCTATCAGATCGGCTCCATGGAGTGGGTGGAGGAAAACGACTTTTGAGACGTCTCAAAAGCCGAGTCTCGCTCTCCTCTTCTCCCTCCCTCCCGCCCATCTATCAGATCGGCTCCATGGAGTGGGTGGAGGAAAACGCCCCGCTGCTCTCGTAGACTATGCAAGAGAGACTCTCGGAACTTGAGGCGCCTCAAAACGACTTTTGAGGCGCCTTTTGAGGACTTTTTGAGGCGCCTTTTGAGGACTTTTTGAGGACTTTTGAGGCGCCTCAAAAGTCGCTGCTCTCGTAAACTATGCAAGAGAGACTCTCGGAACTTCAAAGGCTCTTCTCTTTCCCTCCCACCCACCAGATCGGCTCCACGGATTGGGAGGAGGAAAATGTCCCGCTGCTCTTGTAGACCGTACAAGAGATTCTTTGGAATCCTAAAAAGCTTCTAGAATCTTCAAAAGCTTTTCTCCCTCGTTCCCTCCCACCCACCCACCAGATCGGCTCCACAGAGTGGGAGGAGGATAATGTTCCGCTGCTGTCCTCTCGTGCTGTCGCCTACATAAACGTCGACACCGCTGTGTCTGGCGCTTGCCATGCTGTGTCCTCGGTCGTTGCCCACCGTCGTGTCTGGCGCTGGGTTCCACGCTGCTGCTGCTACTCCTAAAGCTTTTTTTCCTCCATCCTGCCCACCAGATCGGCTCCACAGAGTGGGTGGAGGACAACGCTCCATTGCTCTCATCCCGCGCCGTCGCTTACATAAACGTCGACACCGCCGTGTCTGGCGCTGGGTTCCACGCTGCTGCCACTCCACAGCTGGATGACGTCATCAGAGAGATTGCTGAGCTGGTGAGTTTAGAGTCGACTCATGAGAGCCGGCGAGTGAGATTTGCAAGCAGCCATGCAGTCGTGGTGGTGCTGCTGGGACCATTGAAGCGTGTCGGGTGCTGGATATTTTTCCCCCTTTTTTTCTCACCTCTTTTTTTGCACTACTTTTTTTCCCCCCTTTTTTTCGTTCACTTCACATTGCTTGTTCTTTTTCTTGCCTTGTCTTGTCTTTTCTTGTCTTGACTTTTTTTTTGTTTCCTCTCACACAGGTGGAGGATCCAGACAAGCAAGGCCAGTCAGTCTATGCCTCGTGGGCTATAAGGACCAACCGCACCGTGCCCCACGTTAGTCGCCTGGTAGTCGCTTGGCTGATTGAGAAGGGTTTGGGGGTTATCATGGTTGCGTCAATTAAGAGGGCTTGGTTGGTGTTTGACGCAGAAGGTGGTCACTCGGGTGTGTGTGGGTGGGTGGGTGGGTGGGTAAGTGGGTGGGTGGGTTGTCCAGCGACGTATCAAAACAACAAAATCACGTCACATCTTATCGTATCATATCATATCATATCATATCGTATCGTATCGTATCGTATCGTATCGTATCGTATCATATCATATCATATCTCCCACCAGCTTGGCAGGCTGGGCGGCGGTGGCAGCGATTATGCTCCATTCCTGCAGCACCTTGGGATTGCCGCGGCTGACCTGCACTTTGGGGACGGTGAGGAATGGGAGGTGAGGGATGGGAGGTGAGGAATGGGAGGTGAGGAATGGGAGGTGAGGAACGGGAGGTGAGGAATGGGAGGTGAGGAATGGGAGGTGAGGAATGGGAGGAGAGGAATGGGAGGTGAGGAATGGGAGGTGAGGAATGGGAGGTGAGGAATGGGAGGTGAGGAATGGGAGGTGAGGGATGGGAGGTGAGGGATGGGAGGTGAGGAATGGGAGGTGAGGAATGGGAGGTGAGGAATGGGAGGTGAGGAATGGGAGGTGAGGAATGGGAGGTGAGGAATGGGAGGTGAGGAATGGGAGGTGAGGAATGGGAGGTGAGGAATGGGAGGTGAGGAATGGGAGGTGAGGAATGGGAGGTGAGGAATGGGAGGTGAGGAATGGGAGGTGAGGAATGGGAGGTGAGGAATGGGAGGTGAGGAATGGGAGGTGAGGGATGAGAGAGCTGCTTGTGGGTATGCTCACATGAAGCATGTTTCATGCAGCATTGAATATGCTCTATGGGAATGCCCGCATTTAGCAGCGACTATGCTGCATTCCCGCAGCACCTTGGGATTGCCGCGGCTGACCTGCAGCACGTTGGGGGAGGTGCGTTCTGACTGGGGGAGGTTCATAATGAGAGGAGGGGGAGATGAGGAATGAAAGAACTACCCTTGGGTTCCTCTTCGCCCTCCTCATCTCATCCATCCCTTTCTTCCACCTCTCCCCCCAGACTACCCCATGTATCACAGTCTCTACGACAACTACCATTATATGACAACTGTCCTTGACCCTCGCTTCTCTCGCCATCACGCACCGAAATTGACCCTCCTTTCCCTGCCTACACCCCTCTTCACCCCCCCCTCACCCCCCCAGACTACCCCATGTATCACAGTCTCTACGACAACTACCACTACATGACAACAGTTTTGGACCCAATCTTCTCCCGCCATCGCGCCGCTGCCCAGCTGTGGGGCTCCCTTGCGCTGCGCCTGTCCAGCGATGCAACTCTCCCCTTCAACTACTCGACATACGTCCTCAGACTCAATGTGGGACGCAAGCCCATCTGCTAAGCCATGACATATGGGTGAAGCCGCAGTTATAATCGCACATACCCGCACCACACAATCTCACACACACACACCCACGCACGCCCACGCACGCCCACGCACGCCCACGCACACTCCCCTCACACACTCGTTTTCATGCACACGCTTGGACAGCAGAACAAATCATGGCACACCCCATCTGACCTCTCATTCTCTCACCCTCCTCTTTCCCCAGGATTACAGTCCACACCAATGAGCTGGAGGCTTCGTTACAGTCACATGCAGCACAGCACCACGTATCATGCCACACCTCATCGGGCCCTTCGCTCATGCACCCATCACACCCCACATTTAGTTTTGAGGCACTTGTGAGGCATCACAAAAAATCTGTCTACAGATAAACTGCGTGTGAGGAGTCTAATTCTGAGGCGCCTCAAATCATGCCACACCTCATCTGGCCCTTCACTCATGCACCCATCACACCCCGCATTTACGCCCTCCGCTTTCCCCAGGATTACGCCAACGAGCTCCAGGCTTCGTTACAGTCACACGCAGCGCAGCAGCACGTGTCTCTGGATGCTATCTGGAACGCCATTGGCCAGCTGGAGACGGCAGTGAGGACGATCACCAATCAGAGAGCAGAAGCCATTGCAGCAGTAGCAGCAGGAGAGGCAGAAAGAGAAGGAGAGCGAGCGGGAGGAGTTGAGGGAGAAGCAGGCGGAAGAGGGGGGGGAGCAGCGGGAGGAGAAGGAGAAGGAGAAGGAGGAGTGGCATTGGCACGGCGCAGATTGATGGGTGCACCCCTCAGCATGCCTCTCCTTCTCCCTCTGAGGGACATCAATGATCGACTCATGCTTGCTGAGCGCGGCTTCCTGGAAACTGCCGGGCTCGGGCCTGGCTACACATGGTACCAGCACATGGTGAGTATGTGGATGTGTGGAGGGGTGATGAGGGGTGATGAGGGGTGATGGGGGGTGATGGGGTGTGATGGAGGGTGATTGGGGGTGGTGACTGTGATGGTGCTGTGTGGTGATGGGGGGTGATGGGGGGTGTCTTTCTACAGGATGCACTCACATTTCCTGCACTCTTCACCCACCACCCCACCCCTGTCAGTTGAACGGCCCAGCCGTGCCAACAACTAGTGGTCTTCCCTTCAGCCCTCGCACCCTGCCCTCATATTCTTCCCTCTGTCCCCCTCCCCACTCCCGCCTCCCCACTCCCTCCTCCCGACTCCCCCCTCCCCACTCCCCTCTCCCCCTGCCCCCTGCCCCCTGCCCCCTGCCCCCTGCCCCCCGCCCCCCTCTCCCCTGCCAGGTGTACGGTCCCAGCCGGGCCAACGACTATGGTTCAGTGGCCTTCCCTTCAGTGGCCGACGCACTACAAGACGCAACCAAGGGTGGCGGAGCAACAGATGGTATGAATGCCATGCATGAATCTTGCATACCCTGCATGCCATACATGCTATGCATGTCATACATGCCATACACGCCATACATGCCATACATGCCAAACATGCTATGCATGCCGTACATGTCATACATACCATACATGCCATGTGTGCCATGCGTGCCATACATGCCATGCGTGCCATACATGCCATACGTGCCATACATGCCATACGTGCCATACGTGCTATACGTACCCCTCTATCGGGACGCTTCCGCTGATATTCGTTCTCTTGAACCACTCCTTCCTGTGTCTCGTTTGTGTGTGCCTGCAGCACCCGAGTGGGGTCAGGTACAGCATGAGGTGTTCCGAGTGGCAAGGGCGATAGAGAGGGTCGCCAGACAGCTCGCGGGAGATTTGATTTGATGTAGTTTGATTTGATTTGACCTAGTTTGCTTCTAAGAGACTTGTGCTACATGGGTTCAGTTCACATGTATGGATCCAACGTCTGCTTTTGAGTCGACTCAAAAGCAGCCTAATGGGTTCAGTTCACATGAATGGATCAAAGTCTGCACCTTGGTGCACACGCCACCAACGCATTGAGTTGTTGAAGCCAGGTTGCATATCCCTATGGGTGTGGGTACGGGTCGAGGCTTACCATATCACTTGCCCCCAACCATTTGTTGGTGGAAGAAGGCATGTGGTGTGGTACATTATACAGCAACGATTGAATGTAGAAGCCTTTAGACTCTCACTGGAATTCGACAAGTTCTGCATATGTTTATTGGCCAAAAACCCTTTCCAGGTTAATAGTGTCACAAACATCATTGATCAAAAGCACGCTAACATAACCTTATTTAGCAAACCACCTATTGTAATTATTAGCCTGTGAAGGCATTCCTTTGGACACTAATGTTACAACAGCACACTTGAGGTGCGCTCTACACCGTTCTGGACCGTGTGCAAACCCTCCTCAACTCTCTCGTTGCCGTTTGTTCAAAAAGTCCACTGCGCCATCGGCAGCGCTCGCATTCCCCTCGGCCTCCCTCCCCCTCTTCCCACTCAACTGCGCGGACGCGGGGAAATTCACTTCCGATGGGCGGGAAAGGTCCATGGGCGGGTGCGGCGGAAGCTGCGAAGGGTGGGGGAGAGGCGGATGAGAAAAACCCGCAGAGGACCAGGGCGCAATCGCTCCAGGCGGAAAGGCAGGCACGTTGAAGGGCGAAGCGAAGGGGGAAGCACCAGGCGGATGCTGCGCAGACATGGGGTGAAGAGGGGCGAATCCGGGGGGATATGCGCCCATGTACGGGGACCAGGTGGAAGGTACGGGCGCGGAGATGGGGAACGGCGCGTGCGCGGAAGGGCTGGCGCTCACGCTAGCGCTCGCGCCAGGAGCGCTACTTGGTGCAGCTGTTGTGGAGGGGCAGAAGGCGGACGGGCTTCCGCGCGCCAAACCGCCGTACGCGGAAGGCGCGGGTAAGTTGGGGAGTCCGGGGAGAGACAGCGGAGCTTCGGCGGGAGCCTGCCCCGCCGCGAAGGGAACGCCACCGAATCGCCACGGATAAAGCGCAGCCAAACCCGCCGGGCTTCCCGCCATTCCGGCTGGAGCCTGCGCGCCGGGCGCGGCAGGCGGCGAGGCGAAAGTTGCGCCGGTGGGGGCGGAAAAGGCCGAGGGAAGGCCCATTTGGCGGAGAGCGGCGGTGCTGTCGACCGCCATATGCGGAGGCAAGTGCGCCGGCAGATGCGCCGGCAGATGCGTCGGCAGATTAGACGGCACAAACTGGCCGTGTGGTAAAGCGGCAGCAAACGGATTCGAACCCGCGTCTGTCGCAACGACGGCGGGATCAATGCCCCACCGAGAAGACCCCGCGACGGCTGCGGCGGCAGACGCGGCGGCCATTGCGGCGGCAGCGGCGGCGGCGGCGGCTGGGGAGCTCAGACTCAACACTTCCGCCCCCGGACTCGCCATTCCGCTGGACAAGCTGGTCAATCCGGTCAATCCAGTGACGCTGCTGCCGTCTGGGCTGCAGCTGCGACCACCTGACGGGAGACCGGCAGGGGGCTGCTGACCCCCCGGGGAGCCCGCAGCGGCGGCGGCGGCGCTCGCGGGGATCTTGCCCTTTCGACGGCCGGAGCCGACGGGGACGTTGCGGAGCGTTCCACCGGCGGTCCAGTAGCGCTGGCAGCCCTTGCAGAAATGGCGCGGCTGCGACGCATTGTAGTTGTTGTAATAGCAGAATTTCGTATCCATACTAGCGCACCGCGGGCAAGGAAGCTTCTTAGTCGGCCGCTTCAGCGACTGCTGCTCCTGCTGCTCCAATTGCGGCTGCTGCTGCTGCTCCTGCCCGTCCGCACGTTCGGAAGCCGCCTGCTCCTGAGCTCCCGTCGTTGGCTGCGCCAATTGCGCTTGCGCCTGCTCCGTCGGCTCGTCCACGCCGCTGTCCCCGGCGCCGTCGCTGTCGCTGTGCTGATCCCCGGCGCCGGCGCCGGCGCCATTGCTGCGTTGACCTTGCTCTGCTTGTTCTGCTTGAGAAATCGTCGAGTGCTTTCGGCATCCCGCGTTGTCCTCGCCTTCCGTCGCGCCGTTTCCTGCGCGCGGCTCGTCGTCGACTTGGCTTTTCATGCTCGAGCAACTTGGGACGCGGGCTTGCTTTGGTTTGCCAGTCGCTTCTTGGCCCTCCATTGCCGCGGCTAGTATCGCATCCTGCAGAATAAGAAGAGAAGACGGAAAAATGGGTCAGTCTCAGTAATTGGTCAATTAGATGCAGATAAGCCGACAAATTTTTAAAGATGCCTTCAGTTGTCAGTAAGTGGTAATCTTCTAAGATACTTACAAGTCCGCGGCATTGCTGCTGTGAGGCTGCGGAATTGACGGCGGAAGATCCGGCAGTTTCGGCTGTGTCATCCTCCCGCCCGCCATTGCTTCGCCTTGATTCGCCAGATACCGACACGCGAGGCGTGTCGCTTTGGCTGGTTGTGGCCTCTATTGTCCGACCGAACAGCCGAATTCCAGGGTCTCCGGCGTGGCTTTCAAAAGCAGGCATCTGTGGCTGCGCAACGGCCGCCATTTTTTGCAATATTGCTTCTCAGTCGCGGCTCGCCAGTGGAACCAACGGCGTCTGAATCACTCTATGAAATGCTCTAATAATATTTACTTCGCACGGTCTCGAAGCGTGGAGTCGGTTGTCGCTTTAGGAAGCTTAGGATGGTCTGAAGTGGCTGTGGACCAAGAACGATGCTGGTGTGTTTCAGGGCGAGGGTGCTGTATTGGGAAAACGAGCGACACGCTGGCACAGAAAAGGGCTGGTTCGACTAAAAGGTCCGCTTGCGGGGGTGTGCGGTGTGATGTGAGGGAGAGCAAGCCGCGACAGGCAGTTGGGCAGAGCCGCACACAAACCACACACAAGAGGAGGGAGTGAAGTGAACGTGCGGGGAAACAACGGCAGGGAATCAGCGAGAGTGGATTGGAGGTTGCGGAATACGAGGTGCAGCGGCAGCACTTTTTGCTGGCGGTTGTGTGGGCTGGGCAGATTCATTCCATTGTTCAGTTGATAATTCTGAGTTTCCTGTGGTCGAGAGAGATTTCGGGGGAGGTAGGGGGAGAAGAGCGGACACGGAGCGGGCGACATGCAAGATGTTGGGGAAGGGACAGTGATGGACGAGCCAGATGGGGCTGAGGGTGTCCCGCCCCGCCATCCGAACTTGGCTGCTGAGGAAGAAAATGGATGTGAACAGCGACTCTGTGATTGGTGGAGTTGAACAGATGAAACTGAAAGTTGGGCAGATTTCTTCTGCGTGGTTACGGTTCCTGCCTGGCTCGTAGGAAGATTTTGCAAGGAATTTCGTCGACAGAAAAGGCAGGTGGGCGATGCTGCGTTAGCATCTGATGTGGCGCCTGAAAGGACGTACAAATTAGAAACAAGATCGGCTCAACAAATAAAGTAATGAGAAAACACGTGTGGAACCAACGAACACGTCATCAGGATGCCAGTACACCCAAACCAGCCCCTCAGAAGCGGGGAAAAGATATCGCGGACAGACCTGGCTAATGGGGTGGCGGGTAACCTAGTCATGCATTCACGTGCTACACTTTCCAGCCTAAAAGTGCTGAATCAGCAAAAACGGTGTGGAGTGGCAGCACACCATTCGTTTCATCCCACAATCATTACATTTCCTCCACAAGCACAAGTTCTGTGGTCCTGGATAGTCCTGCTGCGCCCAAAGCAGCCCTGGCTGAAAATGCCTGCGGCCTAGATGTTTCGTGTCCACTTATCAATTCCACGGACTGCAATGCACCCACTTTCTAGATGCGGCTCCCTCCCTGAAGACGGCGATTTTCACACGGGAACGGAACGGAATCACCAAAACAAAAATCTCGCACGCAAAGTAAAGTGTCTGGGCCGACCATTCCCCACAAAGTGTGGAGGGAGATCCTATCCGAGATACCTCCTCCACACTCACTAAAGAATCGCATTCCATGTTTGATGTTAGGTATTTACAGTGTACGTACCAATACCCTTCTTAGAAACTCGATATCTAAAATCCATTATTTTAGAATCAAGCACTTTGTTGTCCACCCTTAACAAGGCAAGAGATAAATGATGCTTCAACTGTAACCATCTCTATACGCACAATCACAACAAGCACGATACAGTATGTACAAGCATTCTCACACGCTTACACTGCAAGCACACACCTTCTACTACCTTCTAGTAATCACGCATTGGCTTGTTGCTTCATGCACAACCTCTGTCTGTCTTGCTACGATCAGAGAATGATCGCTGACCAGGATCTTACTCGGGAATGTTCGCACACAGAGAAAAGTTGGTTGGTGGGCCCGTGATCTCAATAGCAGAGTGAATGTAAATGCTTGAGATGATTAAAACATGCAAATACAGCGAGTATAAATATGAGTACAGGGAAGACGAAACGACCTAGCTAGTCATGTACTCTAAGGGGTACATTCCCTTATTCAAATACATTCAACCGTGCGGCGCGTACAGTTTCGTAACTGTTCCCGCCAAGAACATCCTGCCTGCAGCTGTCCGATGCCGTCTGCCTCCGACGGTCCAGATGCGTCCCAACTGTCTGACACTTCGAGTCAAACTCCAACTGTCTGACGGTTCGCTTTCTTGCTTCGATACTGCGTACTTCTCTTTGCTGCGGTGAGGAGTGCTCAGTAACAATTACATGTTACTATTCGTAACACCCCCCTTCACTCCTGGCCGTAGCTCGATTTGACCTGTTTGACCACGCCGCTGAGTTCGGAGCAGTGCTGATACTGCTGGCGTGGCAGTCGCTTCGTCAGGAAGTCTGCTGCCATGTCACCGGTCGGGCAATAGGTCAAGTTGACCTTGCCCTTGTCCACTTCGTCCTTCACGAAGAAATATCGCAGCGCAATGTGCTTGGTGCGATTGATGAAACCGGGTTTGTTCGCGATGCGAATCGCGCTCTGGTTGTCGCAGTGAAGTCGAAAGGTTGGCGAAGTTGGAATTTTCGCCTCCTGCAGGAGTTCCTGTAGGTAGAGGCCTTCGCGAACTGCTGCGGTTGCTGCGATGAATTCTGCTTCGGCTGATGACAGGGCAACCAGCTCCTGTTTCTGTGAGTTCCAGGAGATTGGCCCCGTTGGTTCGAGTCGGAACAGGAAGCCGGTCCTGGACCGTCGATTGTCGGGGTCTGCTGCGTGATCGGCGTCCACGTAGCCGATGAGGTTGAAAGATGGAGTTGGTGCAGTTGAGTAGCACAGCCCGATCTTGGGCGTTGAAACGAAAAATTGCAAAGCGCGCTGCAGGTCCAGGTGATTTTCAGCCGTTGGTTTCCGTGAGTGCTGGGCGAGCTGACTTGCGATGTAGGAGAGGTCTGGCCTGCAGGTGACAGAGGCGAAGAGAAGGCATCCCAGCTGCTGCTGGTAAGTCTGAATTCCAGCAGGGGACAGGGCTTTGTTGTCAGGTTTGTGGTTCGGTCCGGGGGTTCGATAGGGAGTCGAGAGAGGTGCGGGTGAAATCTTGAACCGCTTCCCTAACTCCTCTGCGTACTTAGCTGCTGACAGATGAATGGCTTCAGGCGCGTAGGAGATGTTGAGGCCTAGGAACTGCTTCACCTCGTAGTTGCACGTGATGTCGACGCGCCCCGCCAAGGCTTTCTCGAACTGCTCGAGAAGCTCGTTGCTCGAGCCTGTGTAAAGCAGGTCGTCGACGTACACCGTGAGGAGAATGTATTCCCCGCGGAAGTCGCGGCGGTACATCCCTAGGTCGTGGGGCATCTGCTTGAACCCGATTTCAAGCAAGATGTTGTGCAAGTACTGCTGCCACAGTCTTGGAGCCTGCTTGATGCCGTGTAGTGACTTGCGCAGCTGGCATACCCGCGAGTCACTTTCGCCATAGGTGTGTGGCTGCTCCACGTAAATCACAGCGTCCACTAACGCGTATAGGAACGCGTTTTTGACATCGATCTGGCGGAGTGGCAGGTGCCTTGCAGCTGCGATAGCGAGTAAGATGCGGACGGAGGTATGGCGACTGACAGGGGCGAATGTCTGGTCATAGCCGCGAACCACCCATCGTGCCTTGAAGCGCTCAATCGTTCCGTCAGCCGTGGTCTTCACGCGAAAGACCCACTTCCCTGAAAGGATTCTTGCACCTTTGATTGCTGCGCGGTCGACGAGCACCCAGGTGTCGCGTGACTCTAGTGCCTTGATTTCCGCATCCATTGCCTCACGCCATTCTTTGCTGTGTGGTCCAGAGAGGGCTTCGCGCGGGTTTCGGGGCTCGATGACGCGCGGCGCTTTCGAGGTTGCTGTGTGAAGTCCGAGCAGTTGTAGTCCTGAGACGGTGCTGTCGTGGCGACGCTGCGGGATGACTTCCTGCACGTCATCGTCGTCGCTCTCAGGTTCAGGTGGTGCTGATGGTGTTGTGCCTCCGCCGCTTCCGCCCGTTCCGCCCATTCCTCCTCCTGAGGAATCATCGTCGTCGTCGTCGCTGCTGTGCCGATCCTCCCATGCGAACTCGGCCCTGGTGTCTTGCTCCAGGAGTGCTGCAGCGGCTTCGTCTTCGGGCGTTGCGTAGCTGTGTCCGTTGTTCGCGTAGACGCGATCTGCGTTTCTCTGTTCGTCATCGCGGAATTGGTCGAGGAAGAGACGCTCGTAGAAGATTACGTCGCGGGCATGGGCGGTCTTCTGACTCAGAAGGTCCAGCACGATCCACGCCTTGTGCTCGTGGCTGATGCCGAGGTGAATTCCCCAGCGCGCGCGACTGGTGAATTTGCCGATGGTTGATGTCGGCGGTCGGTACTGCACCATGCACCCCCAGACGCGCAGCATCGATGTGTCCCCCTTTGTCCCAGTCCACTTGACGTGCGGGGACAGGTTGCCGGTAATTGCGGTGGTCGAAAGCAGGTTGTGCACCCGCACGGCGTGGTGCATCGCGTAAGTCCAGTAGATCGGCGGCAGCTTTGATTGCTTCATCAACGCACGCACCTTCGTCATGAGCGTGCGGTTCGTCCGCTCAGCTACGCCCTGTTGCTGGTGTGCGTAGGGGAGGGAGATGTGATGCTCGATCCCCTTTTGCGTCAGGAATGTCTGCATCTGATTGCTCCTGAACTCTGCCGCGCCGTCGGACTGCCAGATCTTGAGCTTCTTTCCAGATTGCCGCTCCGCATGTGCTAGCCAGAGGCGAAACACCTCGTAGGCTCTGTCGCGCGTCTCCACGTTCACGACCCATACATAGCGTGTTCCTGCGTCGATGAAGGTAAGCGTGTAGAGTTCGTCTTCGATTTCGCAATGCCCCACGTTCAGGAAGTCGCTGTACACTTTGTGCAGCTTGGGGTATCGGTTGGTTCCAGGTTCGAGCAGCGGGAACGGTTGGTGACTCAGCGCAGCTTCGGGGCAGACGGTGCAGTTGCGCGGATGTGTCGCGCCACTCACTTCGGAGCCATCAGGGCGCAGGAGTGCGCCAGGAGCGAAGACGCCAGCGTCGATGCAGTTTTTGAGCGTCGCGCGGGAAGGGTGTCCGAGGCGCTGGTGCCAGAGTGCATCATCAGCGCGAAAGCCGGAGGTGCGCATATAGCGCGCGCGCGCTTCCTCGGGGTCTTCGTCAGGTACAGGAGCAGGTTCTGCTGCTACTTCTTCTGCTTCTTCTTCTGCCGCGGTGGTCAGCATCAACGCCAAGAACTCTCTGTCGCGAATTTCAGAGAGCGGGATGTTGGTCCCAGGGATGGTTCCAGGGACAAGGGTAGGTTGGCGTGGTTCAGGGGCAGGTCCGTAGATAGTGCGACGCGGGGTTGACGGCTCGTTGCCCCAGGTAATGGTGTCCCACGGGTCGCGATGCGGGGGAATGTCTGCAGGAGGTGGTGCGAGGGGAATGCGGCGCGGGGGACGACCGAGAGGAACGACTGCAGGTGCTGCTTCGGTCTCCGCGGCTTCTTCCTCTCCCCCCCTTCGTTCTTCGCGGGAAGTGCCCCAGCCGCTATTGTCGGCGCCAGATGCGGCGCCCCATCCGCCGGTTGCGGTTGCCCAGGTTCCGCCTGTGTTGCCCCAGTCGCCAGCCTCAGTCGTTCCTTGTCCGCCGACGCTTCCCCACCCCCCTTCATTGGTGGCGCTTTCTTCAGCTTCGGCGCCCCATGCGGCGCAAGCGAACGTTCCGCGTGCCTCGGTGAGGCTTTGTTGGCGAAGCTCCTCTGCTTCGCGGCGCGCCAGTTCTTCCTCCTGTTCCACGGTGAGCTTCGCCGTGGGGTCGCGCCAATGTGGGTAGATCTGCAGAAAATCCTCGCGAGTGTAGGGGCGTGCCAAGCCACGCGCATCGAAGGTACCGACACCAGTTCCACGAAGCATCCCTCGAAGATGTTGAGAAGGGGGACCTGTGAGGGGGTGCTCGGGCGTGCCGAACACGCCATGTGTGGTGACTTCGAGTTCGAGTTGCGACATCCCTTCATCGGGGGGCGCGTTGCGCTCTGCTTCCGCGATGGCGGCGAGTCCGCGGCCTGCAATCGCGCTCGTCGAGGTCGTCGGCGTGTGATAGTCCCTGCAGATTCCATCTGGATCGGGGTTGTGAAGTGCCGTTTCGCGTGGGTGGGGATGATGCGGCACCCACGGCCTGCCGTCAGGGTGCTTCCAGTCCCTGCGGTGGATGTGTTCGAATCGCAGTGGCACGAGGTCAATTAGCTCGTGCGAATCGCCGCTGCAGTCGGGAATGTCGAAATCCAGGATGTACACTCCATTTTCGGAGTGTGCTCGTCCGATCTGCCTGCGGGGAAAGGTGCGCGATTCGTAGTGCAGCAGAATGTCGCGCGTCGCGCGATCTGTGCTGAGTTCTACGCCGCAATCCATGAGCTGTGCGGCGGACAAGAGGTTGAAGCGCAGGTTCTGGACGATCAGCACATCGTTGAGTGTGATGTGCGTGCGGCTTCCGCGTGCTTTAAGCACAACGATGCCTTGCGCGTTTGCGCGCAGGCGCGTGTTGTTCGCCACTGTGACGTGACTGTAGGAGTGGGGACGGCGTTGGATATGTAACGCTCGGAGCCCACCATATGCTGGCCGCAGCAGCTGTCCAGGTACCAGGTGTTGTAGCGCTTGTTGTTGTCACGTGCGAGCAGCGCCAGTCGCGGCGTGACGATGTGCGGGGTATCGAACTTCAGAAATTGCTCGCGCGAGAGCCAATCAAGTGGCGCCACCCGCATGTCTGGCACGTGCGGGGGACTCTCAAGCAGCGGGACTGGGAGATTCCAGTCTTGGTCGTCGTCGTCGGTGAAGTCATGGCGCGGACTGAATGGGTTGTTGTTGGAGAACGCGCCAATGGGGTGCGGTGCTGGCTCAGGTGATGGTGAGCGCACGCGGCGACGACGGGACTCGCCTGTCATGGCCCTGTTGCTCATGACATTGTGTACTGTTGCAGTCGGTGACGGCTGCTGCTGCTGATGCTGAACCGCGGGGTTCAGGTTGCGCGTGGGAGGGGGCTGATAGCCCTGGGCTGGACGCACGTCGCCTCGTACGTCTTGTCGGCCGGACCAGTTGCTCGGATTGGTCTGGCGAGGGCGAGATCGGGACTTGCATCGATCTGCCAGATGCCCGAAGTTCCTGCAGATTTTGCAGTAGAGGCGCCTCGGACGTCGCTCTTCGTTGTTGTCGGCGTAGAAGGCGATCCGTTCTCTTTCTCGTCGTGGCGCTGGTCGCTGCTGGTCCATATCCCGTTGTTCGACGAGAAGGGCGGCGCAAAGGGCGGCCTCCGAGATGACCCCCTGCTGTCGGAGAAGCGCCTTGCAGGGCCGCCACTCTGGGCCGAGCCCTTGAAGCACGATGTTAACGAAGATTTCTTCAGATATCGTGCTTCCCAACTTCACGATCTGATCGCGAAGGCTCCGACAGCGATTAAGGTAAGTGTTGACCTTCTCCCCTGAGATCATCTTGGTTTCCAGGAGTTCCTGGAGCAGTCGGCTCGACGAGACAGAGTCCTTGGGCTGATACACTCCTGTCAGGTGTCGCCAGGCGTTGAGGGCTGGAGCAGCTGTCGTTTTGTACGAACGGATGTTCAGCTGCTCCGCCGGGGACATATTCCGCAGGAGCACCCCGTACGCCATCAGTGATTCGTTGTAATACCTCGCCTTGGCGTCGTCGGTGTCCTCGGCAGGCTCGGCGTAGCTCCCGTCGAAGTAGTGGAAGATTTGGGCGTTCTGCAGCAGGAGCTCCAATTCGAAGCTCCAGGTATAGAAGTCTCTGCCGTCAAAGCTGGAACTTGTCTTTATTTTTGATATGCTCAGAAACTTTGATTGAGCTGAGAGAATTGCCTCTTCACTGGGACGGGGAGCCTTGGGGGTTGAGCCATTTGTGTCGAGGGAGAAGGTTTGCGGGACGGTGTTCTGCCCAGTTGGGCCCGGTTGGGTTGGTTGCGAGGATGTTCCCGCATCGCCGTTCCGCAATGTTTGGAGCCCTTGCTCCAGACTGGTGAGTCGCTGAAGAAGTTGTGCGAGGACTTCGGTGCCGATCGTAGTCGTTTCCTCGCTTGTCGCAGCCGGATTGGTGCGTGCTTCAGCCGTCAGATTAGTCTGACCACCAGATCCTCCGGCCATTCTCACACGCGAGCGTGTGCCGGTCGCCACTTTCCGAGTGTCGCAATTTTCGGGAGTGGTGTTGCGAAGGATTCCCGAGCCGCTCTCATACCATGCTACGATCAGAGAATGATCGCTGACCAGGATCTTACTAGGGAATGTTCGCACACAGGGAAAAGTTGGTTGGTGGGCCCGTGATCTCAATAGCAGAGTGAATGTAAATGCTTGAGATGATTAAAACATGCAAATACAGCGAGTATAAATATGAGTACAGGGAAGACGAAACGACCTAGCTAGTCATGTACTCTAAGGGGTACATTCCCTTATTCAAATACATTCAACCGTGCGGCGCGTACAGTTTCGTAACTGTTCCCGCCAAGAACATCCTGCCTGCAGCTGTCCGATGCCGTCTGCCTCCGACGGTCCAGATGCGTCCCAACTGTCTGACACTTCGAGTCAAACTCCAACTGTCTGACGGTTCGCTTTCTTGCTTCGATACTGCGTACTTCTCTTTGCTGCGGTGAGGAGTGCTCAGTAACAATTACATGTTACTATTCGTAACATGTCTTACCCGCATGTTCACAGGCTCTTATACCCTTAGCGACGGGACTCTACACCAGTGGTTGGTTGCTCTCCAAAAGCAGCTCTTGGTTCCCTCAACTCAACTCTCCATTCTGGTAGCCTCTCTGTAATATTTTGCTGTCACCTACTACGGTATGTCCTGATTTTGCAAATGTATGGTACCAGCTTCAGCTTTTACATGTCACATGCAGCAAACAGCATGAGGGACGCTCTCCCCTTACACCCACATGTGTCAAATAACAATCACTTGTCACAAATTGCCTCTGACGCTGGGCATGCTAAGAGATTAGGAGGCAAGAAGACAAACGTAACCCCATGAGCAATCAGCTTGTCCGTCGAAGCTGCTGCAGGGATGTTAAGTGGTGACGGGATCTTCATGGGAGGGTAAGTCTGGAAATAACACTCTTGATCTTTCTTTACCTTGGTCACTAGCCTTCCACCATCTCTGGTTGTGAAATTCGTCCCAGGCTGCGCGTTTAGCAGGTCAGTCAGCGTCCATCGCCCTGCGAGTATATGGTGGCGGAAAATGCGTTTCTGCTGGACTTCTGTGAAATCGTCCCATTTGATTTGTTCGAATCCGATGTTGGACGGCACGAGCAGGGTGGACGGCTCGGAAAGGAGGTCCTCATCTGATCGAACTGCGAAAACATCAAAACGAGGAAAAAACGAGTGAGTGGTAGAGTACGACGTAAAAGGAGGCAGGATTAACTTGAAAAGAACGCGGGTGGAGAATGTCGGAACGTCTCATGACACATGCACACGTACGGAATTCGGCGAATATCCGCGAGAAGGTAGAGAGGAAGGGGTGATTAATCTGTTTCACCAATGCAGTCGCCTCTGTCGAGTCAGCGGATGCGCGGGAAAGACCGCAAATAATTAAGAAGGCACACAGGGAAAGCATTCCCCAGGGCACATTCGTTCGTGCCATGCGTGGAGCTTTAGGGATTTCCCGACTTTGACGACGTACGACGTACGATTGCGCAACACGGCTGCGCATGTGCAATCAGTGGCAATATCAAGGCTGAAGACGAAACTACAAAGTACCGGCAAGACGGATAGCCAAGAACAGCACTAATCGACAACTGCCTAGCGCACTATAGCGCCGACTGAAAAGGATCGAGCGAGGAGCTGGAATATGGATCACTACTTGGTGGGAGCGCTGCCGCAGTAACAAACCCGCATGTGGCGGTAAGTCCCCCCGCTTACTTTCAGAAAGCCGCTCGTGTGTCCAAAAGAAAGTGGGCATGCTTGATTGATATCTCGAGGAGCTTACTGGGAAATCAGTGATGGGTATAGTACGGTGCAATATCAACAGTTATGATTATTGATAATTACACATCGGTGATTCTACATCAAACTATTCGAGGTCAAGCCTCAATTGCTTTCTGCTGTGTCATGAACATGAACTCAGACATGTTTTTGGGCAGTGTTCCATATCAAGAGCAGTGTCCGCAAGGAATGTATATTATTAGGTTTTTCATCGTTAGCTCGCTCCCTGCACCGTAACACGAGACCCCGTAACGGTTTCAGTGTGAACCTAAAAAATATATTGGGTAGGATTTCCGAGTCGACCGCCATGGATTCTATCCCGGCAACTTCGGAGGTCGCAATGTCCCACAATTTCTTGCCTGATGGAGGTTCTAAGCTGACCACTGGTTATCTCTCGCGGAGCTCTATAAGCAGATACCTTTTTCGTGTTCATACAGTGAACATTTATCATGCTTATAAACTCACGCTGTCCCCTAAGGTCTCTGCAACTCCAAGGGAAGAACTGTTACGAATAGTAATACTTGATATTACTGTGCACTCCTCACCGCAGCAAAGAGGCATGCAGTATCGAGAACGAATGCGAGGAGTCAGAGTTGACTCGAAGCGTCAGACGGTTAGGGTGGATCTAGACCGTCGGAGAAAAACGGCATCGGGCAGCTGCAGGGACAATGAATCTGGCGGGAACAGTTTCGTAACTGTTCGGGCCGCACGGTTGGTTTGAATTCGAATAAGGGAATGTACCCCTTAGAGTACATGGCTAGCTAGGTCGCTTCGTATTCCCCTGTACTCATATTTATATCGTTGTGTTTGCATGTTTTATTCATCTCAAAGCATTTTACATTCACTCTGCTATTGAGGTCAAGGGCCCACCAAACTATCTCACTGCGTGCGAACCTTCCTGGGTAGATCCTGGGCTACGATCAACTTCTGATCTCAGCATGGTATGAGAGCGGCTCAGGAATCCTTCGCACTGCCACTCCCGAAAATTGCGACATTCGAAAAGTGGCGTCCGGCACACGCTCACGAGTGAAGATGGCCGGAGGATCTGGTGGTCAGACCAATCTAACGGCTGAAGCGCAACCCAACCCGGCTGCGACAAGCGAAAACACGACGACGATCGGCACCGAAGTTCTCGCACAACTTCTTCAGCGACTCACCAGCCTGGAGCAAGGACTCCAAACATTGCGGAACGGCGATGCGGGAACATCCTCGCAACCATCCCAACCGGCCCCAACTGGCCAGAACGCCGCCCCGCACACATTCTCTCTCGACACCAATGGCTCAACCCCCAAGGCTCCCCGTCCCAGTGAAGAGGCAATTCTCTCTGCTCAATCAAAGTTTCTGAGCATATCAAAAATAAAGACAAGTACTTGTTTTGACGGCAGAGACTTCTATACCTGGAGCTTCGAGTTGGAGCTCTTGCTGCAGAACGCCCAAATCTTCCACTATTTCGACGGGAGCTACGCGGAGCCTGCCGACGACACGGACGACGCCAGGACCCGCTACTACAACGAGTCCCTAATGGCGTACGGGGTGCTCCTGCGGAACATGGCACCGACGGAGCAACTGAGCATACGCTCATACAAGACTTCGGCCGCCCCAGCCCTTGAAGCCTGGCGACACCTCAACGGTGTGTATCAGCCGAAGGACTCCGTCTCCTCGAGCCGGCTGCTTCAGCAGCTACTGGAAACAAAAATGGCCCCAGGGGAGAAGGCCAACAGCTACATCAATCGCTGTCGAAGCCTTCGCGACCAAATCGCGAAGCTGGGAAGCTCGATTTCGGAAGAAATCTTCGTGAATATCGTGCTTCAAGGGCTCGGCCCAGAGTGGCGGCCCTGCAAGGCGCTTCTTCGACAGCAGGGGGTCATCTCGGAGGCCGCCCTTTGCGCCGCCCTTCTCGTCGAACAGAGGGATATGGATCAGCAGCGACCTGCGCCGCGACGAGAACGCGAAAGGCTCGCCTTCTACGCCGACAACACCGAAGAGCGAAAGCCACGGCGCCTCTACTGCAAAATCTGCAGAAATTTCGGGCATCTGGCGGATCGATGCAAGAACCGATCCCGCCCTCGCCAGACCAATCCGAGCACCTGGTCCGGCCGTCAAGACGCACGAGGCGACGCGCGTCATGCCCAGGGGTATCAGCCCCCTTCCGTGCGCAACCTAAATCCAGCGGTTCAGCATCAGCAGCAGCAGCCGTCACCGACTGCCCCAGCTCGCAACGTCATGAGCAACATGGCCATGACCAGCGAATCGCGTCGTCGCCGTGCCCGCTCGCCTTCACCCGAGCCGGCACCGCACCCCATTGGCGCGTTCACCAACAACAACCCGTTCAACCCGCGCCACGATTTCACCGACGACGACGACCAAGACTGGAACCTTCCAGTCCCGCTGCTTGAAAGTCCCCCGCACGTACCTGATATGCGGGTGGCGCCAATTGATTGGCTCTCGCGCGAGCAATTTTTGAAGTTCGACACTCCGCACATCGTCACACCGCGACTGGCGCTGCTCGCCCGTGACGACAACAAGCGCTACAACACCTGGTACCTGGACAGCTGCTGCGGCCAGCATATGGTGGGCTCCGAGCGTTACATATCCAACGCCATCCCCACTCCTACCGCCACCTATGTCACTGTGGCAAACAACACGCGCCTGCGCGCAAGCGCGCAAGGCATCGTCGTGCTCAAAGCACGCGGGAGCCGCACGCACATCACGCTCAACGATGTGCTGATCGTCCAGAACCTGCGCTTCAACCTCCTGTCCGCCGCACAGCTCATGGATTGCGGCGTCGAACTCAGCACGGACCGCGCGACGCGCGATATTTTGTTGCACTACGAAGCGCGCAACTTCCCCCGCCGGCAGATCGGACGAGCACACTCCGACAATGGGGTGTACGTCCTAGACTTTGACATCCCCGACTGCAGCGGCGACTCGCACGAACTAATCGATCTCGTGCCACTACGCTTCGAGCACATCCACCGCAGGGACTGGAAGCACCCTGACGGAAGACCGTGGGTGCCACATCATCCACACCCACGAGAAACAGCGCTGCACGACCCTGACGCAGACGGCATGTGCAAAGACTGCCACACGCCGACGACGTCAACTAGCGCCATTGCCGGCCGCGGACTCGCCGCCATCGCCGAAGCAGAACATCACGCGCCACCAGAAGAAGGCATGTCGCAATTAGAACTTGAAGTCACCACGCATGGCGTCTTCGGCACGCCTAAGTACCCTCTTGCCGGTCCGCCCTCTCAACACCTTCGAGGGATGCTCCGCGGAACTGGCGTCGGCACCTTCGATGCGCATGGCGTGCCGCGACCCTACTCCCGCGAAGATTTTCAAAAGATTTACCCCCATTGGCGCGACCACACGGCCGAAATCGCCGTGGAACAGGAGGAAGAACTGGCGCGCCGCGAAGCCGAGGAGCTTCGCCAGCAAAGCCTCGCGGAAGCACGCGGGACCTTCGCTTGCACCGCCTGGGGAGCTGAGGAAGAAGCAAGCGCCTCCAATGAAGGGGGGTGGGGAAGCGCTGGTGGATGGGGGACCAGTGATACTGGCGGATGGGGTGACACCGGCGGCACCTGGGCCAACGCGAGCGGCGGATGGGGCGCCGCATCTGGCGCCGACAATAGCGGCTGGGGCACTTCCCGCGAAGAACGAAGGGGGGGAGAGGAAGAAGCCGCGGAGACCGAAGCAGCACCTGCAGTCGTTCCTCTCGGTCGTCCCCCGCGCCGCATTCCCCTCGCACCACCTCCTGCAGACATTCCCCCGCATCGCGACCCGTGGGATACCATTACCTGGGGCAACGAGCCGTCAACCCCGCGTCGCACTATCTACGGACCTGCCCCTGAACCACGCCAACCTACCCTTGTCCCTGGAACCATCCCTGGGACCAACATCCCGCTCTCTGAAATTCGCGACAGAGAGTTCTTGGCGTTGATGCTGACCACCGCGGCAGAAGAAGAAGCAGAAGAAGTAGCAGCAGAACCTGCTCCTGTACCTGACGAAGACCCCGAGGAAGCGCGCGCGCGCTATATGCGCACCTCCGGCTTTCGCGCTGATGATGCACTCTGGCACCAGCGCCTCGGACACCCTTCCCGCGCGACGCTCAAAAACTGCATCGACGCTGGCGTCTTCGCTCCTGGCGCACTCCTGCGCCCTGATGGCTCCGAAGTGAGTGGCGCGACACATCCGCGCAACTGCACCATCTGCCCCGAAGCTGCGCTGAGCCACCAACCGTTCCCGCTGCTCGAACCTGGAACCAACCGATACCCCAAGCTGCACAAGGTGTACAGCGATTTCCTGAACGTGGGGCATTGCGGAATCGAAGACGAACTCTACACGCTTACCTTCATCGACGCAGGAACACGCTACGTATGGGTCGTGAACGTGGAGACACGCGACAGAGCCTACGAGGTGTTCCGCCTCTGGCTAGCACATGCGGAGCGGCAATCTGGAAAGAAGCTCAAGATCTGGCAGTCCGACGGCGCGGCAGAATTTAGGAGTAATCAGATGCAGACATTTTTGACGCAAAAGGGGATCGAGCATCACATCTCCCTCCCCTACGCACACCAGCAACAGGGCGTAGCTGAGCGGACGAACCGCACGCTGATGACGAAGGTGCGCGCGCTGATGAAGCAATCAAACTGCCGCCGATCTACTGGACTTACGCGATGCACCACGCTGTGCGGGTGCACAACCTGCTTTCGACCACCGCAATTACCGGCAACCTGTCCCCGCACGTCAAGTGGACTGGGACAAAGGGGGACACATCGATGCTGCGCGTCTGGGGGTGCATGGTGCAGTACCGACCGCCGACATCAACCATCGGCAAATTCACCAGTCGCGCGCGCTGGGGAATTCACCTCGGCATCAGCCACGAGCACAAGGCGTGGATCGTGCTGGACCTTCTGAGTCAGAAGACCGCCCATGCCCGCGACGTAATCTTCTACGAGCGTCTCTTCCTCGACCAATTCCGCGATGACGAACAGAGAAACGCAGATCGCGTCTACGCGAACAACGGACACAGCTACGCAACGCCCGAAGACGAAGCCGCTGCAGCACTCCTGGAGCAAGACACCAGGGCCGAGTTCGCATGGGAGGATCGGCACAGCAGCGACGACGACGACGATGATTCCTCAGGAGGAGGAATGGGCGGAACAGGAACAGGCGGAAGCGGCAGAGGCGCAGAACCACCAGCACCACCTGAACCAGAAAGTGATGACGACGACGTGCAGGAAGTCATCCCGCAACGCCGCCACGACAGCACCGTTTCGGGGCTGCAACTGCTCGGGCTTCACGCTGCTACCTCGAAAGCGCCGCGCATCATCGAGCCCCGAAACCCGCGCGAGGCTCTCTCTGGACCACACAGCAAGGAGTGGCGTGAGGCGATGGACGCGGAAATTAAGGCACTGGAGTCACGTAACACCTGGGTGCTCGTCGACCCAGGAAATTAAGGGCGCAAGAATTCTCTCGGGGAAGTGGGTCTTCCGCGTGAAGACCGCAGCGGATGGGACGATCGAGCGCTTTAAGGCGCGATGGGTGGTTCGCGGCTATGACCAGAGGCACGGGATCGACTTCGATCAAACGTTCGCCCCAGTTAGCCGTCACACCTCCGTCCGCATCCTGCTAGCCATCGCAGCCGCAAGGCATCTGCCACTCCGCCAAATCGACGTAAAGAACGCGTTCCTGTACGCGTTAGTAGACGCCGTGATCTATGTGGAGCAGCCGCACACCTATGGCGAAGGGGACGCGCGCGTGTGTCAGCTGCGAAAGTCACTCTACGGCATCAAACAGGCACCGAGACTGTGGCAGCAGTACCTGCACAACATCCTGCTTGAAATCGGGTTCAAGCAGATGCCGCACGACCCAGGAATGTACCGCCGCGACTTCCGCGGGGAATACATTCTCCTCACGGTGTACGTCGACGACCTGCTTTACACAGGCTCGAGCAACGAGCTTCTCGAGCAGTTCGAGAAGGCCTTGGCAGGGCGCATTGACATCACGTGCAACTACGAGGTGAAGCAGTTCCTGGGCCTTAACATCTCCTATGCTCCTGAGGCCATTCACCTTTCAGCGGCTAAGTATGCAGAGGAGTTAGGGAAGCGGTTCAACATTTCACCGGCATCTCTCTCAACTCCCTATCGCACCCCCGGACCGAACCACAAACCTGACAACAAAGCCTTATCCCCTGCTGGGATTCAGACTTACCAGCAGCAGTTGGGATGTCTTCTCTTCGCCTCTGTCACCTGCAGACCAGATCTGTCCTACATCGCGAGTCAGCTCGCGCAGTACTCACGGAAACCAACGGCTGAGAATCTCCTGGACCTGCAGCGTGCCCTTCAGTTCTTTGTTTCAACGCCCAAGATTGGGCTATGCTACTCAACTGTGCCGACTCCATCTTTCAACCTCATCGGCTACGTGGACGCCGATCACGCAGCAGACCCCGACAATCGACGGTCCAGGACCGGCTTCCTGTTCCGACTCGAGCCATCGGGACCAATCTCCTGGAATTCACAGAAGCAGGAATTGGTTGCCCTGTCGTCAGCCGAAGCGGAATTCATCGCAGCAACCGCAGCAGTTCGCGAAGGCCTCTACCTGCAGGAGCTTCTGCAAGAAGCGAAAATTCCAACTTCGCCAACCTTCCGCCTTCACTGCGACAACCAGAGCGCGATTCGCATCGCGAACAAACCTGGTTTCGTCAACCGCACCAAGCACATCGCGCTGCGGTACTTCTTCGTGAAGGACGAGGTGGACAAAGGCAAGGTCAACTTAACCTACTGCCCGACCGGTGACATGGCAGCAGACTTCCTCACAAAGCGACTGCCACGCCAGCAGTATCAGCACTGCTCCGAACTCAGCGGCGTGGTCAAGCAGGTCAAGTCGAGCTACGGCCAGGAGTGAAGGGGGGTGTTACGAATAGTAATACTTGATATTACTGTGCACTCCTCACCGCAGCAAAGAGGCATGCAGTATCGAGAACGAATGCGAGGAGTCAGAGTTGACTCGAAGCGTCAGACGGTTAGGGTGGATCTAGACCGTCGGAGAAAAACGGCATCGGGCAGCTGCAGGGACAATGAATCTGGCGGGAAAAGTTTCGTAACTGTTCAGGCCGCACGGTTGGTTTGAATTCGAATAAGGGAATGTACCCCTTAAAGTACATGGCTAGCTAGGTCGCTTCGTATTCCCCTGTACTCATATTTATATCGTTGTGTTTGCATGTTTTATTCATCTCAAAGCATTTTACATTCACTCTGCTATTGAGGTCAAGGGCCCACCAAACTATCTCACTGCGTGCGAACCTTCCTGGGTAGATCCTGGGCTACGATCAACTTCTGATCTCAGCAAGAACAATGGCGACAATACTTTCTCAAGACTTCTTGTTTCAGGCACAGTTTTCGCAAAGTCAAAACGACAGCAACTACCAAGGCGCGCGGTATTGCCAAGGCCCGGGATCGCCATGGTCATTTCAAAGACTACAAAAAGCGTCACAAGCAGAAGTGGTGTTATGAGTTTAAGTCCCCCGTTCATCAGACACCTCTGAATTTCCAGACTTCCACCATGCCGCCTAAGAAGGTGACGAAGCCAGCTCCTAAGGTGACTCAAGAGCTTATGGAGTCGCCTAAGAAGGCTGACGGGACTTCCACTCCTAAGGAGGCTCCTGGCGATGGGCTGCTGACTCCAGTGCAGCCTGCGTCTGAGTGTCCGGACCTGCTGGCTGCAGATCTAGCTCAGTCGTCATTGTCAGCCCGCCTGTCAGCGCTCAAGGTCAACGGTCTGAAGGATGAGGTTGAACGTCCTGCTGCTGTCAACGAGGCTGCGGCTCAGTCCTCACCTCAGGAATCCCCGCTGCGATCTCCGGAAGAAGAGCTTCTTGATGAACCTGTGGTGGAGAATGATGACGAGGGTTACATTAGCGATGATCCAGACGAGGAAGCTGATCCGGAAGCATTGAGCATTATCGCTTCTAAGCTGAAATACACGCTTACTCTTCTTGTCCCTTTCAGGTACGAATCAGAAGTGCCTAGGACGGCTGATACTGTCGTAGCTCACCTTGATCATTGGAAAGAGGATCTATCTCCTGAAGCTCAAACTACTACGACGTGTCAGAAGCTGACACCGGCTTACCTCTCCAAGACGCGTTTCGGCCGTCTGCAAGTTGTCTTCACCTCGGAAGACGACGCGTACTACGTCAGGCAGAGGAAGATCGAACACGTCACGCTCAAGGGGGAGACGTTGGAGCTGAGGTGGCAGTTTCCGGAGGACTCCACGTATGTTCACTTGCGAGCACTCCATCCGCAGGCGATCGAGGTGGTGTTGAAGGGTGTTCCGGCGGAGGTTACTCCTGATGCGGTTTATAGCCTGCTAGTGGAAGTGAAACTGGTCAAGAGGGGGAAAACTGCATACAAGGAGGGTTTCGGTTTCCACCGTGTTCAGGATCCAGTCACGGGTCTGGATACTGACAAGATACGTGGTATGGTGGTTCAGCATGAGAACGATCGCTACCGCTGGCGTCACTTCATTGAGGAGCCGGCGAAGAGAGGGAAGAAGATTCTGCTGCACTTCCCTTCGGTCACGTGTGATTTATGCAACGGCCATCACCTGACCCGCTACCACGACGATTACGTCACTGACCGTCAGGCAAACATTGCCAAATGGAACCTTACGGTTAAACGTATCCATGAGATCAACGGTATTGAGGAAGGCTCACTTTTTTATCTTAGCGATTCACCTCATGTCTTACTTCCTTTGTACTGTACTGACTCACCTCTGTACTCACCTACGCGCAGCGGCCTCTCTGGTAGTCACGGACCGCCTGAAAGCCATCCTGAAGGATCCTGCGATGGTGCTGGTGTCGACCGGAGGTTCCCGCGAGGACTGGGTGTGCGTTCAGGATGCATGCGAGAAGGCTCACGGTACCAGTTTCGAGCATGCTGCGGCGCATGTAGCGTCCTTTCGCCACAAGTCCAACCGCACCAAGGCAGGAGCTGCTACCCGTGCGAGCAAAGGTGCTCTCAACGTCGCGGCCCTGAGGAAGGAGTTTTTCAAGTGACCGGCTGTGGAAGGAGGAGAGAGGCAGAGTCATCAGTAAGGAGAGATGAAGCGGTGTCCAGAATAAGGCTCACAGAGCTAGCTGTATCCGGATGTGCTGTGGCTGTATCGGCGGCTGTTGCGGTGTCTTGTTGTGTGCTGCTTTCAATGAGATCTTATGACCCGTGGATGCTGTGGGGTCTCCAGGCAGTGGTCAAATGAATACACCCAACACAATCAAGTTAAGCGCGCTCAATATCAACGGCTTGGGCAGCGCAGGGAAAAGGAATAAGTGCTGGAGGTGGCTAAGGAAAGCTGTAGATGTAGTGGTTCTGACCGACACAAGGATAAGTGAAGATCACAATTTTTGGACACAACTGAGACCCACGGCGGTAGCCTCAGCATCGCCTACACATAAAGCGGGGGGGGTAGCGGTGCTGGTCTTCTCACCTGAGATACAGCTGCTGGGGGTGGTGAAGCATGCGTCTGGAAGGCTGATCAGTGTAGACTTGAAGTGGAAAGAGCTTGTGCTGCGGCTGGTGGCAGTATATCTTCCGGCGCAGGCGGGGATACGCAATATCTTCCTCAGGGACTGTTTTTTCCCCTTCTTAGACGGACTGCCTGCAGCAACGCACACAATGCTCATGGGGGATTTCAATCTGGTGGAAGATCCGGAGCTGGACAAAACCTCCAAGCTCGGGTCAATGGCTGAGAATCAGAGACTACTGAACGGTTGCGCCGGGTTGGACTTGCATGATGCCTTCCGCACCCTTCACCCAGTGAAGAAGGAGTTCACCTTCTATTCAAGGTCGGCGAGGGTGAGCTCAAGAATCGATCGCGCGCTTGTGTCGGCGTCGATGCTGGGCTGCATAGGCGGAGCCTTCCACACCTCTATCCCGAAGGGGATCACGGACCACTGGTTTGCAATCTCGGTGAAGCTGACGTCGTCTGAGGGGAACGCGAAAGGTCCCGGCCTGTGGAGGCTGCCTGCAAAAATAGCGAAAAGTCAAGGAGTGAGGAACATTGCACAGGCGATTACACAACAGCAGGGTGCGGAAGATGAGTTCGTCAAAACGCTGAAGAAGCTGAATGCGGGTCTGCAGGAATATGCGAAAGGGGAAAGGAGGAGGGCGGCTCGTACAGTCGAACATCTGGAGGAAAAGGTGGCGGTGCTCAGGCAAGCCTTTATGAGTGACGCCGGGAATCTCGACCTGCAGGAGCAACTGGCAAGGAGTGAAGCACAACTGAAAGCGTACTGGGATGGGAAGAACGATTGGCTGCAGACGTTGGCAGGCATACAAGGGGAGTTGGAGGGAGAGACGGCGTCCAAGTTCCTCACGGGGAAGATAGCTTCACGGAGAGCGAAGACAGAGATTCAGTCGCTTTCGGTGGGGGGAAAAACGGTGACGGAGGCGAAGGAGATCTTGTTGGCCGCATCAGATTTCTTCCGAGACCTCTTTGGAAAGGCCAAGGAGACGTCGGGGGAGAAGTGGCTAACTGACAAGAGCAAGCGGCTGGATGAGAAAGATAGGGAGGTGCTGCAAGCGAAATGGACGGAAAAGGAAGTCAGAAAGGCGCTAGCAGAGCTGCCCAAGGGGAAAACGCCAGGTCAAGACGGGCTACCGAGGGAGTTTTTTTAGAGCAACTGGGACATTCTGGGGCCAGGATTGATGTGATTCATACATTCCTTTGAGCAGTCGGCGAAACTCCCGGAAAGCCTCACGACAGCAGTAACGATCCTGCTACACAAGAAGGGGGAAAAGGAGAGATTGGAGAATTACAGGCCGATCACGCTTTTGAACACGGTATACAAGATCGTCTGGACGGGACAGTGGCGGTCAAGGATTTGGAGAGATTGAGCAGGGAGATGGGAGGCAAACCCCGGGCTAGATGGGCGCTCAAGGCATTTCAAGCCACCCCGGTGGAATGGAGAAACACCTTGTTAAAACGACGGACAGCGGAGGAAACTGCTGAAGCAACGGATTTGGTTCGCACCGGAGGGGATGTAGTGAAGCAGCAGAACTACTGGAGAGTTCTACGCACAGAAGGGGAAAGGTTGGTGGTGAAAAGAGTGGAGGTGATACGAGGCATCATAACACCGGCTCCATACGCAAGCCCATTCGCCATCAGTGTGTCGTGGGTCACTCCGATCAAAACGGCAGACGAGAAAGTTTTGGGCCCGCTTGGCCATCATCTTACCAGGCTACGAGAGTCGGCGCTCTGCAAAGGGGGGGAGCTGGTGGCTCTGAAAACCCTAAGAAGAGCTATCAGGGAGCCAGCCGAGAAGCCGAAGCAGCAAGTCCGATGGGAGGAGGAGTATGGGGGGAAAATCAACTGGGCAAGGACTGTGGCTGCCCGGGACTCAATGGTGGTGCCATCCAGAGCAAGGGAGGTGCTCCTTCGGCTCCACAGCAAGAACCTACAGGTGGGCGCCAGGCTCCCCTTCTTGGGCAGCTTGGCGCGCTGTCCGCACTGTGGAGCAGAGGAGACAGTGGATCACTGCTTGATGCTCTGCCCGGAGGTGGGAAGAGTTGTCGGGAAGTTGCAAGCAGCTTTGAAAATTTTGGGAGTTAAAGAGGAGGCGAGAAGTGTGGGCGAGCTGCTGTTTCGGGACACATGCACGAAATCCAGTTTCCCGGAGTTGCCGCTGGTGGCCATCACTTTTCATCACCTTTGGCTGGAGAGGTGTGGAGCAGTTTTCAGACAGGAAAAGTTTCAATACAAGAGGGTGATCAGGAAAATTATGGCAAGTTTCATGCGACATGTGAAGGCATACAGCAAGTGGAAGGACATGCAACAGGGTAGGACTAGGTCAGCGAGCAGCAGAAATTGGGGGCACCTGGCTTTGGACGAGGCGAGGGCGCTGGGCAACCTGTTTGTAGGGGAGAAAGATATGACGTGGACAGAGAGCTTTCGTGGGATCTGGGAAGATCCGAGGGCACGCTTCAAATCGCCATAAAGGGGGGTCTTGGGGGAGTAACTGCTAGTCTCGTTAGTAGTTAAGTCCCTCATGGAAACAGTTACGACTGAGGTTGTATGCTTATCTATAGTGTACTTCCAACCAAAAAAAAAAAAAAAAAAAATTCAGTGTGAACCTATGAAAGGATCTCTTTAGTGGAGATGCACAGGGCTCGTGATCTCATTGCTTGTGTAATACCGAGAAATGCTGCTTTTCTTAAGTAAAGGGAGAGTTACAAGTGTTGAGGCTACAAAGTTAAACTACCCAAGTTCACGGAAACGCAGATCTGCCCGGAAACTTACATCTGCAGCATACTTCCATCGTCCCCAGTGCAACCCGCAGATCCACCATAGGTCATGACTTTTTGAAAATGGGGTCGACTGGAGATCGAGGTGATTGCAGCTCTCTAGGGTTTTCCATTTGTGCCCGCCATTTCTGAAACAACCATCCAAACTTGTCGCATGGGCGTCATCGTCGTCTCCTCCTGTCGTCTGCTTGGGTTGGTTGTCCGTCACTAACCGTTCACTTGCATATTGCTCCGCGTTTTTTCGCCCTTCTGCCAGACAGACAACCACTTTCCCCCCGGTCCTCCCGACTATGTCGCCACCTAGGCTAATACCTAGGTTCTTAACTACCGCGGATTCATGCAGCCCCAGCTTACCTGCCTATTACACCGTACGACTGTCAAACCGTCGCCGCCTAGGCTGGTTCCCATCATTCGACATCGTTTCGGCGCCAGGTAAGTCGGTTTTCCTCCTCGGTCTGCTTCCGCTGCTCACTTGGATCACCTCGATCTCCTTCGGTAACTCTGCGCCGACATCCTGGGAACAAGTCGTGACTATTCTGGTTCAAAACCCGCCCTTTCTTAGCGTCCTACGCGTTCCCCCTCCTAGCCTTGCCTATTGCCACTCAAATCTTAACTCTCGCAGGTTTTTTCGTTCAACGACCCGGCGGATCTGTCTCGCCTTTCTGCGTTTCGACCTGCTTTCCTCGCGCTGCAAACGAGGCGCGGCTTTCACGTTGCGTTGTCGCCTAGGGTCGTTCCAGCGCTGCTGGCCGCACCCTGCGGTTCCCGCACCGCCGCCCACGGATAACCCCCCCCTTCCGCCAGGCTCGCGCTTCGCCTCCCAGCTGCCTTTTTGCGAGTTTTGTTTTGACTCGTCGCGCTTCCGCAATGTCAACACCTCACCTTCGGCCTTTTTCTATTTTTGGCAGCAGTGGCAACCGCAGGCCTGCCTACGATACCTCAGCTCCGCATCCCCCCAGGCAAGCGCTACCGCACACCCCTCTGCCCTTCTCAGTCGATTTTCCCGTCACTGCTTTGCTAAGCGTCAAGGTCCATTGTCTTCCCCCTTTTTCCGCAACTTCGTCTTCTCTTTCGCTCCAATGCTTCCCACCTTGCCTTGTCATCCCTTCCTATGTGTATTCACTTCGGACTCGGGCTGCCGCTTAGGCTTCCAGTCCTTCCCTGACTCGGGTTGCCACCTAAGCTCCCAGTCTACCCCTGACTCGGGTTGCCACCTAAGCTCCCAGTCTACCCCTGACTCGGGTTGCCACCTAAGCTCCCAGTCTACCCCTGTCTCGGGTTGCCACTTAAGCTCCCAGTCCTTCTTCGTGACCCGCTGCGGCCAACGCCGATGCATTCGCACGTTCGCTCTTGTTACTGCCTGCCCATCTCCCCACGGCTCTGGAGGCCCCTCTGGCTCCCTGTCAGCCCCCCGGGGACCACCTCGGACTCACTTCTTGCATTCACTTGCCCTCCCTCCCGAGCCTCTCGGCCCCTTGTTACGACCTGTTCCATGCGCCTGCTTGCCTAAAACGCTGTCTCGCACGCCTCTCCCGCCCCCTCGTTCCATTTCCGATGTCGCAGGCTGAGGCTATTTTCCCGCTAATACCCTCTCCTTCCCCCTCCCCCTCGAAGGCTACGATGGTACCTTTGTCTGACTCACCCCTCACTGCCGGGCTGTGTGACTTCCCTCCCTCAAATGCCCCATCTCCCCTCCATGCACTCGTTGCACAGGCCGTGAAAACCCCTTTGGCAGGCCTTCCTTTGAACTCTCACCCAAGCTCCCTTCCTCCCCCAGCATCCGGCACTGCTGCAGCTTTGGACTCACCTCCCACCCCCTCTTCTCAATACCTTTCCCCCTCCTCTCCTCTCGCTCTCGTGCCACTTGTCGGCACGACGCCCCGCCGTCCTCCCCCCCTGGTTCTGCCTCCTCCCGCTGTGCTGCCTCCCTCTGGTGGCACAACCCTTGACTTCCCCCGCTTCTCCCCGCCTGCGTTCCGCCGCCCTACCCCCCGGATCAGCCCCCCCTAATGCTCCCCATGCATCCCCCCTGGCCCTCAAATGACTCAGTCCCTCTGCTGTTCCTGCCCCCGCTGTACCCTTCTTTGTGGCAGAACAGAGAGGGTTCGTGCTTTTCAAGCGAAACTCCAGACAGTCGCACTCTTCCCTTTTTTTGGCCTCCCTCAGGCTTGCTGATAAACTTGTTCGTATCTGCTTACACATGTCTCTACTCATTTTATACCAACAATTACTGTAGATACCCTTCGTATGCTTTTCGTCTTCGTTGTGCCCTCGGTTATCAAACAATTTCCCACCCGATTCGAGAGGTTTTTGGCCCGTGGATCCGTGCACCCTTGTGCGCAGTGGGCCCCCACTTTGCAGCATGTTAACGTTCCTACGAATTCTCTGCCTTAATATTAACGGTATCAATACTCCAGCAAAAAGAAATGCTCTGAAACAACGGCTTTCTGAACTCATTTTTCGAACAGACATCCTCATTTTAGTGGATACAAGGGCTCTCGCGCAACCTTCCTAAACTATCACTCCAACTCCGCCCGCACTCTTCAGCGCACTCACCCACCCTATACCCACTTGACAAAAATGGCAGACCTTGTCCGCAACCAGGTGGTGTCTCTATCCTCTCTTTCAACAGAGCAGTTTCTCTAACCTCCCCGTCCCCCTCACCTGATGGTCACCTCCTCTCTGTACACATTAACTTCCTACATGATCAATTGCGCCTCGTCGCTATCTATGCCCCGCAACCCGTCACTGACCGTCGTATTTGGTGGAGAACCGTTCTTACACCGGCACTAGAACAATCCACCGCGGCTGCAGCTACTATCCTCGTCGGCGATTTTAACTCGGTGATATACCCCGTAGACCGTAATCGCCCCCTTCTCGGCCATGAAATTAGCGAGGCCACCATGTTCTCCACCCTCATGACGACACACTCACTTTCTGACGCATACCGCTCACTCCACCCCTCAAGTCCTGTTTTCTCGTACTTTGGTCGTAGAGGCATGACTGGTGCCAATGTATCTACTACGCCATCCTCTAGGCTTGATCGAATCTACTTATCTAGCTCATTTCTCCCCCGAGTCTCTGAGGCCTCATATATCTACACCTCCACTAAGGTCTCTGACCACTCTTTCGCTCCATTTTGCTCCATTACTTTCAACAACCCGGCCATGGCGCCGCGGCCATGGCGTTTTAGCTCATCCCTCCTTCACCGTCCCCAAGTCGCTGCCATCATTGATACTCATATCGCCTCCCTGCCCTCACGCCTCTCCCCTGAGGCATGGGACTCTTGGAAACTATCCCTCACCCTTAGTCTCAAACGGTTCTCGAACCATGAGCGTCGTCGGGTTACCGGCACAATTGCTCACCTTGTGCAG